TTAATGATTGTTGAAACTGTTGTCTGACAATGGGTTTTGTGTCACAGGGAATAAGTCAACTTTTATAATGATGGGTGCGAGTCCATCATTGTAACATTCAATGGGCAACCAGATTGCAGGTTCAACAATAAATTCATTTTCTAATCAATTTGCTCTCATCAAACCTTTCCAATTTATGATCGACTTCAGGTTTCATTGAACAATGCAAAACTAACGATCTTTTCAGACTCAAGTTGACATTGTTAATAGCAATATTCAGATTAAATCAATTAATCAAATCAAGCAAAATAAACAAATTTGTTTATGTAACTCAATGCTGCTGGCAACAAGTCTTGATGTTGATTAGTGAGCATCAAAAACGCTAACTTAATCTCTGACAAGCGAATGTTGAGTTGAATGAAAAAAAGGATCAAATTTTAAAGCTAAGGAACCAGTTGAAACTCATGTTGTTCATAACTCAACTTGCTCAAGTCGCTTCTAGGCAACACATTTACTTCCCTTGTTCAAGAGCTGAATTGAATCAAACTTTATGAAATTGATCATCAATTGAAGCTTTTACTTTGTTTCATCATGATCAGGAAAGTCAATTAGCCAATGAATCAAATGTTTAAAGCTGTGAAAGTAAACAGTTGGACTTGGAGTTGATACAATATTGTTACAATATTGTTGCTCATGTCGATTGGTGTCTGTTATTACCTAAACTTGGTTTATTATTTGATTGAATGATAAACTATTATTAATTGGAATGGTTAATTGTGACAATAAAGAGAAAAGTTATGAGTTAATGATTAATTTCATTTGATTTATTGGCGTTTCAACTGGTGTTGTTATTGTAATTGGTGAATGAGTTGGCAATTAAATTAGCTAAATCAACAATTGGTGACAGCAACAAACAAAATGATAGTGATAATGATGATGAGAGATGGTGATGATGTTGGATGATGATGATGGCGGTGATGATGACGACAAAAAAAGTGATAATAAGAAGTGAACAAAACATCATCATCATCATCATCATCTGTTTATTTTCAACATTTTGTCGTCACAATAGAAGCTAATTATCAAATAATGAAGATGATGATGATGATGGAAATGACAACAATATAAAGTTGAATTTCAACGAAAACAGTTTCAACTTTTATCTTTTTCTCAAATCTTGAATTCTGAATAGATATAGGTTGGTTATCATGTTGGCTAGTTGTGTTATGTTATAGGTTAGATGATGAAAAAAAGTTCATTTTCTTGTGTTTCCCTTTCCATCAATCTTAACAATCTTCATCCTTCCATTTCAATCATCATCATGATGAGCATTGAAACAAGATGAGGCAACAAAACAAAAGAAAACAATTCAACATGAATTGGTTTAAAGCAACTTTAATCATCATCATAATCATTTCTCAAATCAACATATTCAGCGCAATCAGGTTAATTGTGTACAACTTGACCTGACTTGAGTAAATTCACTATTTAATCATCTAACCAAATGTAAAGGTTGGACTCAACATTAACAGGGAATTTTCATCATTCTGATTGTTTCAATGATCATTATGTTTTTGTTGATTGTGATGATGATGAGTAAAATTATTCACTAAATATTGTGCTGTGTTGGCAATTGAAGTATTTTTGTCTCAAATATGATAAGTTGATGTTGCTTTAAATAGATTGAGTTGAGTGAAAATAATTAATAATTTTTGTCTCTGGTTTCATTGGTTCAACTTTTCAAGACTGAATTTCTAGACTAGAGTTCATTTTGATGTATGATTTCATTGGCAATTTATTGATTAATTGATTATTGTGTTCATTAGTGGATTGAAATTGGCTGCAAAAGGTTTGAATAACGATTCAAATTTCAAGAAATTTTTTTTCTGCTTTTCTTTTTCACTAACATCTTGGGAATTTGCTAATTGTTTTTAAGATGAAATTTGATATACGATTAGGATGATTAATATGATTATAATTCTGGTTAGTGTTCATGATTGTTGCTGGTATTGTTTTGTTAATTAAAAAATTGCGTTTTCTCTTTGCTGTGGTTAATTGGTTTTTGTTTTGTTTTGGGAGGTTCAAAGTGCTCAATGATAAGTTTATGTTGTTTAATGTTTTATGATAAATTTGTTTATCTTACCTTCCTGATTTGGTGATTATCATTTCAGTTCCAAGTTCATTAAATTTATCCCAAAGCTCTTTGTTTTCTAGGTGACATTTGACTCCGGCCAACTCTTCACAGTTGCATTTGGGTTTGATTGCATCGGCATATGGATTGGGTCCACATGATGAAGATGAACCGTCTTTAGTTGATCCGGTTGAAGGTGCAGGTGAAGGAGTGTTCCTGTCCAGAGTACCTGACATGGGTCGACCATCGTCCATGTTCCCTGGATGAGGAGATTCGAGGTGGTGTGAGGGTGAGGCAACAGGAGACCGAATGGGTGACCTGATGGGTGATCGTATGGGTGACCTGAGAGGAGATTGAATGCCCGGTGAATGGCAATCAAAGGAGCTCTCCATTGGTGGAGGTGAACAATTGTAATCCACGTCAATTGAGGGTGGACTTAATGAAGGTGAATTGGCTTCGATTGCATGTTCATCCATTCCATTCTTGGTTAGTCCATGGGATGAGGTTGAACATGATGAGGTTGATGAACAAGAGAATCCATTTAAAGGTAAAGGTAAGGGTGAGAATGGAGGTGAATGTTGTTGATGTTGAATGGGATCGTTGGATGATCGACCCATGATGGCTTCGATGGAGAAGTCGGTTGATGGTCTATTGGCTAACGAACCTGATTTACTAGAGTTGTTGGTGTTGTTGGTGTTGCTAGAGTTGCTATTAACAAGAGGTGTTCCTCCTGAGGATCTGGACTCAGTGGACATTGATGAACTTTTATGATTACTGTTATTGCTCTTCCTCAAACCTGTGGTCATAACTAAATCCAAATTGGTAATAAGCATAATAACAAGTTTATCCTTTTGACCATTGACAGTCAATTTAATCCAAAGGTGAATCAAAGTAAACTGAATAAAAGTAAAGGGTCAAAGGTGACTGGATGATGATGGTGGTGACGATGGTGAAGATGACGGTGTGATGAAGATGATCAAGAAGATGATGATCAAGTTGATGATGTCTGTCAATCAAAAACAAAACAAAACTGAGAAACAAAAATATGATTAACAAGACAAACAAGAAGAAGTAACGTTTGTTATGAGGTCAGGCAAAATTGGATAAAAAAGGATGAGAAGAGAAGAGAGAAGAGAGAGAAAACAGAAGAGAGAAAAGAAGAGAAGCAAGAAAGAAGATGAAGAAAAGAGAAGAAAGAAGAAGAAGAAGAAAGATGAAGAGCAATTGTAACCAATAAGAAGAGTCTCGTTCCTCCCATTTTCCCAATGTAACTTTACTGTTGAACCATTTTAACTCAACCTACTCAGCTTATACTTGGGTTACTTGAGACTCCACCTAAACTCCCTTTACGGAGTCACCTTATTGAGACTCCTTATGATGATGATGATGAGAAACGATGAAAAATGATGATCACAAATGATGAGAATGATGAGAATGATGATCACTCTCAACTCCTCCTTAAGGGTCCATAAATACAAGTATTGATTGGCGCCAAGGTGCCGAGTCCTCGGGTCTCTCTAATCATAATCAATGACAACAATTAAACATAATGAAACGCCGACAACATCTTATAAGTATTAATGAGTATCACAATTATCTGGCAATTGTCAGCAACCAAACAAATCAAATAGCAAACAATCTTTATTATTATTCCTTATCATCATCATCATCATCTCACCTTTATTATTTTATCTCAACTTTTTTTTTATCCTCTTCTTCTTCATCATCTTCTCACTTTATCATCATTTTCAACATTTCATTTTCTTGAAACTCTTTTCATCTTGCTCACAATGATCATCACCAACCATCATCATAATCATCATCAACAGAAACAAATTTGCTTCTGCAAATATTTAATCACAATTATAATTATAATTTCCACTCACTTACTAATATTACAAATTATTAATCTGTCAAGTTAATGAGTTTTTATTACCCAATGCAAGTAGTCTCAACACAAAATGTTACAATAATTAACAATTAGCTTTTTTTTCAAACGATTAACTTTCATGTTAAACATTGCAAATGAATTTATCAGATACAAGAGGCAGGTTTAACAGTTAATTTTAATAACAGATCTCATTATCAAATTGAATTAAAATGATCGTTAAACTTGAAAAAAAGTTCACTTTTTGGTGTTCACTGTTCACTTTGAAATGCTTAACCAAGATTTGTAAATCATCCTTGATCAGATTGATAATTGTTTAACGCGTTAATTACAATTCATGTTCAATTGATTAACTTCAAACTCTTATCATCAACATTAGCAATCAATTTGATTTGCAATTTGATTCCGGTTAAAGTGTTGATAACATGTTTTGGTTTTGTGTATTGACTTCAGTTAAACTTTGAAGCATTTTTTTATTTCTTGCTGTTTCAATATTTTTTTGAACAAATTTTTTTCTTTGCCTTTTTGACGTTCAGGCCTTTTACAAGCTAATTTTTACCTTAAAATGATGATCCCGATGATGATGTTTAATGATTATAATGATGAACATGATAATTGGGAGAAATTGCTTTCCTGATTAATCAAGAAGAATCAAAAAAAAGAACGTTGGTTTCTTACCTTTTATCTATTAATTATGATGGATTAATACTCTCTTGACAAGATTAAATGTTGAGCTTTCTTTTTGCACTTTAATTTTCATCTTTTTTTCTCACTTGCCTTTAAACTTTTAGCTTTCAAGATTAACTCAATCCATAGAGCTGATTAAACATTCCGTGTGATTAGTTGATGGCTTAACAGAATCAAGTCTGTAACAGTGTTTAGCAATTGTCAAGGTGTAAAAATAATTGTCCCAAATAGTTGTTGATCATGATTATTGGTAAATCCTTGAATAAATCAAAGATAATCTCATTAGCTTGACAACAAAATGGTTCATTTTTTTGAATAAGTGTTTAATCATTACACACTTTTCAATGTTTTAAATGGCGATTGTTGGTTTTTTTACATTTTTTAGGTTATTTTGTTTTAACATTTAATTTTTTCTGGTTTAAGGATAGAGGCGGCATCTATTGGTCAGGTTAACTTTTACTTAAATTTAGTGTTACTTTTTTTTGTATTGTAAGTGAATTGATTGTTTCATTTTAAATGATACAGATGATTGTTGTAATGTCATTGTTTCTGATCAAGATGAAGATGAGTTTTTGTTCAAGACATTTTCTTTCTTCTTTATAATATCATGGTGATAATATAATAATGGTAAACAATCGATCATTTGATTTGGTATTGAGTGTAATCTTACTTGCTCTCTCTGTCTCTCTCTTTCTTGTGTCTCTCTATCACTTTTTTTCATTTAATTTGTTAACAGCTAACACTCTTAATTACTATTAATGCTGCTAATAATAATGATGATGATAATGTTTCAACCATATTGGAAGTTAAGTAAATATTACACGAGAAAGAAGAAAAGGCAACTCATCAAGCTTTTCATGATAAACAATCAAAGAAACACACAGTAAGAGTGAGAGTGTAAGAGAGAGAGAGAGAGAAATGAGAGGGGAATAGGGAAAGAAAGAGAAAGAGAGAGAGAGAAGTTTATCTAGATGAACAAGATGATTAGGTTGTGTTTTGAAAATTAAATCCAATTAGTGGTAAACAAGATTTCCATGGAAAGAGATTAACAACAAAATATATGACCAAAATGTAATGACAACTGGAAAAAACTTGTCCAGCTAAAGAGCTATTATGGCAAATAGACTTGTCCTGGATGCCTGGATGTAACCATTCTAAGAAATAGAGAAAGAAAAATTAATACATTGATTAAACATGGAACAATCCTCAAGGCTGTAGATGATTGTTTAAGAAGTTGGATAAAAATGATGATACTGATAGTCGGAGAGGGAGAGGGTGAGAGAGAGAGAAGTATAAAAGTGCCATTCATAAATACTTCCGCTAGCAAGTTATCGACTTACTGTCGCCACAGGTTTTCAAACAAAGCAAAAAATCTTACAAGAGGCCACTTGAGATGTAAGATGATGATGATGATGATGGAGAAGTTGAATAGAAGTGAAACTTGTAAGTAATATACACCTTAATAAAGGGAGAGACAGAAAGAGAAAGATACAGATAGAGAGGGGGAATAGGCTAACGTAGACAAACAAAGAAATTGCATGTTGGTAGAGAGAAATGAGCGAGACAAGGGGAAAAGGAGAGTAATGGATAGATGAGCTTGTTGATTTTGGAAATGATGATCCTGATGAAGAAAGTTTACAAAGATGGTGTTGATTTGTGAGTTGAGCCTCTTAACAATTAGTTTAATCAATACACTGATAGCCAGCCGTCTTCTCGTCTCGATCTGAAATATAACAGAAAACAAAAGATTATCAGTTAACTCAGAGGGGAAGAGAGTGAAAGTTATTTACCGATATAAATACATACATCTTTAGCTTGAAAAGCATGTGATGACTTTTGAAAAGCTTAATTTACCAATTAGTTGGAGGTTCACATGAAAGGCCGCAGTAAATGAGATTTTTGCACGCATATTGCTTGGAATGGACCAAAAATGTGTTGACATCATGGTAAAGTTAACATCAGCTGAACCCTTCACATCTGACATCTGACCATTTAACAGAGACGATGTTCTTAAAGAGCAATCCGCATCATGTGGGGAATGTTTTCATCAAAAACGACCGATAATCCAGCGGAACAATAATAGCATTAGTGAATATTTCACAAATAGGTTCGATTTTAGTTTAACTCTTAATTTACCACAATTAGAAACTTGCTAAACCCGAAAGTTAATAAACTTCAGTTTATTAAACTGTATAAAAACGTTGGAAACGAAAATTAATATAAGCGATTATTACGCCATCTTGCGAGTTTCTATTAAACTGATCTGGTTTAAAGAATAACTTCTTTCTTTCTTCTCTTTCTTTCATTTCTTCTGTTTATCTTTTTTCACAGTTTCAAGCAATTTTATTTTCTTCGACTTTCTTAATTGTCTGATCAGTTAATGTTAAGTTGTCATCGCTAATTTTCAGTTGTATAGTGTTATATCATTACTGGTTCAATTTGTGAATTCATTCTTTTTCTGTAATAGTGATTCATTCTAGTATTAACTTTTGTTCTTCACAATGACAAATATCTTTCATATATTGATATTAATCTTGGCTTCTCTGACCCTTGGTCACTCTGATAAATCAGTTCGTGTCGCTTTGAAGAAAATTGAATCCGTCAGACATAAACTACATTCTGCTGGTACCCCAATTAAGTATGCTTTACCTCGAAACCATCTTAAATCCCTTGTCAAAAATGGACCTATTCCTGAACCTTTAAGCAATTATCTTGGTAAGTATCCATTTTTATTTCATATTTTTTCTTTCATGTCATTGTTATAGTTGTAGACATTTCTCGCACGCTATTTTTATCCATTGTTTTAGTTTCTAATGCTGTATCAGTGCATCTCGTTTTCAGTGTGTCTTTCAATATGCCTGTGATTTTTCAAGCTATGCAATCTCTCAAGTTAATTTTCTGATATTTTGGTTTAGGGTTAAGAAAAAAAGTTGAACAACTGATCTAAATTCAACTTTTTTCGCCTTATTTTTATTTTCAATTTTTCACAGTTCAGCACAACGGTCATAATTGCGCAGCCAATACAATCAATTAGGAGATATTGCACCAATTGTCAAATCAAACCTTGACATTCATATAGTTTAATTAGCTTTACCCTTAAATTGATTGGAAACTATTTTTCAACCTGATCACTCCGATATAATCAAATTTTATTTTTTCAATTGAACGGTAAATGAAACATTTTATTATTTCATGAACTTTCGAGCAATTTTTCTGACCTGTAAAGGGGATTTTTTCCTGCTCTGTTTTTTAGATGAAATAAATCGATCGTTCATGCTATAGTTCAATCATTTTATAAGCTGTGAGGTCTATAAACTCCTAGAATTAATCTAAATTCTAGGATCATATTTCATTGAATTTCAAGTAAAGTGTGTTTATTAATAAAGAAGGTTCTTTGAAATTGAATGATCATTGTAAGTTTATAAATTAAAACAATTTACCATTGACTACTTATCTTACTCTTAAAGTAACTTCTTAATAACAATTTTCATACTCTCAATGGCAATTTTAATCATCATATCTGTTTATTTTTATATCTTACAAAGCACTCATTGTGTTGATATATGAACCTTTTTTAATCAACGTTTAATTTAATATTTGTTTGTGTAAAAATGAATTCTATCTGCATTGCTCTATTCACTAAATTATTTCAGTCATCATTATAAATTGTTCCTGACTCATAATTAACTGTTTTTGTTACCTTACTTGAACTTAGATGCCCAATATTATGGTGAAATTTCAATTGGAACCCCACCACAACCTTTCAAAGTTATTTTTGATACTGGTTCTTCAAACCTTTGGGTCCCATCCAAACAATGTAAATGGACAAATATTGCCTGTTTACTTCACAACAAATATGATCACGGCAAAAGCAGCACTTATGTAGCTAATGGTACCGATTTGGAACTTCGTTATGGAACTGGTTCTATGAAAGGCTTCTTATCCACAGATGTTGTTCGAGTTGGTACGTTTCAATGAATTTTTTTTGGAATACATTTATAATTCTTTTTTTTCATTTACAGGGACTGCTGCTGTTAGTAACCAAACATTTGGTGAAGCAGTTATTGAACCAGGAATAACTTTCGTTGCAGCCAAATTTGATGGCATTTTAGGCCTTGGATTCTCAAGTATTTCCGTTGATGGTGTCCCAACTGTATTTGAAAATATGGTCGCTCAAAATTTGGTTGATCAACCAGTCTTCTCATTCTACCTGAGTCGAGATCCAAGTGCTTCAGTTGGTGGTGAAATCATTTTTGGTGGATCTGATCCTGATCATTATGAAGGTGAACTATCTTATGTTCCAGTCACCCGCAAAGCTTATTGGCAATTTGAAATGGACTCAGTTACAGTTGATGGTTTGGAAGATGGCTTTTGCAAAGGTGGATGCCAAGCTATTGCTGATACAGGAACTTCGCTAATTGCTGGACCTGTTGAAGAAGTTTCTTACATAAACAAATTTCTCAAAGCTAAACCTTTGGTTAACGGAGAATATTCAGTTGATTGTGATCGCATCCCAAGTCTTCCCACTATCACCTTCACAATAGGAGGAAATCAATATTCTTTAACTGGAAAAGATTATATATTACAGGTATCTTCAAGTCTTACATTCATCTTAAATTTTAAGCTTATTACTTAACTTTTAAATGCATATTGATACTAAAATTAATCCAATTATTTTTATCATTTAATAGGTCAGTCAATTTGGACGAACAATTTGCCTCGTTGGTCTAATTGCCATGGATATTCCCAAGCCCATGGGACCTTTATGGATTTTGGGTGATGTCTTTATCGGACCATATTATACTGAATTTGACTTTGGAAACCAAAGATTAGGTTTCGCTAAAACCAAATAATAACTTAACAGACATCAAATGATACTTACATTAAACACACAATTGGAGCTTCAACCATCTTTTCATGCAAAAGATATTATTCTTAAACCAAATAACCTTTCATAACTCTTTAATCATTTTGTGAAATTGTTTAAATAGTTCAAATACGAATTATAAGGATAGACCCGAGCTCGATTGACAAAATATAATTTTGTACTAATAATGTTTATGAAAAGAACGATTTTGAAAAGTTGTTATTACTGATCTTTAAAAAACAATATGTAACATATATCTTCATGATTGGAAATAGTCTAGAAAAAAAATAATTTTAAAAGATTTATCAAAAAATCATCATTATTAATTGGCAAATCCACATATAACTTTTGCAAATATTTTGGTCTTCATTTACAACAAGAAAAAGGCTGACCAAATGGCCTTCAATTGCTATCACTTATTGTTGAAATATTAGCTATTTAACGGCTCCAAGTCCTTTTAAAAAGTTGATTAAACAGTAATAGCGGGTTTACCATATTTATATGTATATGTAATAGATTTCATGATCAAAAATATAAATGTTTCTTTCAAATCGCGAACGACTAGTTTTTGCAGGATTGAAGAGCCGAAACAAAAAGGGGAAAAAAGGCAAAAAGAGTTAGACATGATTAGATATAACAAACATGGTCGATGAAGGCTCAAGTTGATCCAATAGAAGATAATAGATGAAATAAATAAGCAATTCTGTTCATCAGCTGAACTTTCCAATTGATCGGATAAAATGATAAGTTTGATTAGTCAAATAATGATCACTGTTTTGTTCCTTTTGAAGATCTCTTGGTTAATGGCTGGTTAAAATACCAATTATCACCTAAATTGTGGAAGACCTAAATGAGACAGAAAAGATAAACAAAGAACATTATTGTAATATTTCATTAAATTAGAAGATTATTAATGAATTTTATGATAGAATTTCTTTCTTGTATTCAAATAGACGTAGAATACTGAAAATAAATTCTATATCGATAGTAAATATGATAATCTAACCCGATTAATCCATTTTTCTTTAGTTTGTTGCCTTTCTTTAACTAAATCCCGTTGACCTTGTTCAACGGCAAATTTGGCATTAGTAGCAGCATTAACATCACGCATTTTCAAAGCTCTGGTAACTTCTTTCCATAAACGCCTTGACTCATAAACCTCTTGCTCTGAGATGGGTTTGACAACCTTTTTAATCGTTTTCATAGCTTTTGTATCCACAAATACTTCTGCTTGACTATTTGGTCGTTTTGAATACATAACGCCATTCCATTCACCACTCAGTGTCATGATAACTTTCTTTGATGGATTCAATATTTCACCGGTAACTCGATGTTTTTTACCTCCATAGAAAGGCTGTAAAATAAGAAATACATTGATTAGAAGTGTTCACCAAATTATTTAATTTGTTGAAATGAGAATTTTCTCTTAAAAATTATCAATTCCTAATACTTTAGAATTAGAAATTTTTACCTTGGTTAAAAAATCAATATTTGCATGGTAACCTGATTGAGGACAAGTGACTGAAACAGAGCCTCCAAGCTCAATCCATGGTACTGTTAAAATCGATCGCCCATAGGCACTTGGAAAAGTGATTATATATTCTTCTCCTTTATCCAATAAATATATTGAGCCTTGGCCAATATGAAGAACTCCTATGGAAAGACCAAGAAATTTGGATTTCGTATAAATATGTGCCGAGCACATTATCCGTTTATCAACATGTTCAGCATAAAAAGCAGATATTGGTGGATGATGTGAAACTTGTTCAGCGAGAAAAGTGAGATCATTGGATGTTGCCCATGGGATTGGTCCATCTGAAACCAATTTTTCACCAGTTTCACTTTCAGACTAAAAAATATGGAAAAAAAGAAAAAGATGAATGTTAGTGAAATCTTCACAATTATTGATTATTTTTTGGTAAATGCATGCACCCATTAAATTTAAAGTTAATATCGGAATAAATTAATGGTTATTCATCCCAAATATTATCCATTAAATGATTTCATTGGGATCAAGGTTAATTTTTTTTGCATTTAAATTATTGACTCAGGAAATGCATTTTCTATTCCAATTAAAGATGAAAAGAGTTAAAGGCCAAGTTACCTGATTTGAAACTCCTGGTAATTTCCAGTAGCATTTGAATATTTCTCCTAAAACAGGGTTGTAAGGCTTTTTGGCAACACTGGTTTTTCGTCCAGCATGGAATGCAGAAAGATACCATCTAACAGTTGCTATGAATCGATCTTCTGGTGTCTCAAAATCAGGGATACTGGAAAAAAGGACAAAAAAATTAATATTTAAGTCACAATAACCATCATTTAGAGTTGAATGATAGAAGATAAAATCTACCAGTTTCAATCAACTAATGAACATATGTTTGGAAGGTTGGGTGGAAAGGTTGAGATGAAAATGAGGTAATGTATCAGATTAAGTTGAGCTGATCAAGAAATTAGGATCATGAATGGGAAGAGATAACAAGATAAAAAGCTATATTATATGCAATATCACATTAGCAAGTTTAGCATGAATGATTAATCATGAACAGAAAATAATCAATTGAATAGGTAGATTACATATAAATGGAAATTTAAAGCTACTGCAAGCAGAAAAAATGGAAACAAAAGCTAACATTTATTAATTGACCCAGGAATAAATGCGTTAAATTGAGGAAACCTTTGGAATCATTGGAGAATTGGAAAGAAAGAAATAGAAAGAGGGAATCAGAAGCACAAAAAAATGTTGATGATGTTGGCAAAAATTGTCAATTTTCAAAAGTAAAGTTGAGGTAAAAAGAGCACAATTATGATAAAATGAATCATTATAAAATTGATTGGGTTGCACATATTATGTCATTGGTATAGCTATCTACGAAGAGAGAAATCTATTGATTGTTACAAGGATAATAATAACAATCATATTGGTGATAGTGATGATGTTGGTCCTGCACTGATGCTAATGGTGATGAATGTATTAAATGATAAATTCAGAGGGGTGAGAGAGAAATAGAGAGACAAAGAAGGGTAGACAGGTTGAGTAAAGACACTGGGTATTGGTATGTGATTGAAAAAAGGAATATTATTGAGATTTGTTCAATTGGAGGGAGATTATTGAGTTTAAAGAATCTGCATCTATTTACCTGGTAAATAAATCGGGATGGGCAAAAAAATCGGCATACATTTCCAAAAGAGATCGCCTTTCCAAAATAAAGGTAGGTAAAACAACTTTAGTTAAATCCATACCAATTTTAACTTGGGATAAAAGGTGAGATATAACCGATCCATGGCTTTCAAAAGAGCTGAGGTCATCATCATCGTCCTCTTCATAAAATTTATCGTAATCTATGGTTGAAGAATCCATATTAAAGTCACTCAAAGAGTTAATGTTGAAAGATTCGATAGTCTTACAAGCAGCATCAATACTACCAATTGGTGAAGTGAGAGAAGGTGTTTCTTCAGTGGCATCATAAAAACAATCTTCCTCATCACTACTTGAATAGGACATCTCAGGAACACCATTTAAACCAATATCACCAAGAACACGTCTTTTTAATTTGTTATTATCCACTGAATTGGTTGAACTTGCACTTTCTGGTCTACTATGGGAACCAACATCACGATTAAAATGATGATCTCTAATTTGTGTGACAGTCCCTTCTTCTTCCTCTTCTTCCTCTTCTTCTCCTTCTGTAGCTGTTGTTGTTGTTGAGGTGTTGGTTAGTTTTAGTGAAGATCTATTACCACTTGGATCATTTGGATCATTTTGACAATCCGAATCTGATAGGGATGACCTTGTTTCAGCTTTATTTGCATCTTTTGTTGACTGTTGTGTTCCTTCCGAGTTTGTATTCATTCTTTCATTAAGCACACCATTAATAGGATTTAATGTATTCTGTGAGTATAGATGAAAAAAATACAGATTAATGCACAATTTAAATGATGGATACAGTGATGCAGATGATGATTTTGATTGTGATAATTATAGATAAAATAACAGAATTGAAATCACAGTGAATTAAAGAAATAAAAAAATGACACAAAAATAATAAATTTAACTGGCTTATAATCAAACTACCTTTTATACTTTGAGAGGCAAAGTGAGATACTGTGTTTATGATTTCTGGATTAGTTTCTCACTGAATCTTTCACATGAATTGAGCAAGATCGATAAACATGGGAAATCAATGGCTAGTTGAGATATTCAAAATAACCAGATTGGATATGAATTGAAAAATTTTAGATGAATTATTAAAAACAAATAACAAGTCTGATCAAAAATACAACTGCAGCTATTAATAACAAGTATCAACAAGGGGAGTGATGAAAACACTTGCGATGCAACTAGCAATAATTGATAGTGATTTTGCTCTTTCTTTTTCATAGTCAAATTGATAAGCTAATCTACAAAGGAAAAGTTGGAATGATCATTTTCTGTAAAACATGAAAGTTAAATTTTCAACTAATAATAAGGAAAACATGATTAACCACCCAGAACATTTTGTAAAAGTACTTAAGAAAATACATACATTCAAGATTCAGTTGAATGAAACTACTAAAAGGAGAGGAAAGCAGCTACAATTATAATAACTAATACTGTCTGCTGGATTACAATGGATTTAATTCAGAGTATCTTCAATTCCAAGCAATTAGAATTTTTAGGTATGAAAAAACATGTCTGAACAACAAGAAGCACAAACAGATAAAATGATATCAAACAATGTGTACAACAATCAAACAATCACACAACCTTACCATACATCAGTTTCCGTCTAAATACGGTTTAAAGTAAACTGATAAACTGATATAGATACTGAACAACTAAATAAACATCTTGATTTTTAGAGATGGGAAGTTTCGTTTAAAGGTAAGTTTAAGATAATCTAATGGCTATGGAAATCGAAAGAAAATTTGACCAGTCAATGAAAATTCTGAAAAATTACAAACAATAAAAATAAAAGTGCAGCGTAATGGTAAAATAGAGGTAAAAAGATACAGTAATTAATAAGCTGTCCTACCTTGGCAATTTGAAGAAGAATAATTGTATGTTTAACTGAATCTAAAAGAGACAATAGAGAGGCCTTAATATCAACTAATTTTTGTTTATCTCCCTCATCGGTAGCGGAGTCGATTTGATTATCCAAATGCTTTGATTGGTTAATTAACAGATTAAGATAAGTATCTGTTTCGGCAATTTTTCTCTCATAATCTCTTATTGATGGAACCTGAAAGTGTTCACTTCGCTTAGGTCTACGTCGATGAGTATGCCTAAGAATGGTCTCCTCTAAAGCTGTTACCCATTTTACTCGTTCCTCTGCTGTTTGAGCTTGAAAATGAAACATTTTACAATCAACGGTTATGGTGAAAGTACAATCTTCTTCGGCATCAATTCCAATAACAGCACCTTTCAATCGGACACATCCTCGTCTATCACCACGAACCATTTTTTCCTTTGAAGTGTAGTAAGATAGTAAAGCTTGATCATGATCCAAAACAAACCAACGGTACTGCCAACCATTCACAACATTGGTCCATTTACAAAGTGGACCTTCCAATATACTCATTATTCACCACTTTAATACAAATTTGATTAGATAATAACAACAATAAATAATTAAAAATGGATAAAATTGATCAAGTCAAAACTGGTAAAAATGAAAACAAATAAACAAAACCGAGAAAAGGCTGAGCTAATGAGACAAATTTATAAACGGTCCCTAAGGAGGAGTTAAATTTAATTTTACATCAAATTTCATTGCGATTTCTTAATCATTAAATCACTCAATGAATTTCCCTTCGTAAATTATCGATAAAAGACTCTAGAAATCAGATTGAAAACACAATTTAGGTTGAATTTGATCAATCAAGGAAGCTTGAAAAAGATGAAAATACGATGCCCGGCAAATAGTGTGAATAGGCTATTCCAAGAGATTTACACATGCCTGCTACAGTTTACTTCTGTAGCCCGCCAATCTCAAAAAAAGTTCATGATCAAGATTCAGGTTGAGTTTACAATAAATTATTAAGTTTTTGGGTTACAAAGTGTTTCTTGGATTACGTAGTTCGTTGGTCACACCACCATCTTGATGGAAACAGGTATTAGGTGTTAATCAATTGAATAAAAAGCAAAGCTTTGGTTATACACTTATTCACCATTACTTTGTTATTCTCATGAAAATAGTGAAGGATTGGAACCAGTTAACATCCATTTGGGCACTTTCAACCAAATTTCAGTTCATTTACAACGTTTATCGATGAAATTAAATAAACAATCGAAGGAAATAAACTTAATAATGTGTAATAAAAAATTGTCGATTGTAATCAAAACAAATTCACCGGTAAATAAATGTTATGGTGCCCCCTAGTGAATAATATCTATAGTGGAACATCAGATTGAATGCGCAAACATCATTTTAATTTTATTTATCTTTAAACATCATTCATTTTTTTTTCTCTAATGAATGGTTTGGATTAATTGTTTTGTTATTAAATGTTGAATTTAAAATTATCACAGTTTTCCAATTGATTCGTTAACCGTTTCCATCTTGTTTGTTACAGTCATTGTAGTCTCTGTTTTCCACTGATTCAATCTTACTGTTTAGAAGTCAATATCTTACTTTAACATTATCAAATTGGTAATCATTATTTTTTAACAGTTAATTATATTAAGTGTTCACCTCCGTGATGACTCAAGTAAACGTTTTCACCAGCGAACCAGTTCCTTGCCACTCATTTTCTCCGGATAGATCAAGTAAGTGAATAATCGTGTATCAAAAGTGAACTTGTCCCATCTAGTCTGCTCTTTGATCAGTCTAGTGGTGATCATTTGACTGGAACAAAGTAAATTATCATCCATCATCTTTGACATTTATCGAATTAATGATTCGTTGGATTGAAAGCAATCCTCGAGCCTTCTTCTTTTCGAGTCTTTATTTTCCAACTTCTTTGATTTATTGCTTTGTTCATTTTTCATCTTAAGTAAACTTTTGAATTAGGTTCATAATAACCGGTCTCTTTGATATGACTCTGTACTAATCTCTGGTTTTACTTTTTCTATCATCTATTCACAGAAGTCGCAATATCTCCAAATAACAATGAAGTGCACATATTTAAGAAGGACAATTCCAAGTGGTTACAGGAAACTGTTCTTTCTCAACATGATCTTCGTGTGACATCCATTGATTGGGCTCAAAAAACTAACAAAATTGTCAGCTGTAGTGCTGTAAGTGTTTATTCAATTCTATTGTTTACATTGAATCACATTCGGATTTCTTATTTCCAAATCAGGATAAAAATGCCTATGTTTGGTCTCTTGATAATGGTGTTTGGAAACCTACATTAGTTATTTTAAGAATCCATCGAGCAGCTACAGTTGTACGATGGTCACCTAATGCAGATAAATTTGCAGTTGGATCTGGAGACCGTACTATATCCGTTTGTTTCTTTGAAGAAGCAAACGACTGGTGGATTTGTAAACATATTAAAAAGCCGATCAAATCAACTGTTACCTGCCTTGATTGGCATCATAACAATATCCTGCTTGCCTGTGGTTCAACTGATTACAGAGCTAGGATATTTTCAGCTTATGTCAAAGAAGTTGATTCAGCAAATCCGGAGCCCAGTGAATGGTCATCAAAACCAACTGCATCAACTGGAAATCTTATCGGTGAATGGACTACCGGTGGAGGTAAATTAATAAGGACTATAAATAAATCTCTACTTCCATAAGAAAAAAAGGAGATTGTAACTAACCTGTTTCATCCCATTTTTTTGCAACACAATTATGTTATTAGTCATGTTCACTTGTTTCCCTTATAAACCTATCAGTTACATCCTTTTAAAGCAAAAAAGCTCAAGTCTCTTTTGGATCTGTTTCATTTATGCATTTCACTCACATCTACACACCTCTGTCTTTCCAAAGCCTCTTCTTCCACATCTACTATCATATTAGTAACTTTATCTAACTGTTCACTAGTTACACCCTCAATCAATTGGGTTGTTCAAAAGCCTTCTCTACCATTTTCAAATTTTATTAAACATTTGTTATCTTTTTTCTCTCAATCCAGGAGGATGGGTTCACGGAGTTGCTTTTTCTCCTGATGGTTCCAAATTGGCATGGGTATCCCATGATTCTTCAATCTCTGTTGTTGACGCCAAGAAAAATCAAGCTTTCATCACTGTTAAAACTCCTGATTTACCATACTTAACTTTAATTTGGTCCTCCAATCGTTTTATTATTGCTGCCGTGAGTTTTATTCATAGATTTTTGTTTCTTTATTAAGAATAGTTTTTAAAATTGTTTTTTTGCTTTTATTCATAGGGTCATGACTGTTGTCCAATGTTATACAAATACGATGAAAACAGTGGAAAACTAGAATGTCTCGAGAAGTTAGATAAATCAACTAAAAAAGAGACCGACGGTTTCAGTGCGATGAGAAAATTCCGAGAACTAGACAAATTTGCAATCAGCTTGAATGATAATTCAAGTAGTGACTCGATATCGGACACCATTCATCAAAATAGTATCAGAGAAATTCGCGCACATTCATTATCGAAATCAGGAGGAGTTGACAGAATATCCACCGTTGGCTTGGATGGAAAGATGGTTTTTTGGGACACTAGTCGCTATGTTTAATTGAAATTATAACCAACGTGGTCCAAAACCTAGTTGAAGATCACAAAAATGAGACAGTAAATAAAGCCAATTCAAACTCGATCATCAAAGATAAAACAAGAGCAGGAGACAAGCAAGAAAAATTACAGCCACCGTTAACATATATTCTTATATATTTTTTTCTCTCCCTACCTTTTTTTCTATAGCTTGCCTCTCTTTTTCACCCCTTCACCTTTTTTATTTCATTTCTTCCTGAAGAATTCAATTTACTGAAAAAGATTTTGTTTTGTGTCTTTTTTGAAGAAAACTTCATTTTTCGTTTGATATCTCGGATCGATGTCAAAAAGTGATTGATTTCCGGATTGATCATTAATTTCCAGTTTACTTCTTTTACTTTTACGAACTTTTTTCTTCCTTATCAATCATTCAGTTTTAGATGCGTGAAAATCACCATATTTGAGTAGACGATCGAAAAATGTGGTCAAATTTGAACAAAATGTTGCTTGGTCAACAAACGAAACAAAATCTAGTATTAACTAAGAGGTGGAAAGGGGTGAAAAAGATTAATTAAACAGTTTATAATTCCCTTTTATCAAGGTTACTCTTTTTAATATTGTACTCTTGTTATATATTAAGGTCTCAATTGGAAACTTTGTTGGAAACTGTTTTAACAAATTACTGTCTTTTTTATGTACGGTAATAAATATTACAATAAATTTCCATTAAATGAGTTTTCCAGTAAACATTGTACAAACAAAATAACAAGAAATGCAAACTTTTCAAAATTTATTATTTATTTAGTGGCAGCGAAGATTAAAATTAATCAATTTAAGAAAGATTAAGTGAAATGTAAAGTCAAGTTGACAAGGTAAGTGAAGGGATCAAGAAAGGGATTAAGGACAATAAATTAACCAAATGCTTTACATCAACATAATTAATCTTCAAATTTTGAACGTAATTATTATAAAAAATAATCATATTGTCATCTTTAAGAGGAATGTGGAAAGAACAAGGGATTTCATTAACTAAATTGTGTTATTTACAATAAATGATTACAATAGATGACCCAACCTCTGAGGTTCGAATTGACTGACTTCCCCTTCAACTAAACCTGAAGTGTCGTTATTATCTGGTGAGTTATGATGATTTGCTCCCAACTCATGGTATTCATGAGCTTCGGATGAATTTGTTGCTGGTGCTGTTACTGTCGGGATTGGTGGTACACGCTGTCGAACACGAGTTCGTAAAGTAGCTGCGAGTGATGTGTAATGGTTGGATTCAGTTTCTGGTAATAGATTAGCAGTTGAAATCGAGGTTGTCTCTGGTAAACCATCGTAAATTGAACCTAAACCTATTGAAGGACCAACTCGATAAGATAATTCCTGTTCTTCGTAAAGCTTGAAGCCTGTCTCAGACCATAAAGGATTTTCTTTGGCTGATGTTCGATTGCCCGTGTTAGTTGCATTATTGGTTGGAACTTGTTGTCTCTTATCAGCATTGGAAACGCTTTTTGGTTTTCTCCATCTTGATTTAGCTGTTTCTTGGCCGGATAGTCCAGGAGCTAAGTGAAGGCTACTTCCGTGGACACTTTGAGGTGATTCTGGTGCTTGGTTTTGATTATTTACATTGTTAAGACCTTTCATAGCAGAAACCTTGGCTTTGTAAGCTGCTTTTGACGCTGATTCAATTAATTTATGATGATACCAGGTTCTTAGGCAGCAACAACCAACAGCCATTGAAAGGAACCCAACAATCAATAAAAGGACAAGAACCATTAAAACTATTGAAATTAAATCCATATCTTCAATATCTGAATAAAGGAAGGATGATCTAGATTGGCCAGATGATCCTGCTAATGATATTTCTTCAATCATTATTTGATTTTCACTAGATAATAAATCGGCTCGCGAATCTAATTTGGCTATTATTCGTGAAGGGCTTAAGTTTGTGTAGGTTCTGTCATCAACAACAAGAGCATAAACATCGGACCATATTTTGACTGGACGACCAATTTTTGAGCTATAATGATACCTTATATCATTGATTATTGTACGTGAATCAGTTGCATTGCATAGCAGCTCTTCAATTTCATCTTTACGAGCATTTATTGCCTCGGGTTTCATGCGAATAGTTACTTTGATTAACTTTGACTCATCGTAAACCCAAAGGTAAACTTTTGATGTTGCTGTCCTATGAGGTGATGCTTTTTCACGAGCTTCGAGATGAAGTATAAATCTTGATCCAACTGAATATTGAGCCATTAAATGAGCAGTTACTATTTTACCTGATTCAGCATCAATTGTAAACGGAGATGGAATTGGACGAACAGGAGTATCAGGCGAATCATAACCTTTACGATACAAATCAATTGATGAAATTGTGTAAACAAGACTTGAATTTACTCCTTGGTCAGGATCAAAAGCTTTAATTGAAACTGATAAAGCTCGACCAATTTCAGCACGATGATTTATTCCAGCTCGATAGATGGGTTTGCTGAAGGTGGGTTTATTATCATTTAAATCACTAATTATCACATGGACCAGTGCTAAAGATAAATCATCTGGGTCGTAAAGGCGAGATTTTATAGATTCTTTATCTGCAACTTTGCGAAGATCACCAGAGCGATTCAACAATGAATTGAATTCACTATATGATGGTAATAGCTCGTTTGGTGAAGAAACATCGCTAAAGGATAAATCAGGACTTGAAGAAGCTTTGATTACCAGATAATAGTCTTGTTGAACTTCACGGTCAAACGAGATATTACTAAAAAGCTGCCCAGTAGATCGATCAATGTGAAACTCTCCTGGAGCTCCATTAGTTCCAACAATATAATAATAGATTCGTTTATCTATTACATCTCGGTCAATGGCTAATAGTTTACCAATTAAACTTCCTCTGGGCTGATTTTCTGGAATGGTAAATAAGTATGTTTCATCAGTATTACTATGGCGAGTAAATTCAGGTTTATTGTCATCCATGTCTTTAATTTTCACTGTTAGCTTTTGAAGATTTTCAAATGACTGAGGCTCTCCCATATAATCTACAACTGATAAGACTAATTCATATGAATCATGTTGTTCTCTGTCAAAGGATATTTTAGAAGTTATCAAACCCGAATCGGAATCAATACGGAATTCATCAGTTTCTTGTACATTAGTTGAAGCATCCTTTTTAAATGAATAACGAACAACTCCGTTATGGCCGTTATCTTCATCATAAGCCTCAACTCGGATTACTTTTGTTCCTGGTTTTTGGTTTTCCAAAAAGGCAATTGTTGGGCTTGAAGGAATAATAAACTTAGGCTTGTGTCGATTCATTTCAATAACTTTGATCTTGACATGTGTTTCGTCGAAAAATGGTCCTGAACCAGATTGATCTCGAGCTTCAATTCGCAATTTGTATTCTTTAACGTTACCATTAACTTCGAGAGGTGATTTGACTGCATAAATCATTCCAGTTGCTCGATCAATGTCAAAAACATTTCGAGTATTGCCAGATACGATTCTATAAGCTACTTGACCATTAATTCCTTCATCAGGATCAACAGCACTTACTTGAAGAACAGGAATACGATTCAATGAAGGAGAACCATCAAAATGTCCAAATATTGAACCTTCATAATCACGAGAGGTGAAAGTTGGGGAATTGTCATTGACATCTTTTATTCGTATGTAAACTGGAATTGAAAGGAATCTATTGTGAGTATTTTGACGCGAACCATCAATATCAGTCGACTCTGAACCATCAATAGGGTTATCTGTAGCGGCAACTTGCACTATTATTTCCCGAAAGCCTTTTTCTCGGTCCAATATTGCACCTGGAGCAACTTTTATCACTCCAGTTTCTGAGTCAATGATGAAATAGTCTGAATTGACACTAGAATCCACATTTGACACTGGTGATGATCCACTTTGACTTATTATAGAATATGCAATTTTACCAAATTTACCACGATCACGATCAACTGCAGTCACTTTAAGCACCACAGAACCTGATGGACTATCTTCAGGAACTGTTGTGTTATAAAATGGTACATCAAATTGTGGCTCATTGTCGTTAATATTTATCACATTAACTGTTACTTTTGCAGTTGCTGATAAAACTGGTATTCCTGAGTCATAAGCGTACACAGTAAATCTAAGTGGAAGGGAAGCATCATTTGGATCATGATTAATTTGAGAGTCAGTATCAGGATCTATACTGAACAATGGTAGTTTTTCAAAATCTATCGACTTTTTGATAGTTAACACTCCGGAGTCACCATTGATCTCAAAATATTCACTTTCAGGCTTAATAGTGTAATTAGCGATTTTTGACTCTAAATCGGTTGCTAATAAACTTGCAACAACTGTACCACTGGGAACCTCCTCAACAATTGAAAAGGTCATCTCAGTTCGAGTAGGTGTCCAAGGAAGACTGAAAGTTGGTGGAGAATCATTATGATCAATTAGAGTAACAATTATATTACCAAAACCAATTTGTGAGGTTGGGGTAGATGAAGAAATGTCAGTAACGCTAACGTTTAGAGTAACCACTGTTGCCAAATCACGATTCAATTTAGATCCGACAACGATGTAACCATCACTGTCAATAGTGAAAAACTTTTCCACCTCATACATGTTTTGGTCATGAGGACGTATTCTAAGTCCATTTTTGTCCACACCTTGGACAGTTTCAATATGATAGATAAGTGAAGCTGCTGAATCAGCATCAGGATCAGTAGCATTTAATCGATGGATTCGAGTTCCAGGAGGTGTTGCTTCATTAACTTGACATCTTTGAGTTGTTGGATAAAAGTATGGAGATTTATCGTTATCATTGATCAAGTTTACAGTCAATTGAGTTGTTCCAGTTCTAGAAGGAACACCTAAGTCAACAGCGATTATATCAATAGTATAAGTTGGTTTACGGTCATAATCCAAAATAGAGGAATTTGAAACTGAAACAAAACCAGTTGCTGGGTCGATGGTGAAGGCATCAAAAGAACCTTTTTCGATGGCATAATTAATCTCGGCATTTAACCCAGAATCAGCATCAGTGGCTGTTACACGATCTACAACAGTACCAGGCTCAGCTGATTCAGAGATTGATGCTGTATATGATTCCTTCTCGAAAACTGGTGCGTTATCGTTGGCATCTCTAACTGTTATTTCAACGTCAGCTGTGGCCAATCCTTTTCCACCATCACTTGCTTGAACTTTAAGGATGATCCTTTCTTCCTTGGATCGTACCTCTTGATTAACCTTAATCTCACCTAGACGAGGTTCAATTGAGAATAATCTCTCCGAATTACCGGATAGCAAGGAATATGTTATGACTGATGTAAAATCAGGATCACGGGCTTTAACTCGTAAAGGAGGTTCAAATTTAGTTGAACCTTCATCGATGATGGCAGTGTATTTATCTCGTAGGAAAACAGGTGGATTGTCATTTGAATCCATTACATTGATTTTCAATGGCACCACAGCTGTTTGACCAAAGCCATCATTTGCTTGATATGATAAATAGTACGATGAACGAGTCTCGTAATCAATACAGTTTCCTCGACCAGGTGTATCACATTCAGCTACAGTAATTACACCAGTTGTAGGATGAACCGAAAACAAATGAGCACCATTACCAAACAAAGAATAAGTTAATGAAGTAATCTTGGCCGAATCTCGATCAGTTGCTTTTATAGTACGTATAATTGTTCCAGCTAAAGCATCTTCAAGAACGGTTCCAGTGTACATTTCCTCTTCAAATATTGGCTGATTATCGTTGACATCCTGTTAAGAAGAAAACAAATTATTAACAAAAACATCAACATAATAAATAATGAAAACAAAACTGGACAGTTTAACACAAACAAAGAATAGCAAGTGAGTCAATTTAAAGAAGTGACTAAAAGTTGAAAAGCTTACCTCGATCATAACAGTTACTGTAGAGGTTGATGATAATCTTTCTTTAGTGAAAGCTTCTGTTGCCGTAACAAGTAAAATAAATTTACGTTGATTTGGATTTTCATAGTCAAGTGGACCTTTGGCAACTTTAATTGAAATTGATGATGATCCTGTGGCCAATGGAGGCTCTACGGAAAAAATACCTGATGCATCATCCAAGGCAATATTAAAAACTGAATTGGATCCCGTATCACGATCTTCAACTAACATATCAAGCGATGCTAATGGAGTACCATTTGGAACACCTTCAGGAATTGTAACTTGATATTCATGGCGATTAAACTTCGGTGCTTCATCATTTACATCTTGTAAAGTAATTGTGACTGAAGCAATGGATACTGCCAGAGGATCGTCTCGGTTGTTATAAGGTAAATCAATAGAATCAACTTCAATGGCCTTTACTTTTAAACTTATTACACCATTGGTAGAGGGAAAAGCTTCCTTATCTAATTTATTGGCTATTCTTAATTGACCAGTTTTCAAATCTAACTTGAAACATTCCATTGGATTTGTCAACAATTCATAAACAACTGGACGTCCTCGTTGATTAATATCATTAGAGTTCAATGAATCAACACCTGATCGGTATGCTTCAACCGATAATGAATCTCCATCAATGGCTCGTAACGTCATCACAAGAGAACCAATTGGAATGTCTTCTGAAATGACCGCTGTATTAGATCCTACGAAAACTGGTGGTTTATTTTGAACATTGGTGACCATCACTTGCACAATAAGAGCTGAACTGTGTGACCCATCACTTACTGTTAAGGATAACTCAATGGGTTCCATATTGGGTCGGTATGAGATTGGTTTTATCAAAGCAACAGAGAAACTGATCAAATTAGTAGTCGCTTCATTGAGCAGATTAACAGTGAAATGGGGAGGACAATTTTTACAAGATACTCGTAAAATTGATCCAACCAAGTCAATGTCTCTTGCTGTCAACCTATCAACAACCAATGTTCCTGGTGGCGAGTCTTCACTTATATTTACAGTGATTACATTATTTTGTTTGGTTGGTGATCCTTCCAAGTCAAAACGAGGTGCATTATCGTTTTCATCGATAATGAAAATGGTGATTGGAACACGAACACGATTATTGCTGTTGAACTGATCAACTCGGCCACCTTTAGGTACAATATCCTCTACGTAAACATTGAATTTAACCGAGCCACCTAAAGATTCTCGGTCAATAGATTGGGCAACTGAAACTGAGCCTGTGACTGGATTAACGGAAAACAAGGAAGTCCCTTCAAGACCATAAGATAAACTTGAATTTTCTGGATCGTAAGCCTGGAGGGTTCCAATGACCGAACCAATCGGACTATTTTCGTTTACCACAGAAAGGTCAAGATTTTTGATGAAAGTCGGTGGTTTATTTGCATGACTTGGCAAGACCAGAAATAGTATCACAATGGTGGTTAAAGTTGACACAAAATTTGACAGAACCATAATGGGAACAAACAAACAATTGAAATCAAAAGAAATGAAGACAAACCAAAAATAAATTAAAACTGTTCGCTTATAATTTAGATTAACCCGTTGGCCTAATTGAAGTCACCGTTTACAACAATGATAAAGATGAGGATAACGATAAAAAATGGATGATGTTAAGCTGATGGTAAGGTTAACCATTAGATGACCTGTTATAAAAGATTCCTTAACAATTGGAGTAAAGTATTTTTGTTGATGGAATCAACAAACTATCGTAAATCAAAAATTAACCAACATGATGAATATGGATTTAAATTGGAAAACAATTTCATAGATTAATCAGAAGTATTGGTAAAATATCTTTCATTTTCTTCTACATCGTTTGACTTGGCACTTTGAGTCCGTTCAACATTTTGGCCAAACCAACAGACAAGTTATACAACACTTTGGTTTGTTGCTCTTGTTGGTTAAGAGGTTGGCCGAAGGAGCAAAAGCAAGGTATAAGATGAAGATGATGATAATGATGATGGGAATAACAAGAAAGCAAAGTAAGTATCATTGAAAGAGAGTAAATGATTCCTTTCTTTTTTACCTTTCATTCTTATTTTTTCAGCTTTTCTCAAAGATCTTAAAGACTGGTTCCTTCAAAGGCATTCAGAGGGAAAGACCTGAACTGGTTTTCGCTTTTTGTTTGATTTCTCAAATTGACGCTGCTATCTTTTACACTTCATCTCATTATATGCTTTTGGTAAACAATCATTGCCATCATGCAATTACTTCCTAACATCACCAATTTGAGCTTTTCATCAGCTGTAATGTTTACTAATAAGTGTTCATTAACTCAAAGGTTCAATGTTTGAAACAATTGATCAGCCAAGACATAAACATTGTAAACAATATCACAGTATAACTGATTGTGAGTTGACTGATGAAGGTGATGTTAATTGATATTTCGGTGAATTAATGGTTTCAGACTTTCATAACTCCTTTAATTGGTATTATCATTGCTTTTACATTGCTGACAATTTGTTTGCTTAGTACAAATGTGTAAATTTTAATTTGTTAGCTTTGCTATTCAAATTGTGATTCGCCTCAGTTAATTTTCAACATTAATCTTTATGGAAACTTTTAAGTGTTGTTTATTAACTTGATGTTGAAAGTGATTTACTTTGAATCATTGATGCACAATTTAACCATACTTTCAAATTCACTGTTGCATTGATTTTTTTACCTGTGATCATTAAACGGGACTGAATCGTTCCGGTTAGGCTAAATATTACGTTTCAAGGGATAGATAATTATTTGAGATTGAAGCTTTCCATTACTCAGATCAACTGAATTTAAATTATCCTTTTATTTTTTTCAGCCCAATATTTATTCAACTCAAGTTGACGTTCAAAATTAGATGTTGATTTAAAATGTTAAACTCTCACTTACAGTTTACTCATAATCTTCAGCAATTCAATGTCGATCAACAATCAATTTCTTTGATTCAATTGTATTTCTTTCATGTTTTATTGTAAAGAGTATGTTAACTCAAATCCGGTTGACCATGACATTATATTAATCAAAATGCTAAAGAGTTACATTCAGGTTTTTATGAATTCACTTGATTATCAATGACTGATCAGGTAAATCCTTTTGCCTTATTTTTTGTAATCATTGTTGGTTCAAATCATTTCATTTCTAAAGCAGACCAAATACATTTTCATGTGGTCAGCCTATTAACTGGTTAGCCAATTGATTTATAGTTTGACTTTAATTGCTGATGTTTGAAAGCAACTGTTTCTTGATTGTATGATTTATTCACTGTTAGAGAAATGCATTCCGCTAAAGAACCGAGAAGTTAATTTAATTGATAAAAGGTGGCATCTTGATCATTGCAGTTCTTTACATCATATGTTGAAGTCACTTGAATGACTTTGTTGATGCTTTGGTATTATGTTTAACGATGTGCAGTTTTCAATTAATTAGATATTAATCGAAATTACCTTATTAATCAGACACTAGAGGATCACATAATTCGATCCTCTAGGTTTTTATCATTATTTCAACTTTCTTCCTCTCATGATTACGTTTTGAGTGCATTTTGTGTCTGAAAAAAGGAAAAGAGAGTTACTATCTCTTTTCTGTTCCAGTTTTTAAATGATTCGGTGTTTACTTCAACTTAGCCGAACTAAATTCACCGGTAAACATTTTGTCTTACACTCTGACAGATCTTTGATCAAAAATTACAAGTCATTTTATCGTTTGTTTCATGGTCTTGGCCATGGTAGTGAGGCTAATGGTCTCACATCAGCGAATAATAAAGTCGGATCATGGTCAATAATAAAACAAATGACCAGTTATGTTTGGCCTAAGGACAAACCTGAGCTGAAAAAACGGGTCGTTGTTGCTCTTGGATTATTAGTTGCTGCAAAGGTAATATGCAAAATTATTTTTTTTACATGATAATCTAAACAATATTTCTCTTATTTATAGGCAGTAAATGTCTCCGTTCCTTTCATTTTCAAGTATCTAATTGACTTTTTGAATACAAGTCAAGGAACACCATTGAACTTCAGTGATCCTGCAACCACTGCTATCACGTCTGCTATCTCATTAGTTGTAGCATGTTAGTTCTTTTTATCAAAACTGCTTTACACCTTTATTAATATCCCGTGTATTTGTTTCAGATGGTGTCTTCAGGGCTAGTGCATCTTTATTCAATGAATTGAGAAATGCAGTTTTCGCCAAAGTTGCTCATGACTCAATAAGAACTGTTGCTAGAAATGTTTTCCTTCATCTTCATAAATTGGACCTTTCTTTTCATCTGTCAAGACAAACTGGTGCACTTTCCAAAGCAATTGATCGAGGAACCAGGTATATTTTTAAACTATTAATATAAATGAACCCGCTTACCAATTATTTTCACGTTTTATCTTTCACAGGGGTATTAATTTTGTTTTAAGTGCAATTGTTTTCAATGTTGCACCTACAATACTCGAGGTTGCCTTGGCTAGTAGTATTCTGGTATGAATCATTTATCCTTTTCTTTTATTTCCTCCATTTTAATTTACTTCATTCTACATCTTTCTAGTATTATAAATGTGGTCCGCAATTCGCAGCTATCACGCTCATCTGTATTGGTAGCTACTCTGCTTTTACTTTCGGGGTTACTTCATGGAGAACAAAGTTTCGTTTACAAATGAACAAGGCGGAGAATGATGCCGGAAATCATGCAATCGACTCTCTAATTAATTACGAGACTGTTAAATATTTCAACAATGAACAGCATGAAGCTGCTTTATATGAAAAAGTACTTAAAAAATATGAAGAAGCTTCACTAAAAACGTCAACAAGTTTAGCAATGCTTAATTTCGGACAAAATGCTATATTCAGTTCAGCTTTGGCTGGTGTTATGGGATTAGCTGTTGTTCAGATCATAAACGGTAAGAAAATGTACTTATGCATTCTATACTAATCCAACTATCAATTTTTCATTTTGAATAACAATCAATTTTATCAAAAATATCAGGCAATATGACTGTTGGTGATCTTGTTATGGTTAATGGCTTAGTTTTTCAACTTTCTATGCCTCTGAACTTTCTTGGAACAGTTTATCGGGAAGTTAGACAATCACTAATTGATATGAAAACTATGTTTAGCATTCTAAGTTTGAAGTCAGCGATACAAGTAAGTTTTTTATTTTTTACGGGTTTTGTTTTTTTTGATAATTTTGCTAATGATTTGACTTATCTTTCAACTTTAGAGTAAACCAGGAGCTCCCTTTTTAAAAGTTACACCAGAAAATGCCTCTGTTGTTTTTGACAATGTTTACTTTGAGTATGTGAAAAACCAGCCAATTCTCAATAACTTATCATTTGAAGTTCCTGCTGGTAAAAAAGTTGCTTTCATTGGCGGTAGTGGATCAGGAAAGACTACAATAATTCGCTTAATGTATAGATTCTTTGAGCCTCAACAGGGCAAAGTTCTAGTGGCCGGACAAGATATTAAAGATATTGATGTAGATAGCTTAAGACAAGCTATTTCCGTTGTTCCACAAGATCCAGTGCTATTTAATAATACCATTGAATACAATTTACAATATGGTAATTTCAGTGCTTCCCAGGAGAGGATTCATGAAGCGTCTTCTATGGCTGAACTTCATGACTCAATTCAACGCTGGCCAAAGGCGTATCAAACACAAGTTGGTGAACGGGGTCTTAAGCTAAGTGGTGGTGAAAAACAACGAGTAGCAATTGCTAGGGCTATTGTAAAAAATAGTCCGATATTGATTTTTGACGAGGCTACCTCATCTCTGGACTCAATCACGGAACATGTGAGAAAAATAATCTATTTCAATTCACTTTAAAGATTATTATCAATCTATTTTTTTTCTTTCCACAGAAAATTCTTAAAGCTTTATCAAGAGCTGCCCATGGTCGAACATCCATTTGTATAGCTCATCGCCTTTCAACTGTTGTTGATGCAGATCTAATTTACGTCCTTCAGGATGGTCGTGTTGTTGAAACGGGAAATCACAGTTCGCTTGTTGCCAACCCATCTTCATTATATGCACTTTTGTGGTCTAAACAACATGAAACCAATCATATGTTGTAGACTGGAATAGCTGTGATCATTGTTAATTTGTATAAAAATTAAATGAATTTATGCTTATTGCTAAACCGTGGAACAGATTGATTTACGAAATCAGAAGTTAATTTCTCAAGATGCTTTTTCATCATTCTTGTTTTATTTTTACTGGAAGATATTTTACATATTTTCTCAAAATATATCGGAAAAATAAATCGATAGCTTGAGTTTATGAGTAGCTATCTTCGTCAAAATAGGAATACCAAAGAAAAGGTTGATTCCTAAATAGTAAATTGATTAATTTAAGTGTTTCATAAGTTTACTCTAAGGGATCGAACGGAGTTTGCAGGCAGCATACCACACATGCGAGTTCTTTGAACAAATCCAGTCATCCAATCTTTATCTATTGACCGACAGTTAATAATGAGATCACCTTTACTGAAGCTAACTTCATCAGCATCTTGGGCAGAATAATCACGAATTGCTCGAAATGATTTGTTACCCGGTAATCGATAACTAACATGCTCAATATCTTGTTCCATCTGCAAGGGATCGTAATCTAAATTGAAAAGCATTAAACACGGTTACATTCATTTTCTTGGGTATTACTTGTTTTCACACCCACACCGAATGATAGCGTACTTTTTTTCCACGCCATACACCAATCCACAACGAACCATAAAAACAACGAAAATGAAATATTAATCTTTAATAAAGAAAATTACGCTCTATCTTGTGGCCAACTATAATTCAATTTGACCAGTCCGAACTTCTCATTAAACCGTTCAATCGGTAGTAATGATGGACTGTAGGGAATGGCGTGTACATGGAAAAAAGTAGAACTCATTTTCTTTATAATTTTAAATATATCAAGCAAAACTTTCGATTACGAGAATTGAAGGAAAATTCTGTCATTTAAAAACTGAACTTACGTTGACTAATTGTGATGCGAGGAATATCAGCGGGAGTAATGTGGATTTTGTGCTGAATTTTACTGAAGCATGGCGGTTCTTGACTTGGAGAGAAACGCTTTGTACAACACTGACATATTTCATCAATCATGTTTGCACTAAAGTGAAGATTTTCAATAAAAAATAGCAAACTGATGTTACTAGTTGGACTAAACAACAAAATGTGTAAACAGAGCAATTTAAAAGCCCAGCAAAACACTTGATGTGAACCACTCAAAAAATAGATAAGAGAATAAAAGTTTTTGGTCAACGAATTTTTTAAAACAATAAGTTAAAGCAGACAATAGCAGATGGCACTAATTACCGGTTCAAAGCAACATATCAGCTGATTTGCGTTAAAATTTTTCATCCACTCAAATTGCGAAGAAGGTTGTTATCAATTAGTTTCCATTTTTTTATCCATTTTCTTGGTTTTTTCCTCTTCCGTTTTCTTCATATAAATAGGGTTGACTTTAAGGGCAAAAGTTATGTTATGACTCTGCCATCGACATCTTCATCGGCATCATCTTTATCATTCTCAACATCCTCATCTTTCGTTTATATTTTAATTAATTTAGTGTAAAACTGACATCACAATGCCTATTCTTGAGAACTTTTTCATCAACAACAAAATATACAACCCACCGCTCAAAAGTTTCAAAGAGAGGAAAAATTTGATGACCCGGAAACTTGAATATGCCAATCTTAAAGCCAAATTTCCCAACAAGGTAACAGTAGTCATTGAAAGATATGCCAAAGAAAGGAATCTTCCTATGCTGGATAAGACTAAATTTTTGGTTCCAGAGGATCTTCCAGTTTCCAGATTACTGATGATCATTCGAAACAGGATGGATATTGGTGAAAATCAAGCTGTATATGTTATGACTGCCAATAAAACAATGTTAACAATGTCCAGAACAATGGCCGAAGTTTATGAAGAACACGCAGATGAAGATGGTTTTGTCTACCTTACATATGCCTCTCAAAGTGTCTTTGGCTGAAAAATTGTGTCTCATCTTAAATCAAGCTTCGTCGTTTAAAATCGTGTTATTACATTGTTAATGTTTTTATTCCCATTCCTGCCTTTCATCATAGTCCTGGTCTATCAATTCGAAATCAATGCGATGGAAAGGAAAATCGTAAATTTATTTATTGTTTCATCTGCTCTACTCACCTAATTTTTATTGTTACTAGGAGGAGTGAAAAAGAGGAGGAAAATGTATATTAAATAACTCATTATCTAGTTAAATTTATCGTCCATGATCCGAATGAGAAAGATGATAATGCGGATTTCATTGTTCTAAACCATTATTAAATCATTAAACAACTTTAATTATTTTCTGTAAACATTACTTTTGTACATTTCTATTCGTTAATGTCACTTTTCCTTTGGATCTCAGCGATTTTAATACACTTGTTTTCTTGATTATTGACTTTGAGAATAATTTAACTCATTTGTTAATCAAACTTGAATGTGATAAGAATAAATTTGTAAACTGACTCATTGATATTAAAATTGACTTTATGTGTTGAATATATCTCAATATCTTACATTTATTTCAATCTCGATTTCAAAACCAACGTTAGTATTGACTGACTTGCTAACTGATTAATTTATAAATATGAATTGATTATATTTTTGTTCAAGCCTTGCCTCTTTGTGTCATGTTATTAGTAGAAAAGTATAAACCAAAAAAATAAGCATCAAAAAAGCATGAAATTGATATTCTGTATCAGTTCACTTCAATTTCCTTAACCCTTCATTGAAAGATTTGCCCTGGTCTGTTCCTCTTTTAATCAGATACGGAATGAAAATGCTACAAATCACAAAAAACACCTAAATTAAAAAACGCATTTCATTCCAGATTTTACATCACTTGTAAACAATTTTGAATTTTTAGCATATTTGAGTGAATTTGGTGTTATAGGAATAATGGAAAATTACATGTGTTGATTCAGATTGAGATTGCATTTGTTTATTGAGAAATTGAGTAAAATGACAAAAAAAGATTTGATTGTGTAGTTTGTTTGGAAATGCGTTAAGCAATTAGAGAATACCTAGATTTGAAAGGTACCAGGTAATATAAATGCACTTTGATAGCTGTGGAAAATAGTTATTAATAGTAAATCAGGCAAGTGTTATTATTGGAATTCACTTTGAAAAGCAATGGTGAAAGTTGTATAAGTCAATAGGACGGATTTTAACATGATAACACCATGTTAATTATCATGGATGGAATGTGTAATTCAATGTGTTGCAATGTAAATTTTTAAATGCGAATGATATTGAGAAAGTAAAAATGATATGAATCAACACAATTTGAGATTCTTTTCAACTTAACTTATTATCTTCAATTATTTGCTCTAAGCTGCTGATTGGCGGTAATAACAAATAGACACTTGAAAATAGCTTCAAGCCACTTAACACAATTAAAACTAGTCTCTTCTTATTGATTGGTAGTTTTAGCTCCTTTTTTGTTCAAGTTGATTGTTTTTTTTGCAAGACATCTTTTGATTTTTCGTCATTTTCTTATCTGTTTATCTTTTTTTGCTTGCTCTATTCGCTAAAAACCCAATTAATTGGCACCCATTGAGGTTCAGTACTTAAAGCATTAAGAGCCTCCTTCAAATCTTCAAAAGTTTTGTCAAAGTTGTTATTAACCAAAATCATGTCAAAATACTTTTCATAGGTTCGATTGAGTTTTGCGCTTTCAGAAATCGTCACTTGGAGGTCTTCATCCTCACAAAAAGATGCCAAGCTTTGCAAGGTTCGAGCACGGCGCGAATGATGTCGTCCTAAGGCACGGTCGAGCTGAAATTGAAAAATATGGGATTTTAGTGTTAAATAAAGATTGGTGATAATGAAGTGAAGTGACTTACAGTCATTGTCCTGTTGGCTGATGAATGACTACGTCCCCATTCATGCATATATCGAAGCTGATCAATTGGTGGAGCAGCGATGAAAACAACGAATGGCATAAATTCAGCAGTTTTTAGAACTTTCAGACACTGGAAAAAGAGTTGGAAGAGAAAGCGAGAAAAACAATTAAATAAAAATGATAGATGGATAGAAGGATGTTTCTTACCTGAGGATTACAATCAAGGATACACATTTTACCCGATCTAATAATGGCACGAATAGAATCTAACTTTGTTCCATACAGATGGCCATCAAATTGTCCCCACTCAAGATATTTGTGTTCACTAATATCAGCTTCCATTATTTCTCGTTTAACAAAATGGTAAACTTTACCATCTTGCTCATTTTCCCGGATTGGACGAGAAGTATGAGGCAGTGGAGCAGAAAAGCGATCAGAGTCATAAGAAATTAAACGCTGTTTCAATGTTCTTCTGCCAACTCCTTGAGCACCAACTAAAACTAAGGTTTTTCTTTCAAATGGAGGTATACGACAAACTTCTTCATAAAGGGTTAATTCAGCTTTATCGAAATAATTATTAGCATCAATTTGGTACATTTCTTTCTTCTTTTTCTTAGTAACTTTGGTTCCGCAAATTGACGTTTTGGTTGCATAATCGTATTCTGGTCTCACGAATGCTTTCCTTTTCTCTTCTAAATCCTGGATAATAATGGATAAAGAACGTTTAAAATACAAAATAAAATGCTATTGTAACATAAATCAAGATTATGTGAAAATACCTGTGAAGGGATCAATCCAATGGGCGCGTCTTCTATGTCAGTTCTTCTGGCTTGCCACCAGTTTGGATCTTCTTGGTTCAATACTTCCAAAACATCTCCTTGAACAAAACTGATACCTATTTCCTTACATGGAATCAAAGTATCTTCGGAAGGATCATAATTAAATAAAGCTCTCATATAACATGGAGCAGAGATGATTCTTTCATGGAAAGATGGAATTACTTTGAGACGAATACTTCCTTTACAGAGACGTAGCTCTTCCATCAATTCGTGCGGAGAAGAGATTTCTCGACCATTTACTTCCAAAATTATATCTCCCACACGGAGGATTCCTTGAAGATCAATAAGACCACCACGCAGAATACGAGCAACAACGACTCGACCCTCGTCAAGTTGTACAGTCATGCCAAGAGGTTCATCACCTTTACGAATTATACCAACATTATGAATGGCATCAGATGTCATCTCTTCCTCACCACAATCATCATCTTCATCTTCATCTTCGGGCATAGCTTTTTGGAAACCAGGTTCATCGTAATTTTTAGCAGCTACTTGATCGTGAGCTTCCACTACAGCGACAAAGTGTGGTTTGCAAAGAATATTGTTCAACTCAGCTGTTATTCTACGCACACTTTGATTAGTTGAAGGATTACTGAGTAATCTGTTGCACATTTCGGTCACACTATTTAAGATGTCCATGGCTTCACCGTGTAATACAGGTTCAATTGAGCTTGAAGATTCAAGTTTTTCTGTTACTTTGCAGAGAGAGTCAATCACTGGAGACTGTAAAACACCTTTAAGGAACAACAGATCAGGTTCACTTGCTCCAGGTAGACCTGAAAACCTAGTATCTAAGATTTCAAGACTCTTCTTCAGTGTAGCGTTGACAGCCATATTCTCATTGGAACTGATTTTCAATACTAAAAGGTAGAATTTAATGAAAATGGGCGGAAAATGAAGAAAAATCAATAGTAATTATTGATTGAAATGATATAAAATAAAAAATGAAAAATGAAACAAAAAAATGTAAATAAATAAATCCCTATGCAACAGTTTGTTGGCAACAGACTGTTGCATAGTAGCACAGACTTCCATATCTAATGCCACCTTTTAGCAGTTACGTACAACTCATTCATTTTAATAATAAACAGTTAAAATGAAATTATGTAAATGAAACAATTCAATTTTGAAGCTGAAATTAAATTAACTGAATATTTTACAATTGGGTTCACCAAAATCAAATCCGAATTTACAACAAATGTGGAATAATATATGCCATTACAACTTATAAATCGAGTACAGGTTAAAGTTTGATCTCTCTTTTCAATGATTGATATTGGACATTAGATTACATTAAGATGAGTTATAAGGCAATATCATCAAATTATTCAGATAATTAAATGCTCCATAAATAAAGCAACAGATTAACCTCCATCTGATGGATGCTATTATTAAAAGTTATTCTGATATTTGGTGTTCTCTTGAGATAGTAATTTCTGCAGACTGCTAAGAGCAAATTTATCAATAAAAGTGAATAATTAATCTGCAATTCATTAGATTCCAAGCTATATGATAATCCTGATATATTAAAGATTGGTATTTGCAGACAAGTTGGAATCATTAACACGAAAAGCTAGTTTTATTTCTTCATCAATTTAATCATTTAATCACAATAGTTTGTTTCAAAATGAAGAGCAACAATTATCAAAAATTGATGGGTAAGTCGATTAAAAAGGATAATGGCGAAAGCTCGCAAAATAGTATTTCAAAGTTGGCGGTTGATAGAAGAGGAAAAATACTCGATACTATCGACAAAAAGTCGATAATTTTTATAAATATTCATCGATTATATTAATTATTGTCAATTCCAATCTTCACCATGAAATTATCGTAAATGTGCTTTTTCTGTGTCTAAAAATGGACTTCAGTGAACCATAGACAAGTTGTACCAGATGCAATGCAAGTGAAAATACTGAGTCCATATCTATTTATAATAGTGCATTGTATAATTTTATATAACCTCTCATTATTTAATTTATCATTCAACTAATATGCTTTGAGAACAACTCAAGAACAGATGAGCTCACATATATATATTGTAGTCATTGAAGTGGTCCAAGTTTCATAAATACTGAGTTTCAAAGTAATTCATTCATTTAAAGTTTGAAGATCATTTCAAAACAAAGATCAACAAAACGAAATTTTTTGTCCACTCAAGCATGTTTACTTGAGATCTCTTATACTTCATGTACCTTTGAAAGCTTTTACAGGAACTTTGCTTGGAATTGATAAAAATTTCAATTGAGGACTTCAGTGTTTCATATTTTTCTTTCTTATCATAATAACTATCAACAACAGTCATTTCCATAAACTTTTGAGAATCAAATATTCTAAGTGTGTTTTTTAATGGCAGAGCTTGCTCAATGTACTGATACCTAGAAGATTGAACTACATGAACTTCCCAGAACTATCCCTTCCCTTAAACTTTAGACGCTTTGCTAAATGGTCCTGAAGGTCCATTTTATGTAGCGAGTGATTAAGAAAAATTAGATTTCAAAATTTAAAGACTCGATTTAAAATCGGAAAAGGGATGAAAATGCGTTCAACTCATCTTACTGGGACTGATTCTCGTTAGTCTTTTCATTTCAGAGCTTTCTTTATGCTATCAAACTTGACAGACAGTAACAAAGCATGAGATTACTAACAAGATAAATTGAGTTGAAGTCTTAAGGGGTTATTCAAAATATCTTGACAATAATCAAGAAATAGTAAATTAAACTGTCATTATTAGATTCAATGTGATTAACTAAAAAAGTCTTAGAGTCAGAGGATCAAAGGTTCACATCATTTTCAAATGAACATAAATATTTATGATAAATATTGTTTCTGTGTTGGTCTTCCATTGAAATTTACTTTAGTAGACGATTCAACATTAATTTAGGATTGTCAATCTTTTTTCATCTTTTCATCTTTTCTGGTTCAACATCAAAATCCTCAAATCGCTTCATTCACGCACCATTCAAGTTACAACAATGTCCAATCATTTCTAGATACAGGTTATGTTGAATTATACACGCGAAGTTTGCTAAACTAACCTAATCCAGTCTAATAGCCAAGTAATTAAATAGTAAATTGTAAAAATCCTTTTGTTTCAATCACAGAGATCAAAGATTAGAGGAAAATGAGCAAAGCAAATCCCAGCAGTGAGTTTGCCAGCTTTACCCATCATAAGTATACTTTGTCAGTAAAAAACAATAAAATCAGTTTTTTCTGAAGAAACTCAGATTCAACCAACATTTCCAATTGATTTCAATTGTTAATGTTAATCAAACCCAACTGATTGCTTTTATTAAAATAGTTAGTTAATTGTCTAGTTGAAAATTTAACTTCTCATTGTATGAATATTTATGGTGAATAATTACCAAATTTTAGTTGATTTTTTTTCACTCTTCAACTGGTTCAGATAACTTGTTTAACAGGGAATTTGAGTTTAACATGCAAATTGAAATTGTTTACTGAACTGCGTATAATTTGAATACAACAGGATAAAAAACTAGTTACATTTGAAGAGTAGAGGAAAAAAGGTAATTTTGGTGAAGAGAGGAGAGAAAAAAATTTCCATAGAAGCAGAGATTTCATGGCTATTTGCTGATTTCAGGATAAAATTGAATCAAGATGAAGACATTCTGGAGCAAACAAGTTTATCTTTGATAAGAGTTATTAGATGAAGTAGATAACTATGACGATGAAAAGGTATGTTAAGGATGTAAAATTGAAAATTGTGAGCTGAGCAAATTTCAAGAGTCAAGTGAATCAGTTATTTAGGCTAAACATGATGAAGGAAGGAAAAAAGAATGAAAAATTTTTTCCAAACGAACAGGAATCATCTCTTGAATGAGGAAGAAGATATTGATAGATGATAAAGATGAAAGTGAATGACGTTCATGATATTGAGATGAACTTTTATTTTCATTGAAGTTATTTGTTTTTCCATTTCTTTTTATCAATTGAAATATTATTGTTTTTTTTCTCTCCTTTATTAATGAATTTCAATGCTGTTGAAATATCTTTAGATTTTTGTCAAATCTTTAAATGTCACACATGTTTCTCATGAAATTACATTCAATTGTACAGACAACGTGGATTCCAACCAGTGATTAACACATAGAATCAGGGAAAACATTGGAAACGATGAATTCCTTCTTGTTTACTATTCCAAGTGATATTGTAAATGTTTATTACAAAGACATGAATGAAGTTATTGTCAGGATTCAGATGGTTTCATGTTGGACTCAGTGATACTCGAGTGGAATGTGATTAAATTAAGAAAATTATTATTACAATCAAAAGGTTAACTTATAAAATGTAAACATTTTCACTGACATTTCCCTTGATTTACTGTTGATTTGATGTTGGTTTTTCATTTCATTTTTTTCAGAGTTTCTTTGTTTTTGCTGTTTTTGTTTATTGAAATCAATTGAATTGGAAACTGAGTTTTGAGTTTGATTTGCGTTTCGATTTTTATTTGTTCAAATGATTACGCTTAATTTGACAATGAAAAGTTATGAAAGTAAAATTTAATTGTTTAACAGGAACAATTGGTGCTTATTTTGGGATTGACTGGGAGTCTTTGGTATTTTTAGGATTTGCTTTTTGCTAAAGTTCAATATCATTACATATTAATACATATTACAATAACAAAGATATAATCGATTGACTTTTCAATCTTTTCCATTGATGAAACTATTGATTCTTTGACTGGACTTGGATTTGCTGGACATTTTCTTGATTTCGTTATTTTTCCTTTATTGAAATTGTCCACTTCGATATGATAAAATATGAACCGAAAAAGGTGTTTAAATCAATTAGGAAATTGATTTCATCTATTAATCTGCTTTGTTTCCTTTGAAGGAATGGTTGAAATTAATTTTTACGTCTTTTGACCTTTGATTGTTAACATGATTAGGGTGATTATTAAATCACATGGGAAGGCATTGGTGTGCTTGTCTGGTGACTTTGGGAATTATTGTTGTGATTGAAGGTTAAGCGAATCTTTGAAAGCTCTCGTCTAATATTGGTATTCATGAGGCCATAAAAGATGGCATTTGTAACTGATGAACTGATGGCAATGAGGTGGCAAATGCCGAGTATTAGGTAAACCTTGGTTCCTGTAATGGAGGGTTGGTCAATCAGGTCAAGGTAAAGGTTAACAATGTTCAAGGGAAGCCAGCTTAGTATAAAGGTGACCGAGACTCGGTAAAGGGAGACGATTGCTCGACGATTGCGAACACCTTTAGCCAAAGTGAACCTAACTGGTTTCAGTGTGACTGTGTACCGGGCTAAAGGTTTCTTAAGTGAACTGATCAACAATCCGTTGTTTTTATTATCTACATTATTAACACTGTTGTTGATTTTATCGGGTTCAGTGTTGTTACCATCAATTGGGCAACTTTTAGGTGAGTTTACTTTGTCTTGTGTTTCATTGTTGCCAATCTTTTCATTTGTATCACTATCGGTTTCATTGTTGTCTTTGGGTTTGGATGGTTTGCTGTTAATGTTTAGGTTAACTTGCTGTTCATCTTTAACTGTCTCTTCTGGTAAAATAACTGAAGTTGAATGTAACCCGGTTGATGAGATGGTTGATCGGGTTATAAGGGCTGGCTTTAAATCGTGGTTACCCTGCTTCTTGAGGAAGGTCACTATTTGAACCTGAGATGCTATTAGGCATACAATGGGAATCACAAGGGAAACGGTAAAGGTTATGGTTGAATAGATGATTCGTACTTCGGCTGACCAGTCTTCAATGCAACGATTGTAAAGTGGAATACCGTTGTAGTTAAAGTTTACCTCTTTATAAAAATAGATTAAAGGTGAACCCAGGATTAGGGAGGAAATCCAGATTAATGGGATTCTCTTGGTTATCGGGCATTCCGAGTGGTTTGACATTCGATTGGACCAGTGATGTTTACGTTTCAAAGAGTGTTGCCCAGTTATTACGGAGAGACGATCAAAGGCAATCACTGTTATCGTCTGGGCAATGACAAAGACTATTGTTGCCTGAAGGAAAGGCACAGTTGAACACATTAACTGACCAAGTGCCCAGTCACGGCGCAATACTTGGTACAAAGTAAATGGTATCGACCAAAGGCATAAAAGGATATCGGCTAGGCAAAGGTTAAGAATGAGTGAATTTTCAAGATTACGAAGTCGTTTACTTGTCAGTATAACAAAGATGACAATTGAGTTGATGGTAATTCCCAGACAGCCAATGGTTATGTACATTAACATGAAGATTAGTTCAGTTGAATCGGAATGAATCGAGTTTTTAACAAAATGCCGTTTAATTAGTTTCTCAAGTTCAACCGGATTGGTCAAATTGAACCAAAGAGACGAAGACGAAAAAATTGCTTCCATTTTGAGAAGCTTTAAATTTATCCTTTACACTGATCACCAAATGTTCAATTTTTACAATGAAAGCCAACAATTTTGAACATAATTTTGTTTCACTCTCAAAGGTCACATTAATGAACTCATTGTAACTGAATGATTTATCGAGTTATCATAAGCATAATCGGAAGTTTCATGATCATTCATCATGTCCCATTGATGTGAGGTTTGTCAGTCAAATGTCAATGAAGTGACAAGTGAACATTGAGATTTCACTTTTGTTAACATGAAACAACTTGAAGCAAATGATTGAAACTTTGATCTTCCTCTTTAGATGAAAATTTCAATAATGGATGAGAAAATTGAAGAGTCAAATTTCAAGAATTCCAAGTCACAATATAAAAGAACTTTTTGTCTGAACATTTGATGAAACATTCCAAGATGAAGGTAATCATTTAAAGAATCACTTGGAAAAGACTTGACAAAAAAACAAACGTTTATTTAATAAAAATGAAATTTTTACACCCTTTCAGGGAAAGAATGCAATTCTACTGAATAACTGGAGGAAAAGTTGAATGTTTGTCTGCAAGTTTACCATGAAAATTGTTTATTACGCCTGACAGATGAAGTCTCTTATAGGATGGAAAGGATGAAAATGAAGATAAAGAATCGGAAACTTGTTGAACATGATTTCTGTCCATTCTCATTGTACATCAATCATTAATTGTTTCCTTCAATGGTTAATTTGCTTCAGTGTTTTAAAGATTAATCAATGTTCATTAAAATAAATTTCATGTCAATCCTCTTCATCATAATTTTCATCTCAACTTTATTGAAAATTAAAGGATAAAATCAACTGTCACACTTAACTCGACTATTAATGATTTCATTTATTTCATGGGATTTGAGTCTTGGTTTTCATCTTTTCCTATTATCATGATAAAAGTGTTGATGAGATGAAATAAAAAACTGAAATGGGATAATTATTTATCCAACTTTGAGATTGAATAAGAGCTGGGAAAGGTAATTATTTCACTCGAATAAACTATTCAATAATTTAATTGTCATAATAATTGGTTGAAACAAGTGAAATGGTAACCAGTTTCACCTCATTAATATTATTGTTTCACTTTGGAGGTGAGAGAAATGTTGTATTAAATATTATATTTTAATAATAAACATTCAGATTAAGATATTAATGTAATATAGCGATACATTATTTATGTATGAATGATAAGAAGTTTTTGACCAAATAAAATGCTTTTTTGGTGCCCATTGAATATTCATGATGATAATCTTGTTATTATTATCATGTTTTCAACTTGCCAATGGTTTATTAAATTCTGGTTGCAATTGTTTAGGGAAAGAGGAAAAGGTTGATTGTAATTGAGTTTCAATCAATTGGTTTACCAGTTTAGTTATCAGTTGAAATATTGTTTGATGCAATTCAAATGTTTCAACATTTCATTTTGGCTTATTTTTCCAGTTTCATGGTTTTGCTCATTTTCATTGAATGCTTATTTTGAATTTGATATGCGACTGGCTTTGATGATTCTTTCATCAAATTTTTGCTTTTATGTTTCATCTGTTTTGTAGCGAATCCAGGCAATATTCAAAAAAATGAATCTTTTTGAAATTCTTGTGTAATTGATTCGGTTCGATATCAGATTTCTCGATTAAACACCAGATTTTGATTTAATATATCAGTTATTTTATTTTGTTTTTTTTTTCGTAAAGTTTGGTTGGAATTTCTGAGCCCAAGCAAGTGACAGTTAATTTCAATTATTATTATTCCAGGCACATTCGGATCAAGTCTGAAATATGATTCTTTTACTTTTCTGGTTTTCTGGTTCTTTTTTGGTCACTTTTCCAACTCATTTAGAGCTCGTTTTCTGGTTCATTTAATAAATTGAGCAAATTGTCGACTTGAAAAATATTTGGTTCAAAATTGGTTTAACTTTCCCTATGTTTTAGATTGTTAATAAAAGAAACATAAACAATCAAAACAATTATCATATTCATGCACGAATTAACACAAATGAAAAAATAAGGGTAAAAATAAATTTCTTTCAAATTTGAGTTCTGTTGGTTTAGGAAGACATGAAACCTGACTCCATTTGTGCGATTTAAATATTTATATGAACCTCAGTTTTCGAGAAAATCGAGGTCAAAGTTGGAACTTCGATCGCCTTTTGTACAGTTGTGTGAACAGATTTTTTCATAAAACTTACTTTTTCTGGGGTAATTTTTGATTGCCAACTAGAAAATGGACTTATTTTGAATAATAAAACTTTTATTTTTCTGTAAAACAGATCAGTTCGCTTTTTAGCTAAATCGATCACTGCCTTTGACCATAAAAGATAATTGGCTGAAACTTATTATTTGTGCATAAAAATTGTTGACTCACATTATGGATTGATTAGTTGTAGCAGTTTAAGAATAGATCTCATGATTTTGGCCTTTTACCTAAAAACTTTGTACCTCGATATTTCGAGTATAGTAGCACCTACAGTCATCAATCATTCACCAATTCAATCCTTTTCTACCCAATAGGTCAATACAATCTAATAAAATCCTCTCATTGTACTTGGACCATGATTTTTGGGCTTTAAATGAGCGAGCAACAACTTATTTAACAAATAAAACTCATATAAATGCACATCTTGGTAAATAAACCAATTTTCTGGTTAAACTTAAAACTGAAATGCAAAGAGTACTGGTAAAGGCTCGTACATTTGTGTAAAGAGTGGAAACTAGGTGGACTTTGTAGGGACATTAAAACTAAGTCCAATGGTGCCATTAAACATTTCATCTGATGTACAGTTTTTGAGAAAATCGAGGTCAAACTCGAAACTTCGATCGCCTTTTCTTCAGCTATGAAAGCGTATTTTTTCATGCAACTCATTTTACTGCAGTAACTTTCAATGATCAACTTGAAAACGAACTTATTTTGAGAAATAAAGCTTTTATTTTTCCGTAAAATAGTTAAGTGCGATTTTTGATCAAACCGACCACATTCTGTGATTGTTAATGCTAGCGAGCTGAAACTTATTATTTGCCAATAAAAACTGTTGCTTCGTATCATGGATTAAATACTTTTTTCAGTTCTCCAATAGTTCTCTTGATTTTGGCCTTTGGCCGTAAAACTTTGAGCCTCGATATTTCGAGAACGGTAGTGTTTTCAGTCATCAATATTTGACCAAACATTAGATTGCATTATGGGATATAACATTATCTGACTGAATACCGAATAGAATCTAAACTAATTCAATCAATCAGATTTGTGTTTAGTAACCATTCAACTTTAAAAATCAAATCTCAGGTGCGACAACGTAAGTAATGAACTGCTATAGTTTATTTTTTAAGATCTTAAATGCTTAAATGTTTCAATATGTTATATCCTATAATGCAAATCAATGTTTGGTCAAAGATTGATGATTGTAGACACTTCCGTTCTCGAAATATCGAGGCTCAAAGTTTTGAGGTAAATGGCCAAAATCAAGAAATCTATTCTTAAATTGTTACAAGTATTTGATCCATGATATGAACCATCAAATTTTATGGGGAAATAATGAGTTTCAACCTTCTAACTTATATGGTCACAGAATGTGGTCGGCTTAATAAAAAATCGCACTAAACTGTTTTACGGAAAAAGAAAAGTTTTATTTCTCAAAATAAGTTCATTTTCTGGTTGATCATCTAAAGTTACACCAGTAAAATGAGTTGCATGAAAAAATACGCTTTCATAGCTGAAGAAAAGGCGATCGAAGTTTCGAGTTTGACCTCGATTTTCTCAAAAACTGTACATCAGATGAAATGTTTAATAGTACCATTGGATTTAGTTTTAATTTCCCTACAAAGTCCACCTAATTTTAACTCTTGATCCAAATGTACGAGCCTTTACCAGCACTCTTTGCATTTCAGTTTTAAGTTTAACCAGAAAATTGGTTTATTTACCAAGATGTGCATTTATATGAGTTTTGTTTGTTAAATAAGTTGTTGCTCGCTCATTTAAAGCCCAAAAATCATGGCCCAAGTACACTATTGGAATGTCTTTAGATTGTATTGATCTATTGGGTAGAAAAGGATTGAATTGGTAAACGGTTGATGACTGTAGGGGCTTTCGTACTCGAAATATCGAGGTATAAAGTTTTTAGGTAAAAGGCCAAAATCATGAGATCTGTTCTCAAACTGTTACAACTAGTCAATCCATAATGTGAGTCCACTATTTTTATGCACGAATAATAAGTTTAAGCTCATTATCTTTTATGGTCAAAGGCAGTGATCGGTTTAATCAAAAATCTCACTTAACTGTTTTACGGAAAAAGAAAAGTTTTATTATTCAAAATAAGTCCATTTTCTGGTTGATCATCTAAAGTTACACCAGTAAAATGAGTTTCATGAAAAAATACGCTTTCATAGCTGAAGAAAAGGCGATCGAAGTTTCGAGTTTGACCTCGATTTTCTCAAAAACTGTGCATCAGGTGAATTATTTAATAGCACCATTGGACTTAGTTTTTATGCCACTACAAACCTCACTAATTCTCAATTCTTAACCCAAATTCTCGAGCCTTTAGCAGCACTCTTTGCATTTCAGTTTTAAGTTTAACCAGAAAATTGGTTTATTCACCAAGATATGCATTTAAATGAGTTTTGTTTGTTAAATGAGTTGTTATTCGCTTATGCACAGCCCAAAAATCATGACCCAAGTAAACTAATGGAAAGTTATTAGATTGTATTGAATTATTAGTTATTAAGTGATTAAATTGGTGAATGATTGATGACTGTAGGTGCTACCATACTCGAAATATCGAGGTTTAAAGTTTTTAGGTAAAAGGCCAAAATCAAGAGAATCGTTCTTAAATTGTTGCAAGTATTCAATCTAAAATGTAAAGCAACAACTTTTATGGACAAATAATAAGTTTCAGCTCATTAACTCTTACGGTCTCAGACAATGGTCGGTTTAGCTGAAAATCGAACTGATCTCTTTTACAGAAAATTAAAAGTTTTATCATTCATAATAAGTGCATTTTCTGGTTGGCAATCAAAAGTTACACCAGAAAAAGTAAGTTTTATGGAAAAATCTGGTCACACAACTGTACAAAATGTGATCGAAGTTCTAACTTTGGCCTCAATTTTCTCGAAAACTGAGGTTCAGAGAAATATTCAAATCGCCCTAATGGACTCAGTTTTCATGTCTTCATAAACTAACAGAATCCAAATTTAGAAAAAAATAATTTTCACCCGATTTTGCCCATTTTCCTTGTAGCATTTGTTCAATTTGTGACAATTTGTACAGAAATGTGATAATTGTTTCAATTGTGTCTTTTTAGTGACAACCCATTTCTTGCGTTTATTTTGGTAAACTTTCTGGTCTATTTGAATTATTAAAAGCAAATGTTGATACATTTCATGAGAAAAGTCAAATTTCATTCCTATTTTCTTTCTCATTTCTTCCCTGAATCATTTTTCTCTTCATTTTTCTAGCAACCTTTTCTGATTATAACCCTCAATCCTGGGTATCGAACCTGATTTTGATCCTGGTTTAATCATTGATTCGAATCAATGATTATAACTAAGGTTTTACATTCCATTGTCATTAGGTTTATCACGTTGTATGATGATGGTTAGTATTTCGGGTTGATATTCAATAATAAATCTGTATACCAGTAAATCTGTATTCTGGTTACTATTTTCAACCTGATTACTTATTTATCCATTTATTCATTTATTTATTTAATGTATCAACGGAAAAAAACGAAATCCTCTTTTCAATGTGAGATTGATTGAGAGGATAAAATTGTAATTCAAACTAAATCTCTGATGTTGGCTCCCATTTCAATGCTTAACTTTTATATTGGTCAATTTTTTTATTTATTAGTTGATTGACCCAAACAGATTTAGTTAAACCTTCACTTTTTTTCTGTCCAATGTTGCTCGATTCAAGTTTCAACTGTTTTTTCGTTTCTTATCCTGATTAATTGGAATCAAATTTCATTTGATTTAAGTTTAATGAAACAAAAAATCGGAAATGAAAAAACAGAAACAAAATGCTCTAAGTAGCACATAATCCGATTCAAATTTTAATCAGCTAAACTGATTTCATTCAAACTAATACTCTTGTTATTGTCAACAATTGTCTCATTGTTGTTGTTTTCAAATCTTCCAATAATTAATACAATTGGAATCAAATGAATCAATTGGATAAACCAGAAAATTGGTTTCTTTGGGTTTTCTGGGTTGCTGGGTAAAATTGCTGTTAAGCTCAAATCAATTGTTGGATTACCTTTTCATGAGTCTATTTTCAGTATTTTTCATTTACTACTTCAATCAATTTGGACAATTTTAAAGTCAATTTACTGAAAGTAACCTTTTTACGGTTAAAATCAGTAAAGGAGTGAAATCTTGCCTTAAGGTTGACAATTTAAACATTATTAAAGTTTAAATTAAAAGTACTTTTTGTTGCTATTTCAATCTAAATCAATGATTATGTTAACAGGGAATGACAGTTTTATTTATTAAACAAGGAAAAAATATGATTAACAGGCTTAAAGCTATTAAATATTTACAAAGGCAAGAGTTGAATGGATGGTCAATGAACAATTGAGTTTAACAATTAAATTTAAAATTATGACACAACATCAGGATATTACAATAGTTATAACTGAAAATTTGAATACAATAAAAGTCAAGATTAAAACAATTGAAAAGTGTAAATATAATGATGATTGGGTTTAGCATTTGTATAATGTTTGCTCAGATGAATCCATTCATTTGATTTATTAATAACTTCCTCAGTTTTTGTTGGTTTAAGCTTGGTTTAAATTTGAAAGCATTGAATTTTAATGAAAAAAATTCATTTACTCCGGAGAATGGTTGATGAATGAAGTTACTCAGATGCAGAAAGAAAACAATGTTATGGGAAAGCGATTTCAAGTGGGCTCTGTAGCTACATGTTGATCAATAAATTAACTGTACACAGCGCTTTAATCAACTATTAAAAATTAATAGTTTCCCTTGACAATATTGTATGAATTGGAATGGTAGATCCTTTTGCATGTTTAATCAGCTGATGAGTGGGTTTGATACTGGATATTGATTTGTTCACTTTGTTATCTTTGTCAGTTGATGCAATGGGTAATTTAATCATTTAATTTCATTAAATTTAAAACGATTAAATTTCGGAAATGGAAATTTGAGTCAAAAACCAATGTTTAACAGGTTATTTTAATAAACTGGTTAGATAACTATTGGCTGTTGACATTTGGGTCCAATGACTACAAGATTTGTTTCCAGCATTACGACAAAACATGTGATCTTTGTATAAAATGGATTTAAAATTATTTTCAAAATTATTCAGATTATTATGCGTTCAACAGAATCTGTTTGTTGGATTTTATATCAAACCAATAATCGACAAAGATAAAAACAAGTCAAATTTCCAATATAAAAATCGATTGTACCCAAAAATATCCGATTCGGATCAGTCCAAAGAATCAAAATATCCAAATTAGAGTTTAAATTTTTTGGTATTCGGATCTTCCATGACATGTCCTACTTGAGTCCACACTATTCAACACCACACACCTAAACCTGGTACTTCAATATCCGTACCAATACTAACCGTCCGTAACTACTACTGATTGAATAGTTTAGCGAGACATTTGAACTGATCAAATCTAACTATCATTGCCCACTAGATAGAGCGAAATTTTCTTCATCTTTATTCCTATCTAATTGTTCAATAATTTGATTTGTTTCTAAGTGTGGAATGGTGTGAATTAGTGTTTGGCATGCATTCAAGTAGGACCTTTGACTTTTAGTTTTGGATATGTTGGATGCTTTTGAATGGATATATTGGATATTTTGGGAACTCTTGTTGAAATCATCTTCATCCTTAAATTATCGTCCTTTGCTTGATTCCGTTTGTAGAGCTTCAATTTTCTTCCGCCTCCTGGTAATGGTTGTTTAAAGGAATCCGTTCAAAGGAATATTCTGTAACGAAAAAGGAGGAAAAAAAGATTTGGTTAGAAAGGGTTCCAATTATTGACATTATCAATGTGATATGGTGGATAAACATGGCTGGTGAAAAAGTTAGAAAGGTTATGCTGATAATAAACAAGGCAGGTTGATTGGTGAAATGTAAAGGTAAGATTATGTTGGAAACCTGAAACATGAATAGGAATTTTTATTTTTTGGTTAGCAAAATCAAGTTCACAATTTGTTTAAAAAAACGACATCAACTTTCATCTCTTAATGTCACGTTCCATGTTGATTCATGGTGAATAACTCAGCTTGAAAAGGTTATTCTAGATAAAAGAGGAGGATGATGGTGATGAAGAAAATTTTGATTCAACAATCACTTTTACTACATCATAATCTTACAAGATCCTTCAATACATCTAAACTTGCTTTTTTTCAAGTTCAGACTGACAATAAATAGCAAGTCAATTGAATTACTTCTGCTTTACTTTTAATCTTATTTTTTGTTTATTAGGGCGATCATGGTAAAGTTAACAGGAAAATCTCATTTGAAGCAATTACCATTATCAGCAAACATTTTTGAAACTTCCACCTACAACCAAGTTTACGCTATTTCACTTATTTACTTTTAATTTCAGACAGCAAATTAAATTTGATCTACATCAATATCATCACCATTATTGACAAAATCGTGTCTAATTGTAAATCAACTAGTATTCAGTATGTAGCATCATATGATTATGATAATGAATTAGCTGATTGAATGTAATGTTTGTTTTTATTCTGGTTAATTGTCATTTAACTTCAATGTTATTGCTGTTAAAGAATCAACTTTTTCTTGTTAATGGTCTGAAAATGATAATAAAAAAATGAATGGGTTTTGATGGCAGTAACTATCAATTTACCTTGATTTTCAAGATGATAAAAGTATCCTTTTGAGTATAAGATACTTGAAAATGTCTATGTTTAATTACTGAATGGTTATAATTGTCTTTGGGAAATTTTCGAAATGCTTAATTCTTGGCATTGTACTCTGAATTCTGGTTCATCCAATACACCTTGAAATTTGAATTGGATGCAATTGGAATGGATCTTTTACTCCAAGGTTAGTTGAGAGTGAATCGTTGAAGATTCAAATTCAGTTCTGAGATTCGCACATTCATTAAAATAATACTCTGATAAAAAAGTAAATAAGGATTAATTAGATAATCTGGTTGTAACATGTATTAAGCCAGAAAGTTGACTCATTGATAGTATTATAATAAGCTAACATTTAGAGACGTGGAAAGTTTAGCGATTCTGAGAAATGATATAAAGTATTGTTATCAGACTAATAGAAATGGGGTTAGAATGAAAATTTTAACCCAAATTGTAATTTTCAGGTCTCACCTTTGTTGAGTAGATGAAGGTGATAGTGTTGATGATGCTAAATTAATCTAATCCACCTCCAATAGACAAACACTGCCGCACCAGTAATTACGGTTGCACCAGTTGCTAGGATCAATATGTTGGCCCAAATGGGTAAAGGTTTAGCTTTGCACACTGAGATATCATAATATTTTACACATTTTGTTTGGTTTGATAGTCTAATCCTTGATTGTTCAGCCAAAGATGGATTAATATCAGGGCAAACAGTTTTCACTTGGTTAAACCAACAGTTTAATAGATGCCAACAGGTACAACAATCACGTTTATCGACATCACTCACAGATGACCAACTTTCAATTGCATCAGTTAAACAGGAATTCCAAGTTGGTAGTCCATTGTCACAGGTAACATTGATAGTCCATGGTAGGATAAAACTATATACATCATTATAATTAGATTGACTAGCAACATAGTCGGTATCTTCACCTGTAACATCATTATCATCATAAATAGACTCGTCAATCTCAGCTGTAGATACACAAGAGGTTAACAATATGGAGCCGGTAAGTAAAAACCAGACGTAAATAACGTTCATTTTGATTATCTTATGGAATGGATTAATTTTAATAAATTAGCAACTTTTAATAAACATAATGACCACTTTTAGATGGTTGACTAAAATAATAGTCGATCACAATTAAATAAAAACAATACATTGTTCAAATTAAATTCACTTGAAACAAATTTTTGTAACTGTTGACTTATCTTTTGGTTTTACTTTCTGATCTTCTCTCTCTCCCTTTTCCCTCGCCTTTTTCCATAACGACTTTATGCTTTTTATGCTTCTCAAGTTACCACTTTTTTCCAGCTCAACCTTTTACATTGCTATCACTGTAGCTATACAAACACTTTATGACATTATTATAATTACAATTATTACATTATTAATTAAAGAGTAAGTGTAAGCTGATCACCTAGATTGGTTATCATTTGTTACCAATAGTTACTATCAAAAAATATCCAACGCCTCAATACTGTCATCTTTATTACGGGTTACCATTCAATGTTTACCGGTATGTAACGCTATTTCCTTTCTCATATTTGCTTTTAACCATGTTCACTTGTATTTTTAACCAAGTTAACTATTAACAGAATACATTTTAATTTGCCTAAATGTTCCCATAAATTATTACGATTTAATTTACAAACTAATTTTATCAACGCGGCCATTTCAATTCAGAAAAAAAACCGTTGGTAAACATGTAAACACTCATGTTAGCTTTTCTCAAAACATATTTTGAATTATTAATTTAAACAATCAACTAATAACCCCTCAACAATTAATGAACCTTTAGAGGCATAGTTTGTTCAATTGTTTGTATTGAATGGCCTCAAATTGATGGATATTTATCTTTTGGATACAATTATTTACCATTTGTAACATGATACGCATTATATCATAGGTATTTCATCTCACCATTATCATGTTATCTGTTCAACTTACTGCAGCTAATATATTTTTTTTTAAATTCTATTGTCGATACAATAATTTCAACCCATGACATGAGTATATTCACATCTAAATAGCCAGTATAAATAGACAATCAAGTTGCCCTAATTTTTGGGTAATCATACCTGTTGGTGTGCCAATTTTTACCCAAACCTGCGTATTATTTTCTATGTTGTGTAATGGCTAATTGAATGTAAAGATAATTGACAATCTTGAAATTTGATATTGTATTGCGTTTTTGTGTTTCCAAATTGGGTTCAATTGATGTTACTGATAGTCTAATATCAACAAACTCTACTGTGATTAGTGGCTTGTTTAATCAGATTTGGTACAATTTTTTCTCGCTGGGTTTATAAATTAATCTATTTTTCAGGGTAATCCAGGTGAATGATTACCAGTTTAAATTAGATTTTGCTGGAACAAAATGGATGTAAAAGATGTAAGACAAGAGTTTACATGGATATGTAAATTAGACTGCATTACATTTTGAGTGTTTCCAATCAAACCAACAATTTATTTTCACTTTTGATTGTGCTTCTTCTACCTACTGATTCAATGCTAGCTGCGCATTTATAATAATGCATATTAAGATGCATCTAAATTATTTGAACCAGAATTGAATTGCTCAATCAGTCATGTAAACATGTTGGCAAATTCAGTTGAATCGCATTATATACTTAAACAAGAGGATGAAACAAAGATGTAACAGTAAGATGAACCAAAAAAGATTATTTCTGACTCCAATGGAAACTAAACAATCTGAATAACAAAATTCTTGTTTTTAAATTCAACCATTTCTAATCCTTTTTCATCAGCTTATTGTAGTCCATTTGTTCATGAGTCGCATGGTAATAGCAACATTAATATTGTTAGCTTCATGAACATTGATTATTATGGAATCAAAAGTAAAAATGTTCATAAATAAAAGTATTAAAATGTATTCTTTCATTATTTCAAAGCTATTCAAACATCAAACATTTTCTGCATCAATTCTGATATTAATTCATTTTTCTCTTTCCTCAGGCCAAAAGGATCGGAAGCTGATGATGTTTGGTGGTAAAATTGGTGATAAACCAAAAGATTATACCAATTATTTTGTAATCAGCGGAAGATGGATCAATGATTCGGATCAGATGGATTTTGGGTTAATGTCATGGAAGATCAGCCGATCATTAAGTCGCAGTTTGATGCTGAATTTAACCATGGCCTACGTGAAAAAAGGTGGAAATCATTATTCAAGAATTGAATTATCAGGCATTTTAATGTCGTTTAATTGCTGGTTGTTTATCGTTTTATTGGTTATTGAGTTATCTTGTGTTTTCACTAGGACGAGTCAGTCTTTTAACGAGTCAATGAGATTTAAAATCGTTAATCAATCCAATTATTGGATAATTATTGTGATTGTGACGATAACAAGATTAATTCACCAATCAATAGTGAACTGCCATTGAATGACAAAAAAGATGTTCTTATGTAGTCAGAGTTGCCTGTTGAAAAGATTAAAAAACTGCGAGTTAACTGATTCTTTTAAGGTAATCTAATTCACCTTGATTCAATTATCATTATCATTTTTTTGAATACAGTTGAATGATCTTATTGAAAGTCTAATTGTATAGACAGAGGCAGACAGTGGTGAAAAGCAGAGGAAATTATATTAACTTGGATTGCTGTTATTTTGCTGAGACAAGATTAATGGCATTGTCAGAGGATAAAAGAAAACAGTGAACAATCAAGTAAAATCAGGCCGTTTAATTATTTTGATTTACTTGCATCATGGAATTAAGGATTGTTCAAAAGAAAAACATTGATTCGATTGTAAGTTTAAGTTCAGGAAGTTTACTCTTTTTTTCTGTTTACATTCTTACAATGGTCAGTAGTATGGACTGTAGTATGGACTGTAGTATCTGAATCTCCTTCAGCGTCTTATTTAGCTTGTAGTATTGGAAGTTGATCAGGTAATTGGAAAATTCATGTAATCATTACAGGATTAGGTTCATTATATCTTTACATTGAAAATTTTGGTCATTGCTGTTGGTAAGAAACAAGACAATGAGAACATGATGAACAATGGATTTTATAAATTTTGGCCTTTTCCTGGTTCATATTCATTTTTAATCAGCAGGTTTTAACATCCTCTTGGTGTGAATTTGGTCATCTTGAAATAACCAAACATCGACAGTTTAAAAGCTTTCTATTGATTAACTCCCAGTACAGTGTACTTAAAATACTTTTTTCACGTGATGGTTTTTCAGGCTTTTATCTACTTTTTATTGTGAAAATATTGACTCCTGCAAATTGATAATCATCACAATAGGAATGAAAAATTGCTCTTGCATTGGATTAAAAGATGAAGAGCTGATACAGAATTAATTAATGCTGTTCCAAACTTTTCAATTACTAGTGAATCCATACAACTTGCAGTCTTGAGATAGCTTTCACCCGAAAGTAAATTCACAGATTTTAATTTTTTTATCAACTATTTTTAATTTTTCATTACAATGGTTAAAAAATTAAGGATCCTTTGTTCAGCCATGGACAGGTAAGTTACAATTTACAATTTTTTGTGTTTTTACTTGAGATTTATAATCTTTGTCTGTTCAACAGTCAAGGCCATGTGAATGCAATTCTTGGATTTGCCAAAATTTTGGAGCAAAGAGGTCATCAAGTGATAATGGCTCTGGCTCCTGGTTGGAAAGCGGCCATTGAGAAACACAACTTCGAATTCATTCCACTGAAATTAGCTTCATCTGTAAAAGAGGAAAAAGAAGTCAAAGATGAAAAGAAAGTTGGTGATGAAAGTAATGGTAAAGATGAAGAAGCCAACTCAGTGAAGAAGGTAGAGGAAAAGAGCAACTCGAACGATTCTAAGATTGTTGATTCGAAATCTGAGAATGAACCATCAGTTAATAAAGACAAGAAAAACTCGGAAGCACCAAACCAACAGTTGATTGCGATAATCAAAAACCAGGTACAAGATTTTCGTTTGAGGCCTATGGAAGCGATCCAGAACTCGGCACGAAAAATAGACATGTGGCTTGATTGGTATGAGAAGCAGTTTGCATTTGACGATGCTTTACAAGAAGTCATGGACGCTGTTAAACCTGACATGATAGTTTTGGACTTTATGCTAAGACTTCCATGTCTGGAAAAATCATCAATTCCTTGGGCACAGTTGTTCTCATGTAATCCAATAATGTTGTATAAAGATCACTGTCCACCAGCAACTACAGGCTTTCCAACAGATAGTCCAAGAGAGCTTTGGAATGAGTACATTGCTTTAAGAGAAGTAGCAAACAAACCGATTGTTGACTACATAAATAACTGGTTGACTAGTCGTGGAGTGCGTCCGTACGCAAAAGGTGAGATGATTCCAGTTGGTGAATCGAAATGGTTAAATTTCTATACCTATCCAAGTGTCCTCGACTATAATGACATCGCACCAAGACCAGCTAAATGGGTACGAATGGATGGATCTGTGCGAGAACCCGATGATAAAAAACCTTTTGTTTTACCAGAAAAATTAGCTGGTAAACCTGGTTCGTTAATCTATTTCTCTCTGGGATCAATGGGATCTGTTGATTTAGAGCTGATGAGACGAGTAATAAGTGTTTGTGCCAAATCACCTCATCGTTTCATCGTATCCAAAGGTCCTCTTCATGAGCAAATTGAGTTACCTGATAACATGTGGGGTGAACGTTATGTTAACCAATTAGCTATCCTTCCTCATGTTGATCTCGTTATAACTCATGCAGGAAACAATACTCTAACTGAAAGTCTTTATTTTGGTAAACCAGTAATTCTGATGCCACTCTTTTTCGACCAACTCGACAATGCTCAAAGAGCTCATGAAAAAGATGTTGGTATTCGTATTGATACTTACTATTTCCAAGATTCGGACCTTTTGGATGCCATTGAGAAGCTTTTAAATGATGAACCATTGAAGGAAAAATTGGCTGCAATTTCAGCTTCTCTCAAATCATCAACCACAAAAGAAACTGTTTGTGAATTGATCGAGAAAACCGTTGCCTTGGGGAAATCACCATTTGATGATAATCAAGTTAAACAATAGTCAAGTGGAATCGACCAAAATTATAGAATTGATTAATCTCATGGTGTTTTTTTTCCGTAAGATTACATTCTATCAACTCATTTAGGTGTTATTTTCATTGAATAATTCATACAATACAAAAATACTGGTTTATTTTATTCTTTATTTTAATATTTTGAAAGTGATCACCTTTTACAATATCAAAAATCCAATTTATTGTATTATTTCATTTTGTTTATCATGAAAATTTTAATTACTATTCTAAATAATAGTAATTGTATTTAAATCTTGAATAAATTCTACTCTTAATTGAAATATTGTCTGCTACTAATTTATAATATTTAATATGATAAATTTTTTCGTAAACACTTATTGATCAAAGCTGCATATTATCATCAAGTTTCTTGTTAATCTGTTATATTATGTGAATTGATTTTAATTTTATCGTGACTTTGAAATTATCTCATAATTGATATCACTTTTACACACCTCACCGTCAAGTTCAAGCTTTTGACAACAATACAACTACAGCCAACTCTTTGACTACACTGCAAATGATTTTTGTTGCAAAGCTTGGCGTTTATCTTGCATTCTATGTATTCGATAGAAATAAATGCATATTAAATTTTTTGAACCTTTTTATTTCAAATGAAAGTAGCTAATCAATGTTTTTTAATCAGCAACGTTAGCTATCGTAAATCTAGGATTTGATTCGCCCGTCATTGTTTTTTGATAACCAAAGAATAGCTCCATTGGTACTTGACATTGATGATGAGTATTTGATTGTCAACGATACCAAGTATAAATTAAAGATTAGAAATTAATTTTTATTCTTATACATCTACAGCTCCAAGTGAGGTTTGTAACTACGCTTATTGTTTATAATTTCATCTATCAGTTAATATTACATTTTCAAAGCATCTTCATAGTTGAAAATGGTACAACTAAGAGTCCTCCTAACCTCAATGGATGGGTAAGTTAACCATTGAGATCCTTTTGGATAATTGTGAATATTAATTCAATTTTATAATCATCTGATTGATATATTGTTTACCGTGTTCAGCCAGGGCCATGTCAACGCAATACTTGGAGTAGCAGGAGTTTTATCAAAAGCTGGTCACCACATTATTATAAGTTTGTCCAAAGGATGGGAGAAGCTGATAAAGGCAAATGGCTATGAGTTTGTTCCGATAGTGAATGAAGGTGATGTTGATGAAAAAGATATGAACAACAATCCAGATGAAAAAACGGAAAAGAAAGCTGCAAACGAAGGTGCCTTTGAATTTTTCAAACAATTGTTGACTTCGATCAGAAAAGACCCAATTACAGCTTTGGAGGAGTTTGAAGACCGAGTCTGTACCACTTATTTGAATTGGTCAACAGAGATGTTAAAGTTTGACGAGCCATTAAAGAAGAGCATAGAGAAGATCAATCCAGATATTATCATCATTGACTATCTCGTTAAATTACCTTGCCTCATTAAAGGCTCAATTCCATGGGTGTCTCTATGGTCTTGCAGTCCAGTTGCTCTTTACAGAGGAAGAGTTCCTCCCGAAGGAACTGGATTTCCATTGGACAGTCCGCAAGAACTGTGGAAAAAATATTATGATTTACATTTCAAAGCCTACAAACCAGTTCGAGATAATGTAAACAAGAAACTGATTGAGGCTGGAGTTGAACCTTATAGAGATGACCAGTGGATATACCTACTTGAATCACCGTACATGAATATTTATAATTATCCCGAGTGTCTCGACTATACTGAAGTTGGTCCTAAGCCTGATAAATGGTACAGGATGGATGCTGTTATTCGGGAACCAGATGATAAAACACCATTTTCATTACCAGACAATCTGGTTGAAAAGCCAGGTGCATTAATTTACTTTTCACTGGGTTCAATGGGATGTGTTGATTTAGAGTTGATGAAAAGGGTAATAAGTGTTTGTGCCAAATCACCTCATCGTTTTATCATCTCTAAAGGCCCTTACCATGAGCAAATTGAGTTGCCTGATAACATGTGGGGTGAACGTTATGTTAACCAAATCGCTATACTTCCTCATGTTGACCTAGTCATTACTCACGGTGGAAATAATACTCTAACTGAAAGTCTTTATTTTGGTAAACCAGTAATTGTCTTACCGTTATTTTATGATCAGCTGGACAATGCTCAAAGGATTCAGGATAAAAAGCTTGGAATCAGATTGGATACTTACAGTTTTACTGATGAACAATTACTTGATGGTATTGAGAAACTTTTAAATGACATGGAATTGTACGATAAATTGGAGAGAATTTCCTTTGAAATGAGAAACACTAAAACAAGAGAGGAAATTGTAAAACTGATTGAAAAAACAGCGATAACCAAAAAAAGTCCCGAATAATGAGTTAACATTCAAATGATTTCCATCTCGTTTTAAATCATAATCCAATTTTTGTTTTACTTTCATCGACTCATATGACGATTTTGTAATTTGCACGAAATAAAAAATTTTTATTCACAATTAATCAGGATAAAACTGAATTAGACTCACTTATGATTTCTAGCAGTTATCGATTATCAATCCTTGAAAGCTTATGCCTTCAGAACATTGAGCCTGATTATTTCAAAAATATGACTTCAACTGTATTTGAAAGTGCAATAAAACCATAAACATAAAGTGAAAACTACTCACTTCGATACGTAAAACCAGTATCTAACCCTTTGTTATGGCTCTAAATAGCTCTTTAGATGCCTACTTTAGGACCTTTTTAGATATTAAACTGTTCTCGAGAATCTCAAGGAAGATAGAAAACTTGGAAAACCTGAAATTTTCTTTCAGGCCAAACCTGATAAGATCACTGCTGCATACTGTATTATTGCTAGACGCAGAATGAAGCTCCTCTACCAGATTATCGATGATAGATAGTGATGAAAAGTTAAGAGCATAGCAAATCACAGGGGCTCATACTGACTGGAAGTTTTGTGACTACAGGGCTTTTATATTTTAATATGTAACCCTAAGCAGAGTAATAACAGTCAAGGACTGATAATTGTTTCGAGAAGTTTTGCATCGATAGAATCTCAAGGTCGCAAATGATTTCTAAGTCAGAATTCATCATTTTTAAAGATTTGTCTGATAAGTTAATTGAATTTTTTTCCTGCCTCTTGTTTTAGTCTTTAATCTTAGTCTTGTTAGTCTCTGAAAAAGTTTTAAAAAATATTGAAAGTCCATTTCTCTAAATCCAAACGCAAGCTCAGACTAAGTCGGTGAGGAACTGGTGCAAATCAATTAATATTGCTTAGACTTTCAATCCAGACTTAAATAACAAGTTAGTCCATACAACTTGCCATCTTGAGACAGCTTCTTACAAATGAAAAAAATTTAATTTTTTGAAAGATCAACAGCTTTAAAATCTAGTTGCTTAACTCTTTAGTTTCCATAGTGTCCATAAATTAGTTGATCATAAAGTGTTATTCACTCATTTTAAGTTATTAACCCAATCATCATGGTTCAAAAATTGAAGATCCTTTGTTCGGCCATGGACAGGTGAGTTACAATTTACAGATTTTCGTATAGTTGATATTTATAATTTTGTCCATTTAATAGTCTGGGCCATGTGAATGCAATTCTTGGATTTGCCAAAATTTTGGAGCAAAGAGGTCATCAAGTGATAATAGCTCTGGCTCCTGGTTGGAAATCGGCCATTGAGAAACACAACTTCGAATTCATTCCACTAAAATTGGATTCATCTGTAAAAGAGGAAAAAGAAGTCAAAGGTGAAAAGAAAGTTGGTGATGAAAGTAATGGTAAAGATGAGGAAGCCAACTCAGTGGAGAAGGTAGAGGACAAGAGCAATTCAAATGATTCTAAGATTGTCGATGCGAAATCAGTGAACGAATCGACAGTTACTAAAGATGAGAAAAACTCGGAACTACCAGTTACTGAATCAGATACTAAAGACGAAGAAAAAAGCCCAGTTAAAAAGGAAGAGGACAAGAGCAACTTGAACGATTCTGGGATTGCTGATTCGGAATCAGTAAACGAATCATTAGCTACTGAATCAGAAAACGAATCATCAGCTTCTGAATCAGTAAATGAACCATCAGCTACTGAAACAGAAACTAAAGATACTAAAAATGTTGAACAACCAAACCAGAAATTGATTGGAATGATAAATAGTCAGTTGAAAGGTTTCCGTTTGAAGCCTGTGGACAACGCTCGTAACTCTGCGCTAAAAGTACCTATGTGGCTTGATTGGTATGAAAAACAGTTTGCCTTTGACGATGCTTTACAAGAAGTAATGGATGCCGTTAAACCTGACATGATTGTAATTGATTTTATGCTAAGACTTCCATGTCTGGAAAAATCATCAATTCCTTGGGCACAGCTGTGGTCATGTAATCCAATCATGTTGTATAATGGTCACTGTCCACCTGCAACTACAGGCTATCCAACAGATAGTCCAAGGGAACTCTGGGATGAATACAAGGCTTTCAAAGATCAAGGAGACATTCCAATTGCTGAGTACATTAATAAATGGTTGATTAGTCGTGGAGTTCGTCCATACACAAAAGATGAAATATATCATATTGGTGAATCAAAATACTTGAATTTTTATACCTATCCAAGTATCCTCGACTATAATGATATCGCACCCAGACCAGCTAAATGGGTAAGAATGGATGCAACTGTAAGGGAACCCGATGATGCGACTCCTTTTGTTATACCAGAAAAATTAGCTGGTAAACCTGGCGCATTAATTTACTTTTCACTTGGTACAATGGGTTGCGTTGATTTAGAGTTGATGAGACGAGTAATAAGTGTTTGTGCCAAATCACCACACCGTTTTATTGTATCCAAAGGTCCTCTTCATGAGCAAATTGAGTTACCAGACAATATGTGGGGTGAATCTTACGTTAACCAAATAGCTATCCTTCCTCATGTTGATCTCGTTATAACTCATGCTGGAAACAATACTCTAACTGAAAGTCTTTATTTTGGTAAACCAGTAATTCTGATGCCACTCTTTTTCGACCAACTCGACAATGCTCAAAGAGCCCATGAAAAAGGTGTTGGTATTCGTATTGATACATACAACTTCCAAGATTCGGACCTTTTGGATGCCATTGAGAAGCTGTTAAATGATGAACCATTGAAGGAAAAATTGGCTGCAATTTCAGCTTCTCTCAAAGCATCTACCTCAAAAGAAACTGTTTGTAAATTGATTGAGAAGACTGTTGCCTTGGGGAAATCACCATTCGATGATGATCAAGTTGCAAATAATCAAGTTGAATCAGAATAAATTATTAATTAATCTCGTGGTGTACTTTTCCGATAAGACTATAATTCACAAGTTAAACGAGGATATCATAACTTATACTTTTATAAAATCAGGAATGAGTTTAGTTAATCACAACGTGTAATATCAACATGTTTTTCGCATTACAATAAATACCTGAAACTCTTTACTTTTATAAGCTATTGTCGTGCCGTCATTTTATAACCAGCTGGATAACGGTCAAAGAATGGGGAAAAGCTAGGGATTATTAGATTGGATACTTACAGTTTCAACAGCGTGATGAACAATTACTTGATGGTATTGAGAAAATGTCCTTCGATGTGCAAGCGCTAAAATAAGATGAGAACCGATTGAAAAAAACAGCGATAACTAGAAAAGTTCATATTCTACTATTCCAACGAAATAAAAATTTTAAAAAATCAATTTGAGTTAAGAACAATCAGATTGGTCTTTTTTTGCAGCCTCTATTGTTTATAAAAATCAATAAACCCGCCATTCTCAAACTTTTCACTTTTTCACTAGGTGGCAGGAAACACAAAAATTCATCAGTCTTTGAATTCACTTTGTTCAATCAACTTCATTTAATTTTGACAATTTAAGTATTTTTTAATTGTTCTAGGTGTTTCTATTAAACTGTTTTGTCAAAATATCATTACTAGATCAGTGTTATTACAAATGTTTCAATTAATTGAATCTGTCACGCATCATAAATTCAAATGAAGGTGGACAAATATTTGTTTTCATCTTTAAGTTTTTCAACTATCACTTGATGATTCTGTTTATGTTTATAAAATTTTCCTTTTTACAATAAAATGTGATTGACTTGTTAATGTCCCTTTAACCTTTGAATGACTGTTTAATTACGTTTCATATCATGTTACATTCACTGTGTTCAATTTGCAGTTACCACTGACTTAAACGTTAAAAATATGTTTCACTTTTGTGCCTTATGAACTCCATGTTTTGTTTGACGTTTATATCAATAATTATTTAAAATTGATTCTTTAAATTTGAAACTGGTTGGCGAAGATCATGAAATCAATGTTATGTCTAAATTTTGCAACTGTTATTTTCACTCTTTCATCAAAATTTTTTCCTGTTATAATTGATATCTGTATCATTTAAAGCACAACAAAACGCTATGAGCCGTAACAATACACCTTCTCCTTCTTTGTCCGATTCATCAAGTGATGATAGTCATCATGACTATCTACCTTATGCATTTTCACCTGTTAAACTGGAATGGCCTCCGTTAAAATACATGTTATTGGTTTTTATCATATCTTTTGTCGTTTACAGCAACTCTTTATCATGTGGTTTTGCTTTTGATGACATTTCAGCTATTAGAGATAATAAAGACATTAGACCCAGCACTCCTATTTTGCAAATTTTTGCCAATGATTTTTGGGGAACACCTATTAGAAAAGTAAGATTTTCATTTGGATATTCAATTGAATGATAAACTAATGAATTGCCAATTTCTCATTTTCAATAGGAGCACAGCCATAAATCATATCGACCTTTAACAGTCCTGACTTTCCGTCTCAACTATTTATTTGATGAACTTAACCCGTATGGATATCACCTGGTTAATGTTTTAATTCACTCAATAGTCTGTTTGCTCTATTATAAGTAAGTAAAATTAAATTCACGTTTAGAAATTTTTTACTTTTTCTTTTCGTTCTAACGTTGACTTATTTTCTTACTTTTTTAGATTATGTTTTGCCTTTATGCCTGAATCAGCGAGTCTAATTGCTGCCCTAATCTTCGCTGTTCATCCTATCCATACCGAAGCTGTAACTGGTGTCGTTGGAAGAGCTGAAACGTTATCATCACTTTTCTTTTTGTCAGCTCTTTTACTCTACATCAAAGGCACCTACAACCATAAACATGCATGTACGATTTCTTTTTTTCTTCCCCTGTCATACGTTCTTCTTTTATTCAATTCACATTTTAAAATGTTTTAATTTTCGTTTTAGCCTGGATTTGTGTAACTTCATCACTCATTATGGCTGGTGTTGCTACCTTTTGTAAAGAACAGGGTATTACAGTTCTTGCTGTTATTGGTGTTTATGAGCTCATGATTCTCCAAAAGGTATGTACAAATTTTCAATAAGAAATTTTCAATAAGAATTTTCAATTTCAGTTTTCATTTTTATTTTTTTTCATATTTCAGCTCAAATTGGACAATCTTAAACAATATTTGTCGATTAAATCTTTTCGCGCCAAGCGCATGAAGGAGCACTTGTTAAGAGTATGTTTGATAATCACTTCTGTAGTTATATTGCTATTAATTCGTATTCGAGTTATGGGATCTCAATTGCCAGTATTCACCAAGTAAGTGTAGTAGTAGTTATCTTCTCTTAACATGGATTAATTTCAAATTTCTTCTTTGATTTAAGGTACGACAATCCCGCTGCTGTTGCTTCAACTCCAACTCGTCAGTTGACTTATAACTATTTATTGGCTGTTAATAGTTGGTTACTTCTCTATCCTATGAATCTCCTTTGTGACTGGACTATGGGTACCATACCACTTGTTCAATCTTTTTTAGATGTCCGCAATCTCGCCACTATTGCCTTTTACGTTATCTTATTCAGCGCATCATTTAAATGTTTGCTCAATTTCAATGAAAGAAATCGAAATATTCTTACCATGAGTATGAGCTTAATCGTGTTCCCATTTCTTCCGGCCTCAAATCTATTTTTCCCAGTTGGTTTTGTAATCGCTGAGAGAGTTTTATACTTGCCAAGTATGGGATTTATAATGTTAATTGCTTATGGTTGGTTCATCCTTTTCCGAAAAATTGATTCTATTGGCAATAATTCGCTATCTCGTAGCTATAAACGAGCTCCTAGGATGTTATTACACGGCTTTTTGGTTGTCCTTTTAATATCGTTTTCTGCTCGAACTTGGATACGTAATTACGATTGGACATCGGAATACACTATTTTTAAAGCTGCATTGAAAGTTTGCCAGACAAATGCTAAACTCTTCAATAACGTTGGTCATTCTTTAGAATCACAAGGAAAGTATAAAGAAGCTTTAGCTTACTTTCTGAAAGCGTCTGAAACACAACCAGATGACTTAGGAGCCCAAATGAACGTTGGTCGTACTTATAACAACCTGGAAATGTATGATCTAGCAGAACATTACTTCTGGAAAGCTAAAAATTTACTCCCAAGACCCAAACCTGGACAACAATATCAAGCCCGAATTGCTCCTTCTCATTTAAATGTTTTCCTCAATCTTGCAAACCTTATATCAAGAAATCGTTCAAGATTAGAAGAAGCGGATTCACTTTATCGTCAAGCTATAAGCATGAGAGCCGATTATACTCAGGCTTATATTAACAGAGGTGATATTTTGATCAAACTCAATCGGACTCGTGAAGCACAAGACGTTTATGAACAAGCATTACAAATCGATGCTACAAATCCAGACATCTATTACAATGTAAGTTAATGGTTCATTTGAAATTGACTTTACCTTTAATACGATCTTTATTTTTAATTGAATAGCTTGGAGTTGTCCTCTTGGAGCAAAGAAAACCCACTCTTGCGCTTTCCTATTTTGACCAGGCTCTCAAATTGAATGAATTACATGAGGTAAGCTTAAATGATTTTATTAAAAATTCAGAATTCTGATATTAATAAATATTAATAGATTTTAATAGATATTTTCATTTTTAGTTGAGAAATCGTTTTATCTATTAATATCTTAACTAAATTACGTGAAGTTTTGATTAAGCTAAATATATCATTGAAATTTTTTATTTTCTTTTAACAGCAAGCGTTGATAAATTCGGCCATTTTGATACAAGAACTTGGTGATGACAGATTAAGACCAATCGCTCAAAAGCGACTCAAAAAGTTAATCGAGTTGAACAAAGCAAACGAAAGAGTTTATTTTAATCTTGGTATGTTATCCATGGACGATAAAGAATATACAGCTGCTGAAAAATGGTTCAAACTTGCTGTCCAATCACGTCCTGATTTTCGAAGTGCACTTTTCAATTTAGGCCTCCTATTGTCCGATACTAATCGACCCATGGAAGCTTTACCTTACCTTAAGCAATTACTTGCCTATTATCCTGACCATATCAAAGGCCTTATACTTTTGGGTGATATTTACATTAATGTTGTGAAAAATGTGGACGAAGCAGAAAAGTGTTATTTAAAAATTGTTCAATTGGATCCTAAAAATATTCAAGGACAACATAATTTATGTGTAATTTACGTTGAAAAGGGTAAACTTGAAGAGGCTGAGAAATGTTTGATCAAAGTGAATGCCATTTCACCCAATCAAGATTATATTGATAAGCATTTACGTATTGTTAGAAATCGAATCGCCCAGAAAAGAATGCTAAACAAGGAGAAAGTTGTCAATGACTCTGACACAAAATTATAATCATAGCTTTTCTAACTTCAAATCTCCTAAATCACTCGTGATTCCCTTTATCATCAAATAATTACACTTCATAACGCAATACTAACTCTGAACCTTCAACCCTTCAACAGTAACAATTAACTTATTTCTTGCCTTTATATGCATTTCAAAGGCTATTTCTCAGGCTAAATACTTCTTCGCTCAACGATCATCGTGTAAACTAGTCATTGTGATAAAGCTTCCTCTCTGATCATCCACTTAATCAACCCAACCATTCCAAATCAATTTTCATACTCAGACCTCAAGTGTTCGTTACTTAATCCGTTCAAATTTATCCGACTTTTCTGTACTATATTAATTGGTGACTGGTAACATCGTAAAATTTAATAACTACGATTAATTTTCTATCATCCATCGTCCATTATGTTAATCGTAAAACTGGAATAAACCAACTTCAATAATCTATTTGTAATACGGAGTTTCTTCATTGAATCAAAACAACTCGAGCAAACTGTTAATTAAGTCCATCTGATTTAAATTATGAGATATCAAAATATTATTTTGATTCAAAGCTGTCAATCGTGATCAACTGCACGTCTTATCAAATAAAAGACAGATAACCACATTATTTAATCAGTCAAATGCTCTGTTTATGGTTTATTTACCACTATTGTTAACTTTTTGATTTTGATCCAGAAAATTTTGCGATTTAATTTGGATAAAACACTGTTACCTAATAAAAATTGAAACAATTATCGAGGAAAATGAAACCAATTTTGAAACATTAAATGTTTTAAAGTACCAATTTATAAGCAGATAAGAAAAAAGTCTACAATTTAACAATCCAGGAATATTAAGTTAACCATTTCGATGTTTATTGTCTTATTGAAAGATAGCTGATTTGATTAAATTGGTTTATGGGTTTGATTGTAAATTGTTACAGTAATAATTGTTTAACCTGGTGAAGCCGGTTTCAGCCAGAGCCGGTTGCGTTTTGTTGATGTGTTTAATCCTTTCAACAGTAGATTATATTAAAATCAAGTTACCCAATCAACCAGAAAACTGGTTATTCTAGGTTCAGATTGACTATAAAAGTTAATAACAGAAATTTAGAATCACGAGATTCACAATCAAACAAACTCGAGGTTAACAAGGATAGATACAATTTGACATTGATGAATGTTTTTTTGAGAAAAACATCTTTTTTGTTTACTTGTCCATTATTCCCACTAGTTTAATTGTTTACAATTAATGAGGTGATTTATCAACAATTAAACAGTCTCCGATGATTTAATAGTTAGTAAAAAAATTAAAGGTAACAAAACAAAAAACGTAATAAAACAATGAATAATGTTGCCTTGCAAAATTGTATGATAATTTAACCCATTATTAGTTTGTTTTTCTTACTTTACATTTACACAATTTACATTAGTCTATACATTCATTAGTCTAGTCATTACATTTAGTCTAGATAGTCGATGATTTATTATCATCAATAGTAATTATATAATGATTGGAACAATAACCTTGCCAGGGATTTAAATTGTTGCCCTGTTGTCATTGTTATTGAATGGGTTGTTGAGTTTTTCAAGTTTGCTGTTGTTTCAAATGAAAAGCTTTAGCGAAATGTTTTTGGTCAGTTTAACGCATTTTAATTCAGTAAATATTGACTTGAATTTTCATTCTCTTGTGGTGAAAGCAAACAATTACATCACAATGAGCTTAATTTATTAGTCTTGTGAGTTGAATAACAAATTATATTTAATTCCCTGTTTTATCACTGTCAAATGATAGGGTTTAATATTATGTTAACCATTATTGATAAAAATTTATACCATTTAATGTTTAAATGTGAAATAATTGGTTAACTTGGAAACATTGAGATCAGGTGATTATTAGGGTTGACATCAATTGAATGTGATAAACAATCCGGAACATGATTAGATAAGTAAATATTCATATTAAAATCAACATTTGATTGTATTCCAAGTTTCTGAGACTTTTGTTTACAATTGTCACTCCAATTATTGAGACGTTATGCAAACACTTTTTTTTTGTTGTAATTCAAGTTTACATTTATAATTTATAAATTATAATTTACTAATTATTATCTCAAAGTCAAGTGTCAAGTCAATTAACGTATATATATATTTATCCCGAAGTTGATTGGTTACGATAAAGGAAAAAAAAGAAATGCTCTTCTCTTTTAAACCTTATCAATCTAATTCTCATTGCATTAAATAACATGAGGTGATTCCTCTTGAATCAGATGATGATGATGATAATTATTTAGGTAGACAATCACATTGTGATAACATATTTGTACAACAATATGGTTCATTTGATACACTCATTCAAGAAAAACCAGACAAATAAACATCCCTATTTAAATTATGTTTAGAGTTGATATGATAATGAGGTTATATAATTTGCTTCCAATGTGAAATCAATTGGAGCTCATAACTTGAAATCCTACTATTTGAATGTGTTTTCTTGACCAATTGATAGTACAAAAAGTAATCATCAAATTATGTTTGCCGTCAAAATCCTATTTAGTCTGGCTTTCAGATAAATGCAAAGTTCTGGCTGTTTCAACATACAATAGCTATGTATTATGGTTGCAGAGGTATAAAGATGAATGTCAAAAATAGGTTTTTTGATAACAATCAAGTTTATTTACAACAAACCAAGTTGATTGGGAAGATCGGGAATTGAAGGGTTGACCAAAAATGAATCAGGTAAAAATTTTGTTGAGAAGCCTTTGAATGAGATATTTGTCCGTTTGATTTACAGGATGAGCTGGAATCAAGCAAACATTTTATGGGTGAAATCAAGTTGCATTTGAATTTCAATGAGAAACGGTAATTTTGCTTCAATCTTTTTTATTTGAAACTCGATTTTAAATAGCCGGGGATTGTTAAAAAAAATTTGAGAAAAAACAGTCAATCTTGCTGAATAAATTTCAAAAAGGCCCATTGGTGAATGCCATGTTGATTTACAAATTGCGAAAATGATTAAGGCAAAATAAGTTTAACACGTTCCGTAGTCCTACGATCAGCAAAAAATAATATCATCCAGTCTTTTTTAATGATTTCAAGCTAACCAAAGAAGTGAGCTTTTTTGCAATTTTTTACGATGATATTTTTTAATTTATTATTTATGCAGCATTATGAGTAGGCTTCTCAATGGTTTTTTTTTGAACATAGTGCTGAATTTGATGGAGGTAAACTAATGATGTCGAAGGGAATAACCTCGTTTCTTTTCTTCCAATTATTTACACGTTAATATTATCATCAGTCACCATTATTTCCATCATCAATTAGTTAATTTTTTGTTTCGATATGTGAGATGTCTACTAGATTGTACCAAATAATCTTGTAGACAATTTGTCCCAAAAAGATTACATCTCCATTGAGAATTGTGGCTCTTCAGTGGTTGCTTCAAGAGTTTCTGTTAGGGAAGATCAATGATAAATCACGTTATTAGTATGGGAAGGCCAAGAAAAATTAAATAGACAATAACAAGGTAAAGAGGAACCTGAAACTTACCGGGTGCAGTCTTTTTAGGTAAAGTTTTGGGCTCTTCAACCTTTTTCTGAACAGGTTCAGCTGATTTATGAATTGATTTCTTAAATGGTGATTTATTCTCCTTCAGACTCTCAGGTGAAATACCAGTTGTTACTCCGGCTATGTAAGGAAGATTTTTCGGTGGTGTAGATGCAATTGGTGAGTTTCTCATTTTAAGGAGAAAACTTCGGTCATAAATAATTCTTGTTCCTGGTAAAGAAAAAAAAGAGAATATATTAGAACATGGGAAAACAAAGATGAATGAGAGGCATGATTTGTAAGGCTAATAGTTGATAGTTATTTCGAAACAGGTGATTTGAAGGTAATTTATGTGTCCATTGTGTAAAGTTAATTCACACCGAGTGCATCTTTGAGTTACTTTACATGGAACACGTAAACAAAATTGCAACAACTCTAATAGTTCATGACTAATAAAAAAGTGATTCATTGGATAATCAAAAAAGGATCAATGTCGAAGAATCGTTACTTATCCTAAATGAATTAGAGTGATAATTAAGTTTTTGCTCTTGGAAGAATCAAGATACAGTTATTTAAGAGACTACTAATTGCTCAAGAAGTTTATTGTTGAAGGGAAAATTTATTTCATTTGACTTGCACAAAAGAAAGCTATTAGATATAAAAGATTAACGTATTAACGAATAAACATGTTTACATGATAAAAACGAATTGTTTTAAATGCAATTGTAAGCATAAAAGTTGACGATTAATAGACAGACAGGTTGAAAATAATAAGAAATAAACAGCCATGCAAAATACAGAGCATCAATTGTGAGTGATAACAATAGTATTACTAATCAGGAATCAATTAGAAATAGTAAAACAATCATAGGACTTTAACTGAATAAGGAATTGATCATCAAGAAATCACCTGTAATCAACAATAAAATTGAGAAATGTTGACTAATATTTATTTTATTATTAAAAGGTATCATTAAATGACTAAATTGTTCCAGACTTATTGAAAAATTGGATCAGACTGGAGGGGAAGCAATGAAACTATGAAATAATTGGTAGCAAGTAATATTGGAGGTGAAAAGAGGAAAATCAAATTTATTTAATTTGTTAATTTAAGCATATCAAGTCCTAAGGCATCTTGAAATTATTAACAGAATTACTGAAGAATATGTAATGTTAACACCAGAGAAGTGAGACACTAAAATCATTAAAGTTAACAACATGATAGGAAATGAGCCTCATGTGACAATTTCATATTGAGCCTTCGATAAGACAAAGAGAAAGGTTTAGTCTAAGGGCTTCATAATCATAGCTTATCTTTCTTATTTATTGAAGTCCTTCACGTAAAGCATAATTTGAACAAAAAAGGTTCATGCTGTTGAGAAAGATAAATCTAGCATTCAACGACATCATAAGATCTCAGTAGCGTTAACTTTCTATATTTATGTTGATGATGTTATTGTGTATCAAGGAAAAAAAGGTGTTCAGTGGATTGAAGCTGGTAAACCAGCTTTACTTCAATCATCAGACGATAAAATTAAAACTCACACTGTACACATTGTTGAAGGTAGTTTATGATCATGGTTTTAAATGGAAAAATAAAGACAGGAAAAAACAAAAAGTTACTGATTGGTGATCATCTAGTTAATTGATCAAAAGAAATTTGTACGAAGTTGTTGTTAAACAGTTAATGGAATATGTAACTTGAAAATATTAAAAAGGATCAAATGGCAATCAATCAAGAGCAAAAACAGACAAAACTAACAAGAGCAACGAGATTTTGCTAAACCGCGTGATTCGTGAATCACCAGACAATATGGCGTCCAAATTGCTTTAACCTCTTCTATTGAAACAAAGGGATTCTTTTTATTAACTCTTCACTAACCAAAAAAGATGAGAAACAGTAAAAATTTGACTAAACTCTATCTGGAATCAATTTTTGTTGGATTAAATTGACAGAGGAATTAGCATTAAAAACGCAACTTTTAATGGGCAAACTAACTAATCACGAAAAAATTGTGTAATGGCTTATTTATAGCTAGTTTAAAAATAAAAGGTTACACCTTCAAACCAATTAAAATGATTGTTATCCTAAAAATATTTAGGTAGAGTTTTAAGGGAATAAAAAAAAGAGAAATATAAATTAAAAGTGAAAACATACCTCCAGGAGTATGGGCAAATAAAGTTCCGCCCGGAGTTTGGCAGTAATTATCAGGCAGCTGAGATAAATTGGTCAAATGGACCTTTTTTGTTGGGATATTGAGACCACTCACTACTGTTGATGCTGATTTTGTTTCGGATTCCATTTTAGGCATAATACTCTTTTTGATGTTAATTTTGTGAAAGTTAACAGTTTTTTAGCAAAATAAAGTGAGGTTATAAAAAATAACAACTGGTAAATTCAATTGTTTTTTGTGAAACGAGTTGGTGGTAATGAGAATTAGAGATACTTTGGAAACATAAAACACACGTTGAGTAAGAAAATGTGGATGGTTAAAAACAATCAACAAAACTGTTGAGTGACAATTAAATTAAATTTATAAAATAAGTTACACGAAGCAAAACTCAGAGTTAACTGATACAAGAAACTTTTTGTTCACCTCTTTTAACTGGTAACTGGTAAACCATAGACTCCTCCCGCGTCCCTCTGTCTCTCTTGCTCTGTCTATCTCATGCTTTTTCAAGGTTTTTTCTCTTCTCTGTCTTTCCACTCTTTCTTTTCCTTCTTTATTTTAAATTTCTCCTGAATTTCACTACGAACTTTAACCTGCTGACTGTTCAATTATCTAGTGTCCTCACTGTTTGTTTTGCATAAATTTTTCGCTAAGATTTGTTAACAAAAATGAAAAAAATGTGAAACTTGACTTCTGTTTGTCTTATGTTTGTTTCCCTCCATGTTTTCCCTCTGTTGCCCTTATGATGAATTGCTTTGTTCAAGACGATTACATCATAAATATTCACGTTTCGAAGTACTTCTTCCAGGTCAATGTTTGATCTTAGTGGATCCCCGAAATTTGGATGATAATGGATTCGTACAAGTGTAAGGTTTGTTGCATTTATTTTTCATATCTTTCAAAATTAACTTATGTAACTATTTGCCTTGTAATGAAAACATTTTGACCTTTTTGAAATGTATTAGCTCGTGTATCATTGCCTTTCATTTTGTTACATATTTTAACCGTAATTGATTGTGTGCTTGTCTTGTGCACATTCTGATTCATTTGACCATGTAAATTCATGAGACTTTTTTTATTTAATCATCAACCTGATGTTTATCAATTCTTTAACGTGCGATTTTATCATGACAATCTTGCTAAGTCATAGATTTACCTTTTATTATTTGACTTTAATGAATTGCAACATTGAGAGCAGTTGTTTTCTATCATGTTCAATACTTCTATTGTTTAATCTGGTAATCTTTTCTGGTAAACAATAATCATGTTTTTGCTCTTGCTGTTCTTATTTTTTTGCTGGTAAACCATTCGAAAAAAATTTGCTTATCTTTGACTCTTTCAATTCTAATATATTAAAATCCTTTTCTTGTTTACTACAGATTTGCCAAAATCCTGCGAAAACATAGCAGGCAATTGAAGAGGAAACCATGGAGAAGAACGTGATTAAAGTCAGGGAACCAGTTAATAGTAGACAGAGATGAAAACATGGAGCTGGTGAAGAGGGATCAACATGAAAATGAAGCTGGGAATATAAATAGAACTAGCGAGAGAACGGAAAGAGGAAGACAAACACAAAGGTTAACCAATATCAATGATCTCTTGGATGACAAAAGGCTGAAATGATAATACTCTATTCTCAAGGTGTTTTTGTGAATTTAATGACTAATTCTTTCCACTGGTTTTCATCATTATTCAATCAAGCAACGAGTGTTTATACGGAACGTGATTCGCCTGGAGGTGGAAACAAAATTGGAGAAGATGGAAAAGAGCGAGAAATAACTAAGGAATCGAAAGTAAAGCTTGAATTTCAAATTGCGAGGGCCTTTGCCTTGATTCACATGATGCACATAAACTAATTAAATCAGGACCTATCATCATTCGTGTTCATTTTTATTGATTATACGTAATCAACAGCTTTCATCGTTACTTAATGAGCACAAAGCTCTCTTGACCATTACTCAAGACTACTTCATCTTACTTACCAACCAGTTTAGTAATGCAAAAAATATCACCAAATATTACATTTAATTTGGTCAGTGATTCAGTGATGAAACAATCTTGATTGAAGATGATTAATAACACATACTTGTTTAGTATCCTCAATCTTACCAAAGAATCTTATTTTCCTCTCAATTTGCTAACCTTTATTTCATCATCCATGCCTGATGCTCAACGTGTTTGCTGACACATCAAATAAAGAGTGCAATATTAATCATAAAGACGAAGCAAAACACTTCACAAAATAATAGTTAGTCAGATTGCTCTTCTTATTTACAATAATTAGGAAGAGGGTGAAAAACTTGTGGACGTCACTTGTAAACAAATGTTTAACAAATGTTACATTGACCTTTATTTGATGAGAAATCAATTAATAATCGTTCAACCTCGAACTATGTTGAAAAAAAAGAGTCAACATTGCATTCAAAGGTTGAAAAATGTTCTAAATCAGTCCCAATGCTAAACTATTTAGACATTTTTGCCTCGGAATAATTGATATTTTCACTCAAAGCTCAAGTTAAAATTGACGCACAAAATCTTTATGTTGGTATTTAAGATCAACACTAATTAAACCTAGGCAAGGACAATTATTACCAATGTAAACCAGCTTTTCATCGATGACCTTACCTTGATAATTGTGCACAGGAAAAATGAATATAATGTACATGTGCTGTGAATTTGCATTTTCAATTCCTGCAAATGCGTGAAAACTTGTGACCAAAGTTACCTTGAACCATCTTCATGTGACTACAAATGTTTATCTTTCTCATTCCAGTTTCCTTTGTTTTTCACTTATCGAGGTCTCAGCTGAACTTCGTCATCATCATCACATGACCCTGTTCACCTTGTGAGATTTGCTGGTGGTATTTCCTGATGCAAAAAAACTATTACTCACAATTTGTCACCGCAAGTCTGAATTAACAAGAAAGACCAAAATTCAAATAATGAAATCAATTAGGATGGATCAACAGATGAATGCAAATTCAAGTGTTAAAAGGTAAACAAGAAAACGTTTTCTTCTTTTTTTTTGTTATCATCGACTTTATCATCAACAACATCAACATCAACCTGTTTCTTTGTTGAAACTAAATGATCTAGAAAATGATCTTGATGAGTTAATTAGTTGATACAAATAATTTGCTTGGATAGATACAGATGTAAGAATACGATGACTGAATACATCTTTTCTGTAACCTTTTTAGTTGTGTTTTTCATTTTCTCCGTCTTTCTCTTCTTTCTCTGTTCCTTTTACTGATCACCATGATGATGATCACCAAACAAAAAGCATAAATGATGCCGGCATCATAATGAACATCATGAGATTTCTGAAAACAGGTTGAAAGTAAAAAAGATGATGTACAAAAAATCCTTGTGACTTCAAGTTTTTACAGTGTAATATTTTTCAACTCAATCCAACCGTTAATTTAACCAGAATTTATCTCTTTCTCTTTTACTTTTTCAGAAACTCAAATTTCCGTTGTTTGTCGCCAAAAATGTTGCCAAAAAGATGTCGTCAACAATTGTAGTTGCTGGTTGATGATGCTGGTTACAAATAATCAATCATTGGGTTATCAAGCTGATTTCAGTACAAGTTAACCAGACTTTATCAAGGCACAATTCAGTTCCAAATATCAATACAATGAAAGCTGATGATCATAATTTTCCAAATCTTATTCGCCTCAGTCCAACCTTGAAATAATTTCGTAATAATTCTTTCTCAATTTTTCCCTGCAAAATGAAATTTTAAGGTTAAACTTGAACCATTTTTTCCCCTTTCTATGGCATCTTCACTCATCTTGCCAACCAGTCTGAAACCAGGCAATGGTAGACGCAACGGTTGTCCTCATTCAAAAATAGATCATCAGTAAAAGTGATTGCAATCAATTTCAATTTTCTGGTTAAGCTTGTCCGTTTCACCAACAATCTGTTTACTGGAGATAGACTAATCACTCGAGCTGATGTAATAACAACCCGGTAACATTGTAAACAGTCAATCGCACAATTTACATGTTGATGAAGCAGCTATACAATAATTATAACCAGGATGATGAAATGAAAAACAACTTTTTCAAGGTTGGAAAACTCCTTTCTACATTTTCCTCTTTCTATTTTTTACCTTAGCTTTTAATTTATTTTCCTGGCGAATCTCTCTTCTCTCTCTCTCTCTCTTCCCCTGGTTCAATTGAGGCACATCAACCAACAAATGATGATGATCATGATCACACCACCATCAACAATTTAATGGCTTATAGAGAGTTAATTCACTGCTTGTTGTGGAAAGTTGTAAACAAGTAAAACTGTTAATGTGGTTGAGTTCAATTGTCGCTATGGTTGTTTAATTAGTCACTTTAATGACTCTCTTAATGAATGAATTCTCAATTTCATTTATCATTGATTTCGTTATTTTGCTTCACATTAAATTGCAATCACATGATTACAGATATTATTTTAGATACACTTTTGGCTTCAATTACACGTATTTTTTATGTGTTTCTAAATTGCACTATCCATTCGATTTTCAGCTTTGATAATTAAGGAGTTTTATCTGTATGGAAGCTCCAATTAATATGTGAAACTTCAACTTCATCATGGCTTGTTATTCAATAATTAAGATTGTATTTTACTTCAAGTATCGCAATAAGATGCTTTTAATCGCAGTTGACTGTTTAAATGGTGCTTACTTGGTAATGACAGACATAAGTGAACGATTGATCTGATACATTTCAGGTTCAACTATTGTCTATTCTTGGCTTCTCAATTTGTTGACTTAAATAATGATTTACTGATTAGATTGAGATTTTATGGAATGATTTTGGTTAAGTGATTGTGCCGCCATCTGCTGTCATAAATATAATCCAATACCCATTCAACATTTTGACTTGAAATTTTGAAATTGATTTTTTTTATTGCTTTCAACTGTAATTATCCAAGACTATTGAACAGTGTCTTCTTGTTGTCTAAACTATTGAAATTTCCAATAACACTGCTTTCATAATCGCCCAACAAATGATTTTTTAAACAAGTGTCGATCCGATGAACTGTATCTATTTTGTGAACCGGTAAACTCGATTGAATTTGAAGAAGCTGGGAATATAATTGAAATATCTGGTTAAAATGAACTTATCCGATTCTCAAATCACCTAAAATTCTCCTGCTTAATGTTCCGATGTTATAAAGCTGACAAGCATTTAAGTTGTCAATTTAACCTTTATCCGATATGGTTCACTTTGATCTTATGATCTTTTTCATAATCTTTAAACGAAAATCACTGTTAATCTGTAATCTTAAAGATGATTTCAATGAATTAAATAATTGGTAAGCAAAATATATTTCGGGTCAATTAAATGATTGATCTAATAAATTAGCCATAATATAGTAAAGCTGATACGATAAATTAAAACATTTGACTGTAAAACAGTTATGATCAAAGAGTTACTCTTTGTTTACTTTGTATAATCCGAGATGTTGAAAGGTGACAAAAAATCTAATAGAGGGCACAGTAAGCGACTAAGGTGAAAGCAAAGAGTAAAAGCTTGAACTGATGAAAACAAAAAAACGATTTTAAGCATTTGGAATAAACTGTTGTAATGAGATTTGCATTAATCATCTGCAATTAATCAAGCTGTGGAATAAATTATTTATCAAAACATATGACAAGGAAGCATTGGAAGGGTAGAAACTGTTTGGTGGAAAAAATGTTTACTCTAATTGGGTTCTTCAGGCTTCTTTTTGGTTTTAAAGATGCAGCTTAAAAAGTCGATTAAATGAAATAAAATGATTAATAATTAAGAAGCAGATGGAAAAATAAATGCAATCTTTTAGTGTTACCAATCGTTTTCATCAGTAGAAACACTGATTTGATTCATTGGTATTTATGCTTTAAGATCAAATTAACTCAAACAGCAATAATAAACAAACCGACCAATAATGAAAGGTAATACCAAATCCTTTGATGATCAAATTTCATTTGTAACAATGTTGTTAACATCTCTGGAGGCAAATGAAGCACATGATGATTGAGAAAAGGCATGTAGGCCGAAACAAAAATGTAAATGCAAATGAATTGAAAATCCTCTTGTATAACGATAAGATAAGCCTGGCAAAGGTTACAATTAAGCTTAAAAAAAGAAGAGAAGTGAAAAATTTAATCACCAACCTAAAGAAACTGTTAGACAATCAGACGGTTTGATTGTATAAGAAATGTTGACAGCTAATTAGTTCAAAGATAAGAATTGGCAGATTAAGAAACAAGTGTTCAAAGCCGTTAACAAAAAGATAGCCTTTAAGACCTATTGTAAGTCTGTTAAGCTGTATAATATCCATTGTTTCAACTTGTTAAAACCGTTTATACAATCTATGGCAATCAGTCAATTTCCAGATGAAAAAGAGTTGTCAATAATATAAAATCAGATTTCAATGTTTTCACTCTTCATCGTCCGGTAAGTCCCCAAATACGAAGGAATAAGCTGTCTGTAAAAATGAGCCAAAATTGAGTTCAGGAATATGGCGAAAACACATTATCAAAATAGAAATAAAAATTGGAAGAAAAAAAATGAAAAGGAGAAAGAAAGATGAAAAGATGAAGATAGACAAAAAGACAGATGATACGTTTATACGATTAAAAGTATCGGAAGATGATGATGAAGACGAAAAGAAAGGTAAATAGAAAGAGGAAAGCAAATGATGATGAGAAGAAATTAAAGCGCGTTGTGAATATTACATTCAAACATTCAATGTAATACACTCACACACATTATATAAACTTTCCTCGGCCTATTGGAAGAGAAAGGGGTCGAAAAAAATGCCTAGATTTACATTTGCTTCATTCCCCTGTTCGACCTTGAGACGCTTCTCCCTGCGACCCCCATTTATAGTGTCTCACTCAAACTCATAGTCCCACGGGTTAAAATAGTCAACAACTCACTTTTTTCCCCCGGTTGATCATTTATCCTCTTGTCTCCCTTTGTGCTCACTATTTATCTTCTGCTTCTCTTTCTCACTTTCTGTTTCTCTCGAATTTGCTCTCTCTGTCTTGTTATTATTATTGTTTGGAGTTCAATCTCAACTGAAGACTTGCTACTCAGTTTTGTTATAACAGTTAAACTAGACATTACCAACACTTTTTTTGAGAGAAAAATTTTCAAAACAAAAATTTTATGTCTTAACACTTTATATTGCTATTTTTCTTGACCAATATTCAACTCTTACTATCTACTGAACAATTGAATGCAGTGTTCTTTGACTGTCATTGAGTCATTTGCTTTAATTTCTACTTTTTTGTGTCTTCCTGCTCTCGATTTTTCTTCTGGTTAATTTATATTGTGTACCTTTTTTTGCATATTCAATAAGAAAAACCGTTTTTTTCTTCTTCATCACTTCACAGTTTTTTCTTTCTGCATTTTTGCATCCATATATCTTTTTTGATCAACATGCCTCAGCGAGGTAAACATCATGGTGCTGAACCGGTCGAAGTTGATTGTGGTCACAGTGAAATTGAAGGTGGTAAACATGGTCATCATCATCACAATAACAACAATAATTATGCTTATGTGCATAAAGACTATACCGGTGACTCAAAAGATCCAAATCTTACCAAGTGTTGCGTGCCAACCAATTGTAATTTGAATCAACCCATTCGTATGGAAGATTTAAATGATTGTGTTAAGGTTATTTGTAACAATGAAAATTGTAATCAAGGCCGTTATATGCACAAAAGCTGTTTCGAAGATTTTCAAGCAACAGTTCTGACATACCTTCGTTCAACCGGTCGAGCTCGAAGTTGGTCCGAAAAACAAAGGTTGCAAAATTTGTGGACCAAAAAAGGTTACGATTTAGCCTACAAAGCTTGTGGGTGTAAATGCGGTAAGGGTCATCTTCGTAAAGATCTTGACTGGACAGCACCGGTTGCCACCAGTCCCGAAGAAACGGGTAAGAAAAAGAAGAACCGAAAAAAGAAGGCCAACGATAAACCGTCTTTAATAATAAGTACAGCAATGTCCATATCGAACGGGTCTAATAAGCATCATGTCTCAATTTCTACGGGTAATAATAATTGCAGCTCAAACAATATGGCTTCTGGTGGAGCAGTAAATTCATCATCGCCAAGTAATGGCTCTGCATTGCCTATCAGTCGTCTTAGAACATCATCCATGTCTTCTACTGGATCTGGAGTTTCAGGAGCCTCTGGTGGCACTTCACCTCCTGTAAGTGGATCCGAATCACTTTCTCCTGGATTCCTTGATCAATCCGCTTTCATGAAGAAATTTTTCGGTGCCGGGGAACAACAGCATGGTTCTTTTGCGGCACCTTTTCCTCATCATCAACAATCACATCCTCACCATTCTCACTTTCATGATTCTGGACGACGAGAAAGACGAGGATCAGGATCAATTTTCTGTCGAAGGCAAGATTATTCTTCATTCAATAATCTTCCAAAGCACAAAATTAATTCATACCATATTAAAATGGAAGATGATCATGGAAATGATGAAACGCGCAATTTCATCCTCTCAACTCTTAGTGCTAATCGAATGAACCGGTAAGTTTTAATATTTCTCTATATCCTCCTTTTATCAGATTAAAAATTTGCAAAACTTAGACTATGACCAATGCAGCTCAATTGAAAGTTTTTCAAAGTGTGTTTTTGCAAAATTTTAAATTGTGACAAATTTTGTCCCTTTTTCATAAATCTTTAGTGTTTATTTTACTTTTTTTGCAATTACTAAGCTTATTATTTTTCTTTCATTCTTTTTTCCCCAATTTTTAAAACATTTGTAACAATATTAGAGTGTCATGTATCATGTGTCACACTTCTATGATGATTTTCGACAAATATCCATTGATTGATGGGACCTTCTTCTTATCACCAACTCAGCACAGTAAAGGAGCTGTGCTCACTACAGTTGAAGGTAAAAATCAATATCTTAATGCTGTATGCATGAGCTGTCTCGAAGGCTGGAATTCAACCCTTAAATGCCGTAGCTGCTCCACTTGCTGGACAGGATCTCACCTTATACTGGGCTCAATGTACTCTTATGATATTTTCGCTGCGGTCCCATGTTGCACCGACAGGCTTCGGTGCAATAACTGTAAAAATCTAGTTATCTCTCCTGATCATGGGTTACAATTTTTCAGTCATTATTCTAATGCAATCGCCTGTGGACATTGTGGAACTGTTGACTTTCATTTTGCAAAACCCTTGCAAATCATCTACAACCGGACTGGTCGAGAATGATGATGGTTTAAAATCAACGACATATATATATATTTCTTTACAGATTTATATATATATTCATATAATTCAGAAGCTCAAAGAAATATCAAAGATTATTCATATTTCTACCTTTTTTTGTCTTCAACTTTAAAGCAACTGAAAAGAGCAAGCCCAACTTTGTGTGTCTGAAAACCCATTCACATCTATTATTTAACAACTCCAGACAATTCAGCTAAACAATAAGCAACCTTGCTCGTTTACAACTTTAGCTCTCTTTGTCTCTCTGTCTCTTGTCCGTTTCTCACTTTCTCACTTTCCCTTTTCTCTCTCATCCTCTCCCTTTCTACATCACTTTTTGTCACAATTATTATAACTGATACCCTATTGGAACCAACTTGCTTGATTGGCAACATTTTTTCTTCAAATCTTTTTTTTTCATTTTCTCTTCTTTTCTTATTCTGTTTCAATGGTATGATTATCATGTTCAATCATACTTAACCCTCATTATGCATTCTGTTTAATACCAAACAACATTAGTTTAACATTTACTGTTACCGGTGAATCTTTGAATGCAATCACCACAACCAAATTGAAAGAAAACCTAAAAAAAGTCGCTAGCTATTCACTAGGATAAAGGGCTGCACTTATAACTCAAATCAAGCTGATGAGTTATTTTTTTTAGATATATTCAAGTCCTTATCTACTTTTGTTTCTTTTTTCACAATAAAACCACTTTTTGTTTGAAAAAAATTTCTCCTCATCACTTTAGCGTCTCCTTATCCTTAACCAAATCTATCCTGCACCTTTCCTTTAATAGCAATCAAACTCCCTGATTCCATTCTTTTTTGATACAATCATAATCTATTGGAAATCGATTACTGGTAAAAACTGATGACCACTTGACCAAAACTCTCACTGGCCACAAAAAAAGACGGGTTAACATTTTTTGCCTTTTGATGAGAATGATTAATTTTTTGGAAACCAGCAACAACTTAAAGAATCTAATTACTGATTACTCTAATTAAAGTAAAAGAAATGTCCACAATGATAATTATCTTGCGAAAAAATATGCTAATTAAATTAAATATTGTCAAAAATGATAAGAAAGCAACAATTAGATGGAAAGAGTGTCTAATCCACTCTGATTTGCATTATTGTGTACTTTTATTATTATTATTATTATTATTATATTATTATTATTGATATTATTATATAAATTTCAATAAAGACTATTAACTAATTGCGTGAATTTAGTTTGCCCAATAGCATTCAATAATCATTAGGAAGCATAATTTAGATACAAAAAACAGCTATTAGCCCAATGTATGGACTATTAACATTGGAAAGCGATTAACTGTTTTCAATTTTATCTTACTCTGTAAATTCATTAATTATCGTCTCTGTGAGTTAATTATTGAAGCTCTTAAATTAATTTGGTTAGTCGATTGGGTGAATAAATATTTGATTGAGATGATGATTATTTCATTTTGTATGTTAAGCGTTTAATCTTGAAATCCTTTTCTAACGTAACCTGGAAAAGTCTATTAATAGTGACAATAAACAATTAATTCATAATTAAATTGCTTTCTCACTGTGATACGGGCAAATAATAATCTAACAACAGGTGAACGGATGTTAGCTTGATTAAGTTTGATTACAATAAGTCCAAGGAGAGACTACAAGCTTAATTAAAGATTGTATGAGTAAACATAATGATTTATATGAAAAAAATATGAAATTAGATTAACAAATATTTGATTCAATTTACATAGTAAAGGTAATTTTTATCAACAATGTTGGACAATTATTGTTATTATTGCAACCATCAGAACACAATCATTACATTAACAGGATAAAATAGTAAAAATTGTGAGATTAATTGTAGTTAGCATTTTTTTCACAATCAAAATAAACATAGCAGTTCAACAAAGTTGACTGACATTTTACAATATAAAAATAGATTGATTGCTGACAATAAGGTTTAAATATGGTTGAAACAATTAATAGTTATGATTATCAGGCTAGACATATGAGACAATATCATTATGTCATCTTATTTGGGTTATCAAAGTGATTAACTTTAAAGGTAGTGAATTGATAGTTTAGCTTATTTGTTCCTGATGATTAAAAATAAGCGGTTGATACATTGATGGAAGTTACATTTTAAGGTAAGAATTAATGTGGACTAGAAGAGTTGAAAAAAGTGTCAATTAGATTGAACACTTCAACTCAAGCTTACATCAAGTCTGGAACATAATAATACATAATGATAATCAAAATAATCAGTTGATAATAAATTGTTTCAACCGGTTACAATGAAAGTTGATGTTGATGTGGGAGTTATGAGTGAAGGGATGGTAAAAACAAGAACCAGGGAAAGTAGAAAGAAAGAGGAAGTCAAAGAACGAGAATCAGGGGAAAGGTGAGTGAGAGATGATTATGATGATCATGATGATAAAGATGATGATGATGATAATGATAATGATGACTATTTTCACGTAGAAAGGCGGAGTTTTTTTCTTGTTCTTCTCTCTCTTTCTCTTGTTTTTCATTCATGAAATTCAAGTTTAGCTTCATGAAGCTGGTTCTCTGTGTTTCTGTGTTTATCTGTTTACCATTATTTTTTTGTTATGGTTAAGCTACTTTTGTTCAGACTGAGAGAGAACTCAAGGTTACCTTGAAATCTTCTTTCAAGCTTAAACAGATTCCTCTTTTTTCATGAGGCGAAAGGAAAAAAAGAGAAGAGCAAGAAGAACAAGAAGGATGAAACTGAAGGAACCAGGCAACTTTAAAACATCATCATCCAAATACCGGGTTTGGACTTGTAACATAACAATAATAACCATCCAACTATGAACAGATTCACAAAAAAAGGTCTAACGTTTTCATCGCCACGTTAACGAAAAAAAAAACATTCTGTTCCATCATGTTTATGCTCGCTTCAGGATTCCTCTTAACCTGTTGGTTACCCTTTTTATCCTGGTCTCTCTACACGCTGGTCTTGGTTCCTACATTTTTTTGTCTCTCCTTCAACTAAATTGTAGTTCAACTGGTAAATGCTGTTTTTGTTGTTGTTGATGATGGTGATGAGGTGAGATGGGAATGAGAATGATTATCATCATGATTACCAGAATGGGTCCAACCTGAAAAAAAGAAGACCTTGTAAGATGAAAAAAAAGTAAAACCAGTTCAAAAGTGAATCAAAATTGTTTTCACTTTTTACTTCTTCTTTGCTTACTTAACATTTTAGATTTCCTTTTCCGTCTCTTGTAGCTGTAGATGATGTTACCAATCATCAACAATTAACTTCAATTGTTTACACTGCAGGAATCATCTTTGATTGTGTCTGTCTCTCCACTTTATTTGGATTTGGTTAATCTAATCAGATCCAGCAAAAACATTGTAAATCACTGCTACAAGTTCATGTTGACTATTAAGAAACACATTTAGAGATTAATCAATTTGTAAAGAATAACGTGTTGATTATGTATTGATGGGCAATTAAACAAGGTAAACAATAACAAAGCCATCTAATGGTAACCAGCTTTTAGGGGCTGTGCATTAATTGAATAACAGACTCATTACGAAATTGATTGAAATTTTCGTAAATTAGATTCTTATCAAACCAACTCAAGTCTTGGTTAAATTTTGAAAGTTAATAAGTCAAAGTAAATCAAAATTGTCAAAACAATTATAAATTCAATTCAGCCTCTTCAATCAAAATAAGCTAACCTAAAGAGTCCTTTGTGTGGAAACCATAATTATACCTTTTCTGCTTAAATTTACAGAGCAAATAAACTCTTGATTAAAATAAGTGAACAAATAAGTTGATCATTGAATGACATAACAATTTCAAGTTTAAATTAAAACAAAAACAAACTGATTATGCATAAACTTGAACAAACCTGACACATTCAACATTGACCATTTCACCGTATTAGTCTCATTGCCTACAAACATCGTTAGACAAGCTACAGTTATTGTTGATCAAATTAATATTGATATCAAAATTAAAAGGCCAAATATTGCAATTGTTAGGTCTAGTAGGCAAGATAAAAATACCAACGCAGATGTAAGATGAGAAATAAAATGTTGACTTTAAATGAAGTTTACACTTATTTTCAACATTCTCATTCAATTAACCTTTCCGGTTCCTTTTTCATCCCTCCTCTTCCTCTTTCCTTATATCTTCCTAGTCTTTACCCCCTTTCTCAGACTATTTCAACCTCCTCCTTCATATCATCCCACATCGTTACAGTAAAGGCTAAAATAATGAGACTCTTGGAATAGCTTATCCCCACTATTCACCAAGCAGCGTATTGCCACGACTTTCAATAGATCACATTCAACAGTTCATATCAACAACACAGATAACAAAGAGCTAAATTGTTTTCATTCTGATTTCTAGAGTTTTTTGATCGATAAACGAAGGAAAATTTGATTGAGTTATTTAATGATTCAAGAAATCGAAATGAAATTTGAAACAAAATTAAACTCCTCCTTAATTCGGGACCGCTTATGAATTTTGTATCACATCTCAGTCTTTACTGTATTTTAAGACTTTTATGGACAAAACAAATGTCTTGTTTACATTCATCGTTGCAAGAACTTCAAGGTCTTTCCAGTTTCACTGTTTTTATCGTCAGAATCATCAGAATCAGCTTTGGCTTCATCTTGGCCCTGGCCCTACTGATCTAGATTAATTGAATTGAGCTTGAAAACTAACACTTTTAACTGCAGTTTGTACTTATTTCAATAAATTCAATCCTTATAGTCAATCGAATCAACGATTAAATTGTTTATTAATCAACATTTTTTTCATATAATTACACTAATGAACTTTAAGATGAGTTAAATGACTCTAATAATAAAGCAAAGGATTTTATTAGATTTTATGTGAGATCAGTAGGTTTGAGCGTTTAATTATTCAACCCACAATTATTGTGCGTTCTTATTGATACAATGATTTTTTCTTGATTCAACTTGCTAATTGTAATGTATCATGTTGCTGTTGTCAATTGAACAGCTATTTGATAATTATCAGCTCAGAATCTTGTGACTTGATAATCATTTGAAAACAATCTGTTAACATTGTAAAGTTATTAATATTTCTGGAATCACATTTGCTCTCAGTTTAACATAAACTGTCAACCAATTGGACTGAACTCATTTATTTAAGCGATTAATCAAATTTGAATTTGAGTTTAATTACTCATCCAATTTAATGTTAATTATAATTCAGTGTGGACAAAATGTGTTTATCAACTTCTGTAATGGTTTATATTAACAATGGATTGACCATGATTAGTATCAGTGTTGTTAAATTTAGTCTATTACTTTTGTTCATTTCATTGTTGATCGGATGAATGATCTATTAATGATGATAATTTATATGTTTAATAACTGGTTAATCATTCAGACTAGATATTAAACTATTAATTAACCATAATAAAAGGCAATCAAGGTTAACGACACTGGAATTATTTCCAATCTGACAAATGGTTCAGCTCTGAATAGATGAAGTTACAATTGAATTGATAATCCTGATACTTGCCATACAATCATTATCAGATTGATTATTGGTCTTCATTTAACCAAACAATTGAAAATGAAATGTCTGAGCATTTTACTCAACCAGACCGGTTTATCAAGCACCAGAAAACTTCATTTTCATAAAATAATGGAGTTAACATTGAGAACTTTCTATTAGCTCTATTATGTTGATGTAAGCCTCTAATGGTGATTAGTTTACCAAAAAGCCTGAATATGATGAGACTTTCACTTTGCACAAAATTAATGTAAATAATTTGTTTTAGACAATCGATTATAATTGATATGCCATTTCAAATAGGTTGAATAATTAAATAGATTCGGTTACAATCATCAGATTGACTTGTGCCTCAGGTAGTGACTTATACACCACTTCATGTAAACAGTGAAGATTAAACCAACAATTGATTAAATTGTTTCACTATCAGTTGAGTGACTTGACTAAACAGAATTACTTTGAGTCTTTGGTTCTTTTAAATTGTCAATGTAATGATTTGAATGAGGTTAAGGAAGCTACAAATGGACCAAAATTGTTGATGAAGCTCAAGTTATGATGATGTGAATACGATGGATGAATCTCGCTACAAATTAATGGTGTTAATTGATCCAAACTGTCAATTTTTTTTCTTTGTAAATCAAAAGTTCTTGTCTAAATAATTGTCTTGTTTATATCAACAATTGGTGAAAAAAAGAAACATTTTCTAGGCTAAAAATTGATTGACGATTCCAATTCTGTTTTCAAAATTGGAAAGCTACTATTAATATTTACCAAGGAAGGTAGAATAGGCTTAAAATGGTTAATTAAAGTTGAGGCCCAAACTTGTAAGTCTTAATTACTTATTTTTACTCAATGCGATGAGCGATAGTCTGATAGTTACATAAGATGAAGAAAAGTGTAGCCTGGCTTAACCAGAAATGAAATCTTTGGGAAAAATGATTTATCAGAATCATTTGCTGCTCCTTCAATAAGTTGAATAAAAGAATTGCTGTTGGGATTTGATGTAAATTGATTATTGTGGCATGTTAATCACAATCGGTAATATTTATCCAAGGCTTAAGATGTTGATAAAGTGTTTGCGATCAGCATTATTCAATTCATTGGGAACAAGATTGTTTCCCAAAATACTTATTTCCACTTTCATTTCATTCCTATTCCTTGTGATCGTGTGGATACAAATGGATATGGTTAAACGTTAATTATTCAACGCACAATTTAACTTTTCCCAATTTGGTAATATTTTCTGAAAAAAAAGTTGCCCAGCAAATTGAACAAGCTTGACCAAGAAGAGAACAACAATTTGGCTTTCTATTGTCTATTGTGTTGAAATTTTCTCAGAGTAAATTGCAAATGTTCAGCTAAACAAGACAATTAAAAAAGATCCAACTTTTATCAGGTTGTTGATTCCAATATTAATAGACCACTGCAAATCTGTGTGAAAACAAAAGCAAAATCAGAAATGAGAAACAAAAAATAACAAAAAAACGAGTATAAAACTACAGATTAACAAGGTAAACAGCAAAATTAAAAGCTAGCTTGAAAAATTATGGTAACAAGCATTCAATTCCTTGTTTTTGAGTTAATAATAATCATAGCATTAACATTATTATTACTCTATTTACATGTTCCAAATGATTATAAATTCAATGATTTATCTCATTGCAAAAAGCAGACAAATATTTTTAAAATAATGCTTCATTATGATTATTTTGGATATCTTTCTCTGTTGATTGCCTACAGCAAAGATGTAACAACACCAGCAGCAATAGTGATAGAGATAGCGATAGAAGAGGTTAATGATAATGAATATAAATCTGATGTATTAAAGCGTACCATGTATAAATAGACATAATAATGACCCAACTTTGATGCCCTTGGTTAATTTTTTTGAGTGTTAAAATGGTGCAGTTAAAGTCTCCATCGAGGCCTGAAAATAAACAGAAGTCCGTCAACATCATCAACATTTTCATTATTATTACTTACATACAATTAACTACTGAAGCCATCTTGAAAAAAGTGGGCTTGTTAATCCACAGTCTATATATATTACATACCTTTTTTGAATCTTTTTTTGCTTCCATCCAAGGCCAAATTAACATGCAACACCGATCACAGGCCCTACTAACCTAGTGCGTGTCTTTCTTCTTTACACTTTCTTCTTTTCCTCTTTCTATCTTCTCTGTCTATGGGAGTTATAATATATCTTCTGAGCGGTTCATCTCACCATATTATAACATGAGTAAAAGAGTGAGTTTTGTTTATCTTTCCAGTCAATGATATTTCAATGGCAACTCAATATGAATAAACATTGGATAGACGGCAAGAGCACACATTAAAACTTTAAAGTAACAATTAAACAAAAAAAAAGTAAGTGAGCAAAACACAATAATTTATTAAATTATGTTGATAATAAAAAGTAAAAACAAGGAAAGTAAAAATAGACAGAGAAAGTGAACCGATTTTCCCTCTCATTTCATCAACAACAATCAGTAGAAGCTTGTGGAGCCACCTTTTGATTGTAACTTACATAATATTGATTAAAATTTCAATTTCTCTCAACATTAATTTTTTCAATCAATTATTCATAACCCAATAAGTTAATCAAAAACGTTCAATAAATCCCAAGATCAAATTAAAAAAGCAGACAAACTGAAAGTCATGAACTGACTCAAAAACCTCAAAATCAGAAACAAGACCTTTAATTGATGAAGGAATCAGAAAAATTAAACAATGAAAAGATTACCATTTCAATGGCTAAATTGAAGTTAACAGTCAAATCTGAAATTTTCATCTTCTTCATCAATTCATCAGTGAAAGATGATTGTTAAATATCATGTATTTATCAGTTTCTCGCAGTGAATCATTAAAAATTGAGAAGCTAAATATTAAAAATCATTGATATGTTAAAGGCTGAAATCATTCATTTGATTAACTTGCGATTTACACTGAGGTTAATAAACTTTCATGTTAATCAACATGTTAATTGGGATAAATTTAGTTTCCCTTTCCGCTATTAAAACATTGAAAGATAATTAAACGATGAGACTTGAGATGCGTTTCAAGGTTGCTTTTCAAGTAGGTCAACCCAAGTCAATGACCTTTTTTTGGCCCCCAAAAAAAGAGGAACCAAAGATGTGTGTCACTTGTACCTTCATCATTATTTACTTTCCCTTTTCATCATCATTTTCATCCCCATTCTCGTCTTCATTTTCATCTTTCGGACCTTTTTTTGCTGTTGATTGAAAAAAGTCAACAGTTTAGTTTGTTTAATCAATACTTTGAGGGTTTACAGAATAATTTTAGGGCTTTTGTTGGGTTCACCATAAATTTGATCATTTTGTATTTCAACAATTTAAGATGATTCAACACTGATAATCATCTAAATAAACGTAAATTATTGTAAAAGATTAACATCATTGACAGTTATTGTTATTGGTTATGTGAAAAGAGAGGAAACAAAAGGTTATTTGATATTGTATTAAACAATATTATTTATGGATTATCATTATGTTGTACTTTTTTTTGTATTCTGGTTTTGATTCTTGCTCAGAGTTACCATTCAAATTTCATGTGTGAATCTTTAACTCCCAATGAAAGTGCCAAATGTCACCATTAATCCTCATTTATTGCTCATTTTTACAGATAATATATTGAACTTTTCATCTTCCTTCCTAACCCTACAAAATCATAATTGGGTTTCCTTTATTTGGATCCCACTTTTTTAATCATTTTCACTCAATATTCATCATTATTTAGATCTGGTTTTTATTTCTTCTCATCATATTTCGTGTTGAGTCGATAATAATTTGATTGCTTGATTCCTTGATTCAACATCATTCACCCATTATTCATGAATGTTCATTGAAATTGGTTAAATGTGGTTTCACTTGACAGTCTAATACATTGGCAATTATGTGAAGCCAAATAATCAACAGTTGAAACTTGAATGGTTTACAGATGAATAGAGTTGAACATGTTTCAATTAATGTGTATTCAATTAAACAAACTGTAAACCATTGAACCAGTTTAACCCAACAAAATCAATGTATTAAACGACTCAGCAAACGATAGTTTTCAAGTTTCAAATCATGAGTTACTACCAGAATTAAATGAATTTTAACATCAAATGTAATATCAAGGGTAACATCAAAAACCAGATTCAAACGTATCAATTGTGATATCAATTATAATATAAAATGTTATTAAACAATTTGTTAAGGTAACTTCACTGTTGGTGGTTAGCTATGGTCTTAATGGTTTAGGTGAACATTGAAAATGACATTAAATATTGTCCATAACATAGTTTAATGGTCAACCATGAGTTACAATAATCACTGTGTTAATAGATTGTGATAAAATAAGTGGCGAAAAAAAGCAACAGCAATTACAATAACAATTAAAGTCTAATAGCATGAATCATTTATCTACCAGAAAATATTGTTGTTTGATATTTTGGGTAAAAATTGGTTAACACTGGTTAGGAGGTTATTTTTTGATCGTCATTTGATTTAGAGTGATTTATGATTGTGATTATTGTTGATCATTATGAATATTGTTTTATTTACAAAATGTAAATTGCTACTTGTGTTTGTATTAAATGGTTAAATGTGTAATAAGATGATGATAAGTCTCATTGGATTTGCTGATTTAAATGGATTGATGTTGTTGATCTGTTTAAGGAAGGCTTTTTGAAAAAGGTTCATCAAATGATTTTGTTCAAGTTCAAGTTGATGATGATGATGCTTAACTTAATATCAACAGATTTTCAGGGAATTCAAATGTTTGTCTATGTTGATTGAATTGAAAAAAAACTGAATTTACAATGGATTCATCGATTACTTCAATCAACTAAATTGGCCAACTAAATCCAAATAAAACAAAATACTATTTACACTTAACAAGTCACTTAGGGATTGGGATTTGGGTTGAGTTTAACCTTTGCTTTAACATTCATTTTTCATTGAAAAAACTTGAAAACAATTGACAATGAAAAGGTTAACAACTGATTAATAGAGAAATGAAAGAATAGATTTTGATTGAAATCAGATTTGGATAAATTTCACTTGAATTGCCATCATTTTGATCGTTCCAATGATTTTCAAAATCTGGTCAATTTTGAAGGTTTCAAGTTTCATGTTTTCAAATGTTTAACTTTTTCTTTATCAAGTTTAACAAACAATTGCAGGTTCAACTTGAATATAATAATCGTATATTATATTGAATTATTTGGGAAAACTCTTCCAGTGACATTGATAATATGAAGACAGTTGATTTAGGACAATATTGGGAGTAAAAATTTTAATATTATTAAGCTATGGATATGTTAATGTAATATTGAGGGAAAGGCAGAAAACTAAAAACAAATGTTGATAACCATTGTACTGTGAATAAGTCTGATTTAAGGAGATAGTTGATAATATATTTGTTGATTCAGTAAACAGTGAAAAATATAAATAAATTGTAAATATATTACTTTTATAACATTTTTACCTCTTGTGAATGAAATGCAAAAGAAGCAGCAAAAATAATGCTTTTCATTATTAAATGGGATAAAAAATGATTGGATGACAGAAATGAAATGCAAGACCTTTCAACTTGCCATTTGTATTTTCAATGTATTTTTCACTCATTTTAGCAACAAGTTTAGTGAAAACAAACCTCTCAAATGATTGACTTTTGATGTTTAAAATCAATGGGCTAATATTGATAATTAACTCAATTGTAGGTTAATTTTTGAGAAAAATTCAGTCTATATATTTTAACGATAACAAATGTTGTGTTCAGTGATGATGATGATGGGCATGCCAGAGGAAAAGCTTTCATATTTTTATCACAATATCTCTCACCCATTATCTGCTTCTTATAAATACGTTTTTCCAAGAAATTTCAACAATTTAGTTGAAGAGGGAGAAAACATAATTCAATCTTTTCACTATTATCATCATCATGATATTTTTCACTCCCAATAGTTTATATCTTTTGAATTAAACTATTAATAACTGCCTTTGAACATTTATATCATTAACATATTATAATGTTTCCAGTTTCCTTTCATCTTTTATTTATCTGGACTGGTTTAAATTCATGTTTCCCATCAAAACCTTTTTGTAAACTGGTTGACCATTTGGTTTGAAAAATTAAATTGTCTCATCTGCATCTGGAAACACTTTTAATAAGCCATCTTTGATTAACTTAATTGACAGGTTTTTTTATTTGATCTCCTCCTTTGCTTGGACAATCTGCTTTTAATTGAATACCATTTGTCCTCTTTAATTGTCGGTTATCAAAGACGGGAAGTTTGTTTTTGAAAAATGATGTCTTTGGTTTGTTTTTCCTGTTGACAATTGAAGGAACTAAGTTTAAATTATCATTTTTCTAGACTTTTCTCGAATCAAAGCGACCATCAAAACTAGTAAGACGTAAGTCTAACCTTGACCATGGTGAAAAGGGCCAAGGTTACCAGTGTAACCCATTTTTTGGTAAAGAAAAGTCTCGAACATAAAAGGTCTTAAAAAAGTGGAGGAACAGCACAATGAGAATCGGTAGTTTTTTGTAGTTTTTTTTCGGTAGCCTGCAGTAATAATGATCTGAAAGAAGTTAAAGAAGCTGAGACTAAAATGACGAAGAGCTCGGCTGTTAAGGTATTATTGTTGTACTGCAATGTATTGAAAATATTGCTACGTGAAGGCATGTTGAGCCTTTTTAAGGTTGTTACAACTGAGAGGTTAAAGTTAGTGTTAGATTTAAAGGTTTAAAGGCCATCAAAATCAAAGATCAACTAACAATGTGTAAGTTTTCAACTCAAACATTTTGTTGGTGTCTTGAAAGGCGAAAACAAACATTGATAGATTGGTGAAAATTAGTGATGAAAGAAAGACTTCAAAATATGAGTTAAAAGGCGAAAAACACTTCAAGTTCTCACTATTAGTAATTGTAGATGAAAGTGATGCTTTGGTGGTCATGACGAAGATGCTGATGATAATAATGATCGTCCCATCTCCAATGGTCTTTGATTCCGTTTTGAGAGAAAAAAGTATTTCCAGTTTTTCGTTTAAAACAACAGCAAGATCCTAAGGCCGTTTCAAGACGTTTAAACCCAAGAGTTTCAACCTTTACTTTTCCATAGGAGTATTCATCTTCCTACTCTTCATTGGCATCATCAAAATCATCATAATCAAAGTAGATTCTCAGGGAAAAGACAAAAGACGAAGAATAAAGAAGTGTATTGTAAAGGATGTAAGCTAATTTGTTGCGACCTGTACAAGGGTCGATCTACCATCCACATCATCATCATCATCATTTTTGCTGCTATTATGTACAGACTGGTTAACCGATTCCTGGAATCCTTGCTATCATGAACATCAAAAGCTAGAGTGGGAAAAGAGTGAAAATGGGATGTTAAAGGGCAAAAAAGAAAAGGAAGAAAAAAAAAGTTAGATAAATGAGTTTAGCTTCTTTTTAAGGTAGGGAAGTAAGGGAGAAAGATGATGATGATGAGGAAAAAAGACGAATGCTCGATGAAGGGAAAGATGAAAAGGAGGAGAAACTGAGAGAGTGTTTCTTGGAAAAAGATCATTTGCTTTGAAAATCGCTTTGAGAGTAAGTTGGTCTTCACTTTATCTCTATATATTTTTTTCCTTACGAATCTTTTTGTTATACTCATCTTTTGCTCATCTTTTCTTACTCTAAGACTCTTTACTGGGCTCATTGTTAACACGATCTTGTTGTTTCTGATGACGATAATGATGATGATGATGATAATAATGATGAAAAATCTATCCTCTTTCGCTTCACTATCTACATTAACTGGTAACTTTGTTTTTCGCGTGAAAAATGCAACAAAAAACTTTTGCTAACCCTGGAAAGGGAAACAAAAGTCTTGTCAGTATTAATCGCTTGTCAATTGATCATCACATTATATTTTAAAGGAAAAAAGACTTGTAAGTTTACAATTAAATGACAAATTCACAGCAATTAGGGTTGTTGAGTTACTTAATTGTTAACAATACGATTGAGATACCTACAAGTAACAGAGACACTCAATCAAACAGAGTTAACAAATCAAGTAAGACAACAGTAAACATTCAAACAAGGTGAAAACAAATGATCTTAAACCATTGGAGACATAAATCATCAACAATTTACCAAACTATTCAAATTAACAGATAGGATTTAAACATTAAGAGGTGACATTGAATAAACAAGTTAACAATATTGAGACTTGTTTAGCTTTGTCCAATGCTTTCCAATATTCTGCTTCAATCTTGGACTTTTTTTCAATTTCATCCGGATGACCATTTGAAACATGCAAATAAACCATTAAATCCAATTGATTACTTTGATTGTTGGATCTAGAAAATGAGAAGAAGAAAAAGAAAATCAAATTATACGAAAACAAAGTCCAAATTGTTGACTATTACCGGACAATTGAGATGTTTTACGGGCAACAGTAATAGCCAACCATTGGCAAGATTCACTGTTAATGAGATTGTAATTTAAACATTAATCGCCTTTGTGTTGCCATTTTACGACTTTCAATCTTCATCATTATCATCCAAATTGGCCTCATCTTGGGAACACTTGAAACTTGTCAGTGCTAACATGTGATCATCATGAATCCGAATGTTTCTTCAACATCTTTACTTTGAATCTTCAATTCCCAAAATAAAGATGATGGACACAAATTACAATCATTTTATTATCCATCCATTGGTGTTACAAGTTGCCAAACCAAATATGATTGTATTACTTTCATGGGAATTGCTGGAAATGAAATAAAAGAAAGCAAATTATTAACAATTAGAATCAATAAGTTAAACAAATCATAATCATTATCAACTAAACAACATTAAAGGGTAAATCAAATGTTTTTTTTGGTATAACATGCAATATTGAAGCAACACAAACATTGAACTTGCATTGAACCCTTGAAATGATTCAAACCATTGATTCAATTATTTCACCTAATTGATAACTTTAGTTTGATTTAATTAGTAAAAGATTTAATGTTGTAAGCTTCAACTGTAATTTAATTTAAATCCTTTTTCTGTCAATAAAATTTAACCCATTTTTTGTAAGGCTTTTTAATTACTATAAATACACTGTGAAGTGACACAATTTGGTTTCCCTTTTCAACCTTTTTTTTCAACTCTTTACCTAAATACATAAAATAAATTATAAACATAATAAGAGCAAAATTAATACCATTTATTTCAATGAAATCACGTTTAGTTAATAATAGCTACTTTCAATGAAAATACCAAATGGTTATTTAAATACACAATTATGAACCAAGTTGAACCAAAGGACATTTTCAATCAAACTGACAATTTTGGATTGAAATTTAAAATCAAATCGATGATCACACAAAAATCAGGCTCAAAATGAACCGTTAATTTCACCATGGATTCAGATTAGTTTTACACTTATTATCATCAAGAATATATTATTGTTAATGGACAATAAAAAACGATAAGTTAAAATTTATCTCCAGTAATTATAAGACATTCTAGATGATTATAAAACAAGTGAATTAATAGGGATATAACTTGAAAGATATAAAACCAACGGAGAAACTTGAAGATGTTGGAGTGATTTTTTTGCCTCTGCCTTCATCATCATCTTTTAAGGTAATAAATTCACAGAAAATTGCTATTATTATTATTATTATTATTATTATGATCAAAGGGTTCTTTTGATCCTCATCTTTATCTTTCCTACTGATAACTATCAACTATTAAATTATTTGCAATCAAATAAGTACCTTAAAGATGTTTAACATGGAAGCAAAAATGAGTGCTAAAAAAGTGTTTGAAGCAACATTTTTTAAGTATCCATAAAAGTAAACTCTTAATTGCTCTTTTCAATGAGTTAAATAAGTATATGTATATATCATTATTGTTATTATGTACAATCTAATCAACAGAGTTGAAGGAAATTGAATTGAACAAGTTGTTCAATTTGCATTTTTTTAATGTTCAATGAGGAGTGAAAACTGGGAGTGAATTTACTTCTGGGATTGAATCAAGTAAAACTTGACAATTGAAAGTATATTAATTGTATCAAATGATTGCTGTAACTGCTTATGGAATCTTGTTTTTCAATATTTAATTGAAAGGTAAATGGAAAAATCAGGGAAAAAATAATTCTCCATTTTTCACAATTTAGTTAATCAAGGTAATTGGACTAATCTTGAATCTTATTTTCCAAATAAATCACTTGTAGGTTAATTGTATGGAAAGTAAACTGTAATTATCAATAATCTTTCTGAGACTCATTTTTTCATGTTCATTTTTTTACAAGGAATCAAGTTAATCATGGTTTTGCTTTTGCTATTTACTGATTGTATTTGATTTGAAGCAATTAATTACTCTGATTTTTGCTGGAAAAATTTAGTTTGTTTGATCAATTTTCATAAGGTTTCATTTGGTAAGGTTAACATCTAGAGTTTACAGGATTTTTTTTGCTCTTGTTTAGTCAATTGGTTAACCTAATCAAAAATGATTAACATTTGAAGGGTTCATTTGTTATTGTCAAATTTATATAATAAACTGTATTAAAGTGTTCAAACATTCAGTAAATTCAGGATCATTTGGTGTTGAAATAAGATTTTCAATCTTTCTACTTTCAACATTTTGAATAATAATTGTACAAATAAAGGGAAAACAAAGTGAATGTTTTTTGTTGTAAGATTCAATTTAAATTGTTGTAGACACACAAACCAATCATTTATACAAATGATAGAGGTAAACAATCAATAAAACAAACATAAAAATATGTAATAATATAAATCACCATTAGATTGATCAACAAAAGTAAATTGAATTTGCTCTCGACTTGAACCAGTTTCACTCATTAGTGAACAGCCAAATGTATATCAAACATGAGGTGAAATGTAATCGAAAGCAAGTTGACCTTAATTTTTCCTTCAACAAGGTAGTTAACAAAAGGTACAACTTCCTATTGACCTTCAAAAAGGACCAATAAAGGTAGAGGAAAAGGTCAAGCTTGAAGTGCAAAAAACACACAAACACACCAACAGCATGGGTTAATGGTTAGGCCTAAAGGTTTTGTTAAGACGCATTACCATCTTGTAAGATTTGGTTAGGAGCGACCAGGAAAGGTGAGACTAAAAGGTAAAGGTTAAGAATTGGTTGTTTCTTGATGAGAAGAGGGATGATGATAGGAAGGATGATAAGGTGGATGATGAGAGGGATAAAGTCACGTAGTCTTGGGTAACAAGTAAAGGTAGGTTGAGAAGAGTGGAGTAGGAAGAAATATCTCTTAGCATACACTTTTTTCCCATGAGCTTTACCATTGAATTTGCTTCTCCTTTTTTTCAATGCATTTTCAGCCATTATTAATATAAGTATTGATATTTATATCAAAATAGTTATTGGGAATGTTGCTGGATTATTATGGGATTGAGTTTATATTTAACTTTTATTAGAAATTAATTTATCACAATTTTGTATCAACATTCTTCATTTTTGCTTCTCTTTTTGGTAAATATTTTTTTCCCTTCTGCCTTTCATGTCAAATATTACATGAGCTTTTCTTGGCTTTTTGTTGGTTAAATGTGTCAAGAATGAATGGATTTGATTGAACAATATCAACAAGAATTTTAGTCGACTACAATTGTACAGTTAATTGTTATCCAATTTTCATTCCAAACCAAAATTTAACCAAAATTTGATTAATTCCATTCATACCAATAGGTTAACCAGTCAACAGAGTAACCCTTATAACATGGCTAGCTTCATTTGATAAATTGAATAACACAATTTAGTTTTAATGAATTACAATTCATTAGTTACTATTTTAATGGCATTAGGAGTTATTAATTGATTTACTTACATGGAATGTTGATGATCAATTGGATTGTTGAGTCAGTTTCTTCTCACAATTTCATTCTGTTTTTCGGTTGTTCTATTTTTTCCATAGAAATATTGTTTCAATATTTACACTTCAAAGTTTACAATGAACACTGTTTTGATTATAACAATTATAGTTGCTCTTTGCTTGGTTAAAGATACAATTTACTTAGGTAAACATTCAAATTGGGTTAAATTAAATCAAAACTCTAATAATCTCTAAACTAATCTAGTTATAAGCAACTTCTTTATAAAAGCCTCTTTCCCTGTGCTTTCAATTTCCCCCGTAAATGTTGTCACTGTTATTTTTCGCGCTTGATTTGATTTCTGTAAAATAACGTCATTTTTTATTGTTTTGTGTTTACAAGATAATAAGCTTAATTGTCAGTTGTATCTAGCAATTAAATTATTACCATTGTTGACGATTTTACATCTTGAAGTTATCTCAAGCATGGAGTGTTGATGATTTAATGTCAATTTGTATACAAAGAGTTTTAGGTGTTATTCAATTAAATCATTTGTAATTAACAGACCCTTTCAGAATGAATTATCCACTATCAATTATTCAAGTTAAATTGTCCAAATTAATCGGTTATTGTTTCTCTGTGATAGAAATAATAAATTAAAAAAGGTTTGGACAGTTTGAAGTAAGCGCTCAAAGTGTTTGCAGCCATTCAGCTGTCTTGAAAGCTTTTGTTTACTAGAATTGTCTCCATTACACTTAATTTGCTACCAACTTGATCTTTAACCATTGAGGTTAATGGTTATTTTATTGATGTGACAGCCAATTTTTATGATTATTTCTTGGTCCACAAATGTCTTAACTCACCCCGCTCAACATCTTTCATCCTTTTTTCAAGGTAAGAAGGTAAATTAAAAGGGAAAACAGTTTTGTTTGCTTTTATTTACCTTTCCCCTATGACTTTTTTGTACTCTATTCAGTATTTTCTTTCAATTTTCATTACCTTAACAGTGTATTTCAATTAAAATGAAACCTTCCCAGTGATAATGTTCATTTCAACTTGTGATTAGTGGATAAATGAATTAAACAGTGCAGCAGAAGATTATTCAATTGGACCCAATTAAGCTTAAACTTGCTATAAATTAAAAGGGTCAACTTCATGGTTGAAGTTGATGTTTTTTTCTGTGTAATTCAACCTTTCTCTCTGTGTTATTTTATGCTGATATTTTTATCAAGTGAAATCCCTTCAAGTTTTCTGATTCCCATGAGATTATTATCATTATTATTATTTAAACTAGTTAACGTAAATTTGGCCAATTTAAAAGATTGTCTCTGGAAAAATTTCATTATAAACCTCAAGCAATTTATCGCCATCAATATATGATGTTGTTGATGGTGACTTTGATAACAGACTGTAAGCAAGTTGGCGAGAGGAAAAAAAACGGAAAACATCTTTAAAAATTTAGCTCTTTTCATTGTGATTAGCATAATTGATTTGCTTTCGTTTTCATAGTTGAACAGGATTTAACAACAATGATAATGGTAGGAAAGTCCAACCATTTACCAACAAAATTTACGTTGAAAATACAAAATAGGCACAAAAAACGGTTGATAGGGAAATGGAAGCTAAGAAGTGGTAGGAAGATTGGAGTGAGTATTATAAATATCAATATGAAGTTGAATGAGTCCTCAATGTCTCATAAATATCATGAAAACCCTTTGCCACTTGAAAATCATTGGACATTATTTGCATAATTTTATTCAATTTGCTTCCAAAACTATTATTTTGTTGTTGTTGATGAAGATGAGAGTAAAGGTTGGTTTAATACTGAAGGAGGAGGAAAAGAAGGAGGAAGATAAAGTGAAATAATGGGAATGAAAAGGTGGAGACTTTCAATGATTTTGTTTTTTCCTTGGTTTATCTTCATTTTATTCATTGTACAACTTAATTGTTTAAAAAGATCTAAATTACTTCAACAGTTTTCCCAAAATTGTTTGCATGTTTAAATTGTCCATTTTTGTATAGGTTTTGTTGTGCGACAATCTTGGACACTTTCAAACTATTAGTTAAATTACATTTGAGATTCAGTTTTTGTTCATGTTCAACAAAATGATTGACAATGTTTAAAAGAGATGAAATTAATTAATACGGTATTCAGGTAGAAAAGAGTTTGAAACAAAATAATGCAAGTTCACCTGGAATGAGCTTTTTTACAATTAGTTTGACTAGGCTTAAAATTAGAAGTGATTATCTTATAACATTTTTTTCCTAATCAGTATTTAAGGGTAAAAATGTTAACCTAATGAGATTTGACTAAATATACAAGCATAGAGTTGGGTTATAGTTACGAGTGAATTAAGGGAATTGAAATGGATGGGATTAGCATAGAGAAGCTTATCTGTTTAAAGGTATGCCAATATGTTTACATAATTGTCAAAAATTATGAACATTTGTGTAAAAGGTTTAGTATATTAGTTGTATTGGCTCAATTATACAAAATTTCATATTCATTGACACATTAATCAAAGCATTGACACAAGGTAAACATTGAGTTATCAATTGAATACAAATTGTTTGCTTTGTTTGGGTAATCAGTGAAACCACAACAATCCATTGGACAGGAAAATATGAATTGAATTGGCCAAAAGATATCCAACTGTGAACATAAACTGGAGCTTTTGTTGTTGATGAATTAATTATTGGAATGATTAGTTGATGGAACTTTGATTTGAGATGAAAATCAGAAGAATTGTTGCATCAAAAATGGTGATTGAAGAAGTCAAAGTAAATTAAATGATAAAGCCACAAGTTGCTTTGATCTGGATCCATGATTCCAAGATATAGGCTTGAGTATTCAACAGAACAGAATCTATATCAGTGTAATATCATCAAAAGGATAGGATCAAAACCATGTTCCATGTCAAGTTAAAGATTCTGTAAGATAAAGAAAAAAAGACATTGTAATATCAAATCATCTAATTGTTATACACACTTGTTCAGGAATGAAAGCCTGGATTAAAACAAATTGACGGATCAGAGTATTTACTTGAGTAAATGTTCAACAGGTTGATAGATATTCCAACTTGGTTAGATTAAAATTTGGTGTAAAGTGTCCGATCTGTCCTTTTCAATTTGATCAATTTGTTGCTACTTTTTCCTTGCTGATACCAGAGATGAGAATATCCAGTGTTTCTTGAATTGATAAATTTTTCTACTTTGTTTACATCTTTACAGCTTTTCCATGTGAAACTTTACCTGTGAAACAGAAGGTAAAAAACATGTGTATAAGTTAAACAGTTTTTAATTATGATGGGTAAGTAAATTGTACAAATGCACAAACTGGATAAATAACATGGAGAAGACACTTTTCAACACCAAATCAATCATAGAGAAAAAAAGTCCAAATTGTTTTCTAGCTTTTCCTTTAGATTCATATTACAATTTCAAGGTAATGCAAGGTGAGATGTTGAAGTTGAGTTTTTTTCTTGCTGCTGCCTCTTTCGTACAGGTAAAACTATATGTTATTGCTTCTCAGGTGAATTAAACGCAATGTTTAGTTAGTATTTACTTTTCCAGGTTAATTATTACTGTTGTCTAATAGTATTGATATGTGTAATTCAAGATCAAAGATGTGTAAGTTACTGCAATAAACCAATAGAGAGTAAGAAAAAAATATGTAATGCATGGGAACATATTACAAGCTATTTTGCATGATTTTTTTTTCGTAACTTGTCAGCAACTATGTTAAGTTAATATCTTTGGGCAAATACAAGTGAGTAAGTTACGTTAGCTTTGTTATAACTGATTGACTGTTAGCAGTAGGAAGAAAAAACAGAGCAACTAAGCTCTTGGGGCTAGTTGAGTTAACATGTAAATAGATTATTTTGGGATGAAGAGCAAGGAATGAGAGATAGAGGGAGATTCTGGGATCAATAATTAGCATATACTTTACAATTTGATAACAGAAATTCACCTAACAAACGGAATTAACAACAATGGCGAAAAAAAGTAGTTGAGAGAAAGAGAAAAAAATTTTTCAACAATCAATCAGACCTTTTTTGCTGCTTTGAATCTTGCTTCTTTCTGTTTATTAGCTAAAGACAAAAAATAGCAAAAGAGAGAAATGAGAAAGGTTTGAATGTTGATTGATGAGATAGAAATTAAATTTGTAGCAACTTATTTGTTATGCAAAAAGGTTATACTTAGGTAGTTGGAGTTGAAACAGCTAAAAAAAGTATCATTGACAGCTCTATGGGAGATTGTTGTTCACTCTTGTCAGTTTTCTTGCTTCTAATCGGGTCTTTGTATGAATTTATACAAATGTTTATTATTTTCTTGGCTTTTTCATTCCCATTATTATTTTCCTTTTCCATATCCAATGAAACTTTGTGTCATCTAAATGAGAAACTTGATTCCTAAGAGAAATTAATTGCATTGGTAAGCTTGCTTGTTTTCCTTCATTTCTCTGTAAAAACAATTTCCAAACCCGTTGCATATTGTAGTTACTCAGGTAGCTTTTTTTCCCATTTTACCACAGAAACCACAACTTTTGATTAGGAGAGGATACACATCGCAGGTTATTCATTCCAGTTTCATCACCAAACTGTAGATGTATTTATTAATTTACACCATGTATTAATTATCCCAGATGAGCTTTGCTTAAGATGCTTTAATGATATCCCAATGGAAATGGTAAAAGATAGTAGGCCTAGGCAAGAGAAAGAAAGAGTAGCATATCATTAATTTGTCAACATGTGAATATATTGATTACCTTGAGTTTGGGTTAACATCTTGAATAAACATGTGAAAATCAGCAAGTACTCACCAAAATAATTAGCTAATCATTTGGTGAAAGAAAGAAAAAAACAGAGTCAATAGTGTGAAAGTGAAAATTGGTTAGACTTCTCACCGTTAAGATATGGAGGAAAGAGTTGAGAGACGTTGAAGACATATTGTTTGAATAATTAATTGGCGATGAATGTTAAATTAGGTTAAGACAATCAAAGGTTTGCACAATTAGAATGACAATAATTCAAATGGCCTGTAAGGATTATAATAAATGAACAGAAAAACAGTTGTATTACAAGCATCACATGTTAATGAATTTGAAAAAATAATAAACATATGAAATACATTTGTCTATTTCAACTGGATGAGAGTTAAACTTACAGCTAAAACAGTTTTATTTATCGAGTTAACTGATTTATTTAAAATATGTATATATTTTGCTGTTATCTCTTTTTATTTATTTGTTAGTCAAATGGTTTAAGAAGAAATGATTTGCGGTTCAATAATGAGTTTCTCAAAAATATCTCGCAACTCTTTCACAGGGAACGCTTGGAACCATTAAAATAAGCTAATCTAGTTTCTAAATCTTTTTGCTGCTCCACTATTATCACAGTCTTACTGTCTTTTGAATAGTTTTCCCTCAACGATCTACACAAACCTCATGTAAATGATTTCTTGGAAAATTAAAATCACACAAATTTCCAGCTAGAAATGCAGAAATTTAACCAGTCAACATTCACATAATAAAAGGTTATATACCTTAGCCTATCTACAGAAATTGAACTTCATTTCGTTAAACTTACCACGATTTTCCTGCATAAATCAACATTGGTTGTTATCATATTTGTTGAGAATAGGCTGGCATCAATTCAAATTGCGACAAAATGTTGGTTACAGTTGAATACAGCAATTTAATTTTTTATCATTCCTATTGGCAAGTATTTTTAACTGCCTTTGATTCCAAACATGCTATTAAAATGAAAATATTCAGTAAACACTTGAGGAATAAAATGGAAGAAATTTTACCCTTGAGTTTATTGAAAACAATTGTTAATGAACTTTTTGAAAATCCAATTTCGCGAGGATACAGCTTTTAGACAAGAATTTACTCAAGAAATTTAGAATCAGAAAGGTGAAAATTCGATTGATTAGACGTCAGATCATGTAATTGTAAAAAAATCACGGTGGATTAATCAAAATCTATTAAAAATGTGAATTGAAAGAAACAAAAGATAGAAAAATTGAGTTTTATTTTATTCATTGGTTAAGCATGTGTTTGGATATGGATTCAGATATTGAACAACTTCATTGATCACTGTTTTAAACGCGTAATGTGCAAAATCTGTTGATAGAATCACTGGATGTTTAATGAATCTTATTATTAATTTTGGTGCAATCTAAGAAAAATCAGCAGATCTAATTAAATTAAATTTAATCAAATTGAAAAAATGAGTTTGAAAAATCAGTATTGTATACATGTAACGCCATCTACCGAAAACCGCAAAAGACTTCAGGTAGTTAGTTTTATTTCCGTTTCCTCTGCAACTAACATTTTTTATACTGTGCCTCGTTTCCAAAGTAAAAGGTATATTTAGTGTTTCTGAATTGTTTTATTGTAATTTATGTTGAACTAATTTAATAGTTTGAAATTAATTTTGTATATTTTGATCTGTTTATCTTCTAGGTAATTTAATTAAGTATGGGTTATTATAAATACACCCAAGAGTTATGGAAAAAAAAGCAATCAGATGTGATGCTTTTCCTTCTCCGGTTGAGAACATGGGAATTCCGTCAACAACGTGTTATTGTTAGAGTTCCAAGACCAACACGACCTGAAAAAGCTCGACGAGTAGGTTTTAAAAGTAAACAAGGTTTCGTTATCTACAGAGTAAGAGTTCGACGAGGTTGCAGAAAAAAGCAAGTACCAAAAGGTAAGTCTTTGTTTCCGTTTTCAACTTTTAGCCTTGCCTTGAACGTTTCTTTAATTTAGCTTGGTTGTTTTTACTTATTTTACTCTTCGTCTTGTCTATTCAGGAGCTACCTATGGTAAACCCAAAAATCATGGTGTAAACCAATTGAAGCATAAGAGAAATCTTCAAGCTATTGCCGAAACACGTATTGGTAAGCGTGTTGCAAAGGCTCTCAGAGTTCTTGGTTCTTATTGGGTTGGACAAGACTCAACATTCAAATTCTACGAGGTTATTTGTATTGATCCTCACCATAAGGCTATTCGACGTGATCCTAAGGTTAACTGGATCTGTGATCCTGTTCATAAGCACAGAGAATGTCGTGGTCTTACTAGTGCTGGTAAGAAGCACAGAGGTTTGAGAGGACGCGGTCACGGATTCGCCAAGACTATTGGTGGCTCAAAATCAGCATCTTGGAAGCGACGAAACACTTTACAATTACACCGAAAACGATAAAATTGTTAACTTTATTAACAACTATAACGCTAATTCAATAAATGAAGTTAAAAACTCTCAGAACTTCAACCTTATTTAATTTGGATATCTCTTGTGTTTATTTATTGAAATATTTTTATTTCATTTCATTTCGGGTATTACAGGTTTATAAATAAGTGCATTTCCTTTCATTACAACTTTAGCACTACTATGGACAATACATTCATATTGACATTCGATGAATTTCTTCTTCAAGGCACTTATCCATACCGTGGTTTCAACTTGTTCACCAATATAACCTGTTGAAAGAATAAGAGATTAGATGTTTCCTATAAGTAATGTATTCAGATGATCAAATAAGTTTAAGGATCTTCAATTGAATCGCATCAAATTATCAAACGAGGTCCATTTTACGGTCATCGGATTTTGTTGCGAAAAATGACAAGGATTTGGGTCTATTTGTTCGATCACCATGATGATCCTTTTTTGCCTTAGATTTATGAGCAGTTGATTTTTTCTTTCTTTTTCCTGATTTTTTTACATTTGAGTTTTTCAATAATTCTTTCTTTTCTGTTCTGTCATTTTTTGGTGTCTTTGTCTTATTGGTTAAACCTAACCAATCACTACCATCTTTCAATTTCTCCTGAATTATCGTCACAGCTTTTTTGAATCCAATTTGACTCGAGATGAGCTGAGCTGGCCATGATGATGAATTATCACTAGAATAGTCGACTGATCGTGATGATAGTGTTAACTTAGGATTAACTACTTTGTATAACGTGTAGAATAAACTTCCGAAAATTGTCATCGAAAGACCAGTTCTATAAATTGAACTATTTTCCTCGAAATGATCAGAAATACCCATTTTATCGTATCTAGCTTTAATAGAATCCTAATGTTGATTTTGATCCAAAAGATTCTTAAAAAAATAGTAATTGACTCACATGGATTCACAAAATCCAAGAACTGCTTAACCAATATTGAGCCAGGTCCAGGTAACTTGCTACCGATTATCGAGGCAACGGTGCTGATTGAAGATAATGTTTAAATCAATATGAATTATGATTACTCGCAAGCGATTTCAATTTGTTTTTAATCTCACCCATTCAATTGTAGTCCTGGAACTATTATGCTAGAGAAATTCAATCGTTGTGCTGCTCCATCATCAAAATGAACTGGATTGGTGTCACCAATAATTTGACAAAATTTCTGTACATCTTCACGGGAAAAGACACGCTTCTCCGACACTTTTGATCCCACTTTAATTGATGATGATGAATGTAAACGAATAGTGTTGCACAGACGACCGATTTTTGCCATCTTTTTCATCATCTTTATTTGAAATTTGAAATCTCTTAGATGATTCAAGAAAAATACTCATGAGAATGTTGAAAGTTTGAAACGTCAGTCATTTCGGCAAATCGATGAATTGTTTGTAGTCAACATAATTCTGTATGCTAACAATGTAAGGTAGACATAAATTTCTGCATTCGATTGTAACTGCTAATGCATCAGCTGATCTTGAGAAACACGTGCAAAAATTTAATTATCAACTTGTCTTCTCCTATCTAAAGCTTATTTTTTATTTCAGTTCCAGTTTAATCATTAATATTTCGTACCAGTTTTCATTGGTTAAGTGTTTCTATCGTGATCATCTGTGAATTTTATCTCAATTGAAGTTGGTGATAGCCTGTCAATATTTCCAATGTCCGTGATTCCATCAATCCAACTGAATTATCCAATCGACTCTGAAGAGGAGGAAGGTGAATGTGAAGCAGATTCAGTTATTCTTAAAAGAGCTCTTGATAAAAATGAAAAAATCAAGGAATTGCTTAAATCACAAAGCCTTAGAGATATAATTAAAAATGTTCTGGATAAACATGAAAAACTACCAGCGAGTGGATCACAAACGAAGAAAAATACTTTTGGATTACAAACTTGGGAGCAGACCTTTTTGAAAGATTTTATTCTGCAGTCTAAAGAATTCAAAAATTTAGTTGAATGTATCATGGAGACATTATCCGAGGTAGATGATCAAAATAAATGATAACTATCCACGCTTATCTTCTTGCTAATTCCTTGTAATAAACCTCACCGTACTATTTGTTTGCAATTGATCTATTTGTAATTGGGACGAATAAGATTTCCGATGAATATTTTTTTAATTACCTATAAACTATGATTTGATAATCTGATCAACCTTTGACTATTAATTCCTAATTGAATCCTAAATTGTTGCATTTCGCTTATCATTGCTTTGTATTTTAAATTGACCGGGATTATAGTTTCTATAGAAACTAATTGAAAAAACATGTTACTTCAGTGAAGTAACTTGACAACAACCATAATCGATTGATAAATTTTGATACTGTAATGTTATGAAACTGTTGGAATCAACCGGGCTAAGATGAATCCCGGTGAATTTTGGAGACAATTATGTATTTTAAAAGCTGAAGCCCTTAGTAACAACTTATCTACACCGACAACTCTATCGACAACTGATTTATCGTCATCGACATCTAGTTCGCCTTCGCATTCATCATCAACATCGTCAACACTAACAAAAGATCCGATTTCTAATCATCAGACACATGCTGCCATAGCGAATAAATACGGCTCAAAAATTTTAGCCGTCGCTGGTAATCTCAAATACGAATCACTTATTGCCGGTGTTACCGGTGGTGTATTATCAACGCTAGTCCTACATCCTTTGGATCTTCTTAAAATAAGATTTGCTGGTATGTTTTGTTTCTATTTACTGAAACTTTTGTTTTAAATTTTTTTATCTAATCATTGTTAAATTATTATTTTCTTAAAAGTCAATGATGGACGTTTATCTATCAGGCCACATTATCAAAACCTCCGTGAAGGAATCAAAACAATTTTCAAACAAGAAGGTATCAGTGGTTTTTACCGAGGAACTGTTCCTAATCTTATGGGTGCTGGTGTGTCTTGGGGACTTTATTTCCTTTTGTAAGTTTAGTTCTCATAATTTATCTTTTCTTTCCTAATTAAAATTATTTTACTTTTTCAGCTACAATTGCATTAAAGACTACTTGATGATAGATAGAAAAGAATTAACGCCATGGTTACATTTGCTGGCCGCTGGTGAAGCTGGTGTTCTTACTGTTACTTTAACAAATCCCTTTTGGGTAGTTAAAACCCGCTTATGCCTTCAGTACGGCAGTCAAAGTCAATTATTAAATTCGTTACCTAACCATAAAGTTTATTCTGGTACCCGTGATGCGTTCTATAAAATTTATAAGCACGAAGGAATCAGAGGAATGTACAAAGGAGTAGTTCCTGGTTTATTTGGTGTTACACATGGTTCCTTGCAATTCATGGTTTATGAAGAGCTCAAGAAAAATATCAATAAACGACGCAGTGTTCCAGTCGAAACTAAATTGGATAATCATGAGTATATCATATGTGCAGCGATAAGTAAATTAATTGCTGCATCTATAACGTTTCCTTATCAAGTAGTAAGAGCTCGACTCCAAGATCAACATACTGATTTCAAAGGAGTCCAGGATGTGATAGTCAGAACTTGGAGGTTAGTATATTTGAATATGGTCTAATATGTCGAGCTACATCTTTCTCTTTCTCTCTTTCTCAGGTCAGGCTTCAGAGGATTTTACAGAGGCTTCCCTGCCTACATAATTCACGTCACTCCAAATATAGTTATCGTTTTCTGGTGCTATGAAACCATAACAAATTTACTGAAATCTGATCAGTCGCTGTAAAATAGTATTTTCAGCTGATCAGTCACTAGAAACACTAAAGACTGACAATAGTTGCAATCATTTAAAAAAGTCACTTTTGGCTAATTGTTAAATTAAATAAGTTATCTCTTTATATTTCTATCTTTATCTTTGTATCTAATAGTGCTCTCTGCTTATTCAAATGTTTGATAGTTGTTGAAAACACGCTCAAGGGCTGTTCTAAGATTTCTTTGAATAAAATATTTCACATACAGTAATGATTCCCATTCAACTCAATTATCATACAGTGAGCAATCATTATATTTACTAATTATTCAATATTTACTGTTCCACTTTATTGTATTTACATCAAATTACTAACAATTTACTTGTATGTATTGTTTCATCTCCCTTGTTCGATTTTTCAGCCATATTCGGTACACATTTGAGTGTAATTGTTGAATCCGTTTATTGAGTTCACTGATTTGTGTTGAATAAAATAACTAGAAAAATTCAGCTCTAAATGTTTTGAAGAGATAATCTTACAATGAATATAATTGAAATAATGGAAAACACAGTAAAGTTTCAATCAACAATAAGTATAGGGAACAAAACTTGAAATATTTTTTGTTCAACATATTTAAATACAATTAAATCGATAGACTTTGAAAAAGCAAAATAATATAACAACAAACATAGAGATAATTCATGAGAAAAATGGGGGAAACAATGAATAAATATGTTTTAATTTCTTTTTTTTGTGTCGATTCTTGAAATTGAAGATAAAGAAATAATTATGGTGGTAAAAATAATAATTGATTGGTGTGAACATAATGATTTGATCCAGGTTTCAAATGGAAAGGTTTAAGGAGAAGCTGACTCCAATTCCATTTCACGGCTAGGAATATTTTCTCCATTTGGTTGAATATAAGGTAAGTATTTAAGCATCTGTGGATCATTTCGATCCATTCCATATGGGAATTGACTTGCCATCGATTCTAATGCAAATTCATCTGAGCTGGGTGTCAAAATAAAATCAACTCTTTGGGCTTCTTTATGAGGTTCATTTACAACTTTAATCAACTTGGTTGAAGGTTCGTATCCATCTTTGGTAACAGAGATTTCATATTGGCCTGGAGTCAATAATCGCCAATATTCCCCAGAAGCAACTGAATGAGACAATAAAAAGAGAAAAAAAATTAGATAATCAATCAATATTGTAATACATGAAGATTGGAAATGCAAAGCAAAGGAAACAGAAATTGTAAGAACATTTTTCGTTTTTCAATGACATGAAAATGTTTCTAAAAAAACTGAAAATTAAGTGGATTACATGGGATTGAATTGATGAAAAAAATTTAAGTAAGACATCTGTAGGTGATGTATCAAATTGAAAGAGGATTAAACAAAAAAAATGATTTGATGATAAAAAAGACGAAAGATCTTTCATAAAATGTTGTGATTTAGGAGAAATCAATGGTAAAATATGTAGACAAGACTGAGGTTGAAACATAGCCATGATAATGGTGATGATGGAATGAGAAATGCTTCTTTTTCCTTCAATTGAAAGATGGATAGATTTCAGATGAATAAGATAATATTGAATTTTTAATCCAGTTTATCTGAAAACATAATTAGTTACCTGAAACAATGTCATGATCAATCTCTTGGTTTCTTCCGGATGTTACATTTTTAACCTTGATGTGGGCTCCTTGAATGGCTTCGCCTGTTCGACTATCTTTAATAACTCCTTTAACACCAATGTGAGACTAAATTAAGGGTTAAAGAATTGATTAATCTTAATATTCTAGATGTTGAGCGTGAATATAAGCTATTACACTTGAATTTTCCTACCTGCCAAATATATTCAATCAGAGCTGCTTTATTGTCTTCCCATTCTTTTGGCAGACTATCAGGTGATGGATATTTTTCACAGCCTAATTCCAATGTTATCTCATAATCATTAGATCCTAGATAATTGAAATCTTGCATTCCACCAGTAACGCTGTACCATGCTGCCCCATTAGTGATTCCTCCTTGTTTACCGAAATCTTCTTCATCTGGTTCACATTTAGGTCGAGTCGGTGAAGCCATCGATTTGTGATTTCGAGCATAAACTTGAGCTAAATGCCTAGTTAAAAAGAAATGAAAAAAATGAAAAAAATGAAATCACAGCAATACCGAGAGTTATTACATGTACAATCTAAAATTAAAGGTGACTTTCATCAACCATTTATTGAAATTAAAAATCTCAATATGTTTTCCATGACGTGGTGTGACATCACACCTTCTTATCTTTTTTCCATGATTCTTTCAATTTAAAAAATTAATCTCGATGAACTGAGATTTGATGGAAGTCACCTTAAAATACAGATAAAGTTGCCTATTTACTCTAAATAATCATTCACAATTGACTTTCACAGAGGAAGCTACTTTTACAATGGTCATGTTAATAAATTTTACCTGAAAGTATCATCATCGGGTGAAGGTGCATATCTTCTTGCACTACCGTCCGGTGTTTCGTCATATGGATAGTTAGCAACCAAAGATCCACCATGAAGGTTAGCTGATAAAACAAAAGGATTGGATAAGATCCATTCAACAGCAGCTTTTGTCTCGGGTTGCATGTTGTGATCGATTAGTTTTTCGTTGAAAAGATGATCAGTTTTATCACCAGATCGGTATGCAACATTGTCAAGATCGGGAAAATCGCGATTCAAGTCAACACCAGCAGCATTAGCACGACCGTATAACCAATCTTGACCAGGTCCATTCTTTGTAGCGTCATCCCAACCATCAGGGTTTAATGAAGGTAATATATGAATTCGAGTGTGATTCAATAAATAAGCTATTTCATCATTTTTATGATATTGTTCACATAAATAATCGGCCAATTTTAATAACAATTCCCGTCCCAGAACTTCATTACCATGCATATTGGCCACGAATTTAAATTCGGGTTCCACTGAAAAACAGGAAAAATAAATAAAAATTTACAATTTCAAAGATTTGTTTTCAGATTCAGATAAATAAAAAACAAATCAACATAAAAATACAAATGAATAGATTGAGCTTACAAAATTCATGTCTTCCGGCATTATCAGATAATTCAATAACAGTTAAAGGCCAGCCTCGGATACTTCGATAATTAAGTTCATACAATTGAGTTATATCAGGGCAACGTTTATTAATGTCTTGAAGAACTAGATTAAGCTCCTGATTATTATGATGTTTAAACGTAAATGGTTCTGGTTTTCGATTTGATTGTTCCTTTTGTGTAAATTGGAATTGATTGTCAGCAGATGCTAATAACAGTTTATCTGAATCCACGAAATGTTTAGGAAAAGCATAACAGCCGATGAAACACAAGAAGATCACAACCAAATAACATGGTGAACAAGGAATCATATTGAATGTAAACTGAATATAATAGATTGGGAAATGTTTGTTAAATACTTGACACAACAGAATCAATAATTAAATACAGGAAAAGAATGAAATCGTAAATAAAATTCCGATGATGATGATATAGATGATGAAGCAGAATGAGAATGAAGGTGAAGGTAAAGACAATGAAAGAACGTCTGCTTTTAAAATGGTTACAAAAGATGCAATGTAAATAAGCAAAAGCTTAAGTTTAAAATCTGGTGACTGTTGAGTCAAAGGTTTGTTTATTGGTAACAAAATCGGTTATATATTTGAATGGATTTGGTTGGTTTTTTCAAATTTTTAATTCAATTTCAACAACTGTTTAATAAGATAATTGAATTTAAAGTTGTTTTTTTATTATGTTGGAATGGAAATCATTTTTTGTAAATAATAATTGTCACCATTTTCATTTTACCAACAAATTCACTTTTCATTCAGTCAACAGTGACTCGGCGCTTTACTACAACCAACAAGGGTTTCTTTGGTGATTATATCGATCCATTTTGTATTACCTGATAACGTCAATTCCCAGTTAAATAACGTCTGCGCAATTTAACTCTTGGCCAACAATCTAATATAAGATTATTATTATTATTGAACTCCACTCTTCTATTCATCTCCTTCCCAGTGAAAGAATCAACAGTTTGACGTCAAATGAGGATGATGATAAGGCTTACTCAATGAATGAAATACAGTGTGTATTACCTGAAATCCTTAGTAGTTTTCATCATCAGCAAGATGAACATGGAATAACCAGGAGACAGAGAAAGATGAAGAATGTCTTATAAATAAAAACAGTTGAATCTGTAATATGAAACCAATAAAATGGAAACCTTCAATCATTCCTGATTGTTAACACCAGTTATTCAATTAACTTTTAGATAACTTTGTCTCATTACTGTTTCAATGAATTTAAGAGGAAATCAATTCAAAAAAGGAAACCACTCTTAGTATAAGAGTAATTAATCAAACATATTAATTATTGAAATTCAATCTTAACCTCAATAGATCTAAATACTTGAACAAATAGTCTGTTCAAGAATATCAATATTTTCATGAAATGAAAAAGAGTCCATTGAATCCCGAGAAACCATCAAACTAACTTAATACTGCAATATAATTACAAGCTAATAGTATCATTAATAGACGCTAATTTTTCAATAAAATAGTCAATTTGAATTTAAAAAGTATATTTCTTTTAATATTTAGTACTTTTGATTTAACGCCAACAGATGAATTTCATTCTCGATTTTCTGAGCTCTTTATTATCTAATACCAATTCGACTAAAAATTGCTACACTGAAGCGCGTTTCACGCTCACTAACAAGTGGGGTACCCGAGGTCACCCGAATCGATTTCAATGATTAGTGTGTCATTGAGTAGCAAATGGACAGAAGGGTCGAAAAGCGCCATTTATTGTCTATCGCTATGCATAGATCAATGTGAAAGCAATAATATGAACCCATTACGATAACCTTTTTGTTTCACTCGTTTTGTTTTGTATGCTCTTTACCATAAACTACATGTACTTTACATGTAAAAAATTGAATTTTGATTCTGTTTTTCTCGTTTATCTTTAATTTACTACCCGAAAGATTTCGAGACAATTAAACACTCATAAAACCTAATTGGTTTATGATAAAAATATTAACTTTTATTAGGATGACCTCGGGTACTTCCCTCGTAAGATTTTTTTGAAAAAAAACACCAGAGTAATTTATCTTTTTGAGTTTAACGCAAATATTTTTCATTAAACAAAAGTACAGTGTATTAATGTCTGTTCCCACAGTACAGTTCATTTATTGTAAACTTTCTTTCAGATGAATTCACTAGCTCGGTGTGATAGAGCACAAATTTTTTATTAGTAAGTGTGAGTTAGATCGAGTCTGGATTGGGGAATCTTTTTGTTAGAATTACATTTTTAACGAGCGTTTAGCGCAAATCTGCGCTAAATCTAACAATTTCTCAATCTGCCCTCATTGAATAGTGTCAATGTATCACAGATACAAAATTTTCATATTGATTTTGATTGCTGTTTAGAAATTTTATCTCGCAGATAGTACAGGAAGTTTTATATTAATTTATTAAATGTGTATGAAAAATCACTGTGTAAAAAGATGGTGCACAACCAAATTCCAGTATTATACCCAGTCGAGTGATACATTGACACCATGCAGTGAGAAATTGTCAGATTTAGCGCAGACATTATTCTATTTTCGTCCTTTCATTTTATATTGAATATTTTTTTGAATTACCATTTGGATTTTATTCATCCTGCACAGGGATACATTCAATCCATATTAAAATTTTATTAAACAATGTTATACAACGCACATACATTAATTGATTGAGCTTGTGTTTATCAAATTTGTTAATGAATTAATTGTGGTAAGATAAGATTGGTCAGCTTAACATAGGTAGGTCAGCCATGATTAATGGTCTGAGATGGTGGAAAAAATCAATAAAAATCACCTAGAATGCTGTTTACATAAATAATACTTGATTTGCTTTTTAATTTCTAACAAGACCCACAAATCATGTTATCAAGTTGGATTGAAATCACATTCCTCAATTTTAAATAATAATCATAGGTCAGAGACTGGTAAATTTTTATCAGGTAATACTGATATATTTACTCTATCGCTATTTGACTGATTAATCAGTAGACTATGATTGAGATCCATCATGGTAACATAATTTGTGGACTTATCCTAGCAATCAACTCCGTTTTCTCTCATTAAACTAACACCATTATCACCAGGTAGTTTAAACAATGTTTTAGATTTGTTTCTAACAAATCGCACTATTAAGAATGATAATGATGTAATCAAAAGTCCCACAGTTAGTGTGGCCCACTCTTGGTTTGGACCAGGTTGAAGGAAAATACGAACTGAAGGTTGATCCCAAATGCTTTCAGTCCATGTTGAATATGGCAAACTCCAGTCTGGCTCATTATTAATAAAGACTGGAGAGACAGCTTCCGTGGCGAATACCTGAGATTCAATACAGGATCTGTTTGGCGAAAATCCTGGAATGTAATAATAACTCAACCACTGGATCGAGAAAAAAAATAAAGTCAGAAAAACAGTTCAATCAGGTTAAAAAATTGATTAGTCACTTACTTTATTAGCAGCTTTAAGTTTTGTACATTTATCTTTATCCGCATCAAGAAATGTTCCGGTGAATGTTGCGAGTATTTGAGCAATGATACTCATCAAATAAAATGAACTAGTGAATTGTTGACGAACAGAGACGTAAAAAGGTAACGTCTTCAATCCTAAGTTTGAAAAAGGGAAAAATTTTAAAAAATGGATAAAATTGATTTTAAATGTTTAACATACCTTCTAATTGAGAGGCCGAGCTTATATTAAAACCATGTTTGACGAATAAAGGACAAGAAGCATCAATAATAAAACAATAAAGAAGATCTGATATGGTATTTGGATCACTCTTAATTGATAAATCACTTTCGTCTGTTAACATCTCATAAAGAGCTTGGGATATTTGAGTTGAAATATTAGCCAAATGTTGGACTATTTTTGCATCACTTTTACTGTCCTTTTCGAATTCAACGTTTGAGTAATCGTCAGCGAAACTATTGTAGAATTTATTTTCGTATAATCCATTATGATTAGCTAGAAAAACTCCTGGAAGTTTTAAATTTTCTCGGAGAAAGCTTTGAAAAGAAGCCGGTGGCAAAGGCAGATCCTTAGGCGATTCTTTTAAAGATATTGTTGTCGGTTTTTTTAAATTTGCAATCAAAGCATTAACTAGACTTAAAGTCGTTGGGTCTTTAGTAGAAATTGGATCAGTGTGTAAATAAATATCATCTGATGAATGAGGGGCCAATTGTCCTAATTCGATGAAGCTTGATAGATGATCTAATGATAGAGTAGTGAGATCAAGTTGCTTGAGATCTGATGTAGAGAGACCCTTGAGTATCTTTTTCTTTAAATCATAAGTTGCTCTACCAGATCCAATATAATCAAATGATTCTCCATTAAATAATGAAAACAGAATATTTCTATTAGCTTTTTGTTTGGATGTTATTTTATCTCGAATTTTTCCAAGAGTCTCAGCAATGCTTAAAATCACAGCTATACTAGTAACTGGTGAATCAGCTCCAGGAGTTTTGTCAAAAAAGAGAGAAAATGAATCTAAACGGGAAGCAACCACGATTAATGACTTATCTGGAACTGTAAAATTTGAATTGATGGGAATAAAAGGATTGAAGATGTTGAATGAGCCTAATGGATCACAGTAACGAATTGCATTGTCAAGTTGAACCGAATATCCATTTCTTCTGATGCATGTTTTTGAATCTTTTGCAGCATTCATGTGTATAAATAATTCAGCTGAGCACAAAGGCCAGGATCGTTTAGAATTTTGTTTGGTAACTCCATATTTATCAATACATTGAAGAATGTCATCAATATCAACAGTATTTTCAATCATTAACACAGGAAATCCAAAGTCTCGATAGAATAATTCTGAAACAGGATTATTTGGATTATTCCACTTTTGTTTAGCACAATTGTCATATTCAGCATAACTTTTATTGAATGCACTAGTATAAAGTCCATAATCCTCATTAGGGCATGATTTATCAGTTGAGAAGACACTTAATTTAGTATCATTATGTTTAATAACAATCACACCAGAAACTCTACCAGAATCACGAAATTGTTCCATGACTTTTGTGGTAAGACTATCAACATTGATAACAGGAATATATGGAGGTGTTGAACCTTCACTTGTGATGAATTTGACATCATCATTATCGATTTGGCCATTCGATGAGGCAACTAAATGCAGTGCACCGATACTGCCAGAAAAATCGGACTGGCAACCAAACTGATGGGTTGCATTCAAACGCCGGATACAAAAGTATTTACTTTCTATGTCTCGATAAATTTTACCACGTGCGATCCTATCCGCGGTGACAGCTAAAATGATAAATAAATTATTAGAAAATGATTGTAAAAAAAGAGATCACAAACAGGGTTAGCAAAATTTTGAATAAATAGAGGTGTTTCCCAGATGTCGAACCAAAACAAATAAACAATGAATCACGATTATTTTAGGATGGACAAAATAACTTACCATCGAGTGTAGATAGAGAAAAGATTATTGACAAGATTAATTTAAACATGACACGGCTTTAATATATTTTGAGAAATGTTAAGAAATGATTCACATAAATGTCTTATTGATAAATATCATAATTAAATTTTCATATGTTTAATAAAATATCCAATATGTGAACCCAAAATGTATCCTATGTTTTTGTCAAAAGCTGTTTTGATCCTGATAGTATCAGGCTGATACTACTCTCTTCCTAGAAACCGTTTAAAAGGCGGTAATTTTGAAAATTGAAAATTGAAGGATTGAAATTGAACAATGGCTTAAACCTTTTCTATTCCTTTGATATTGTTCAGCCACTTATGATATCTGATTTCCTCAAATGAATATTCGGACGCACCAATGTAGATTGAATTTAAGTCACAATAAAACTTTTGATTTGGCTCCAAGCTTTCAAGGGTAAGCAGAGATGGAGCATCGACTTGTTTTTTTCGCATTTTTAACACATCTGCTGCTACATTAGTATCTGCTTGTACCTCAGAATTTTCATCTTCTTCCTCATAGATGACAAATTCACATTGACGCACAACTGTAGGTTTCGACTTTAATTTGATACCAGTCCATTTCGAAGGGTTCAAAAGATTTTCTTTGTCATGTGGGACTACAAATGATTTACAGTGATTACACACTTATTTTTACAAAAGTAAGAGCGCCATCTACAACACTACCAATACTACCGATGGTAACGATCGTTTTAGCATTGGTAGTGTTGTAGATGGCGCTTATTTTTTGTAAAAATAAGTGTGTAATCACTGTACTTGAACAGCTAGGAGTAGGCTCAGTACAACTGTTATTATCAACATGTATATCGATCGCTGGACGTGTTTTCGCCGATTCAACAGAGGCTTTTAGACTTTGGAAATCGGTTTTGATAGAAGAAACCCGATCGACAGGTGCTTTAGTTATGCCTTTTTTAACCGTTGGACGTAAACCAACTAATGCTTTTCTTTGTTGAGTTTGATCAGCACTGGCTTCAGAGTCATCCAAATCCTTAGCAGCAATTTTTTTGACAAGATGTACTTGAAGTTGAATTTGAGAGGTTGTTAAATCTTCAGATGGTTCTGCTTCCAGCATCATCCCTTTATGCAGAACGTTATCAGCTTCTTTAAAATTACCGGCAAGTTCCAGATCCCATGCCCATTCAACGTAAAATTTGGCCAATTTTGAAAAAATCTTTTTGCTGAACAACGAATCATAAATTTCAAATGGATTATTACAGCCACGAATTTACTTGAGAACTACAGCTAAGAACCGAGTATCATCCCAATATTGAATATTATAATAAGCAACAAAACCAAAGGATATAATTCCATTAGCCCGAGTTGAACTGCTGAGGGCTAGAAAAGTTGAGGCCACCGATAATCTTCCGAATTCAATTGAGAGAAGTCCGGAGAATGTCAAAAATTGAAATAACGATTCGGAATAACATGCAGTCATGAAGATTAAAGCTGGATTGAAGCAAAAGTATTATATTTCACAAATTTCTTCGGAGAAAAGTTACTCAAACAGCTCAATTGAGAGTTGTTACTAAAAAGACACAATCATCAAATTTATGCACAAATGAAATGAGGGAATGAATGAAATGAACAAAAACGGATGAAAATCAATTTCTTTCAAATTTAGACTTTGTTAGTTTATAAGGATATAAAATCTGAATCTATTAATACCATGCAAAAATATTTCTGATGAAAAGTTGTTGAGAAAAAGCGAGTCAAAGTGAAAACTTCGATCGCCTTTAGTACCATAATGGAAGCAAATTTTTTCATTAAACTCATTTTAAAGACATAACTTTTGATGGCTAACGAGAAAATGTATTTATTTTGGGAAATAAAACTTTTGGGTTTCTGCAAAACCGATTAGTTCGATTTTTAGACAAACCGATCTCTGCCTTTGATTGTTAAAGTTATCGAGTTGAAACTTATTATTTGCACATAAAAATTGTTGGTACAAATCTTGGGTTAAGTATTTTTTTCAGTTTATGAACAGTTTCTTTTATTTTGGCCATTTACTCAAAAACTTTGAGCTTCGATATTTCGAGAATGGCATCACTTACAGTCATCATTCATTCACTAATTTGCTTCTCTACTAATTAATAACTCAATTTAGCTCAATAACTTTCCATAAGCGTCTTTGGGTCATGATTCCTGGGTTTTAAATGCATGAGAAACAGATTATTAAACAAAACAAACTCATCTTAACTCATAGTTTAGTAAATAAAGCAATTTTCTGGTTAAACGTTTAAGTCAAATGCAAAGATTAATGCCAAAGGCTCGAACATTTGCGTAAAGAGTTGAAACTTGGTGGGTTTGTAGGGAAATGAAAACTGAGTCCATAAGTACTATTATATATTTCATCTGATAGATAGTTTTCAAGAAAATCGAGATCAAAGTTGGAACTTCGATCGCCTTTTGTAAAGTTGTGTGACCAGATTTTTACTTGAAACTTACTTCTTCTGATGAAAATTTTGATGGCTAACGCGTAAATGCACTTATTTTGAATAATAGCACTTTTAATTTTCTGTAAAACAGATTAGTTCGATTTTCAGCTAAACCGATCACTGTCTGTGACCATAAAAGATAATGAGCTGAAACTTATTGTTCGCGCATAAAAATTGTTGACTCACATTATGGATTGATTAGTTGTAACAGTTCAAGAACAGATCTCATGATTTTGGCCTTTAACCTAAAAACTTTGAACCTCGATATTTCGAGAACGGTAGTGTTTATAATCATCAACCATTCACCAATTCAATCCTTTACTACCCTTTAGGTGAATGCAATCTAAAAACATTCCATTAGTTTACCTGGGCCATGATTTTTGGGCTTGAAATGGGCGAGCAATAACTTATTAATATTTAACAAACAAAACTCATCTAAATGCACATCTTGGTAAATAAACCAATTTTCTGGTTAAACTGACAACTGAAATGCAAAGAGTACTGGTAAAGGCTCGAGAATTTAGGTTAAGAATTGAGACTTAGTGAGGTTTGTAGTGGCATAAAAACTAAGTCCGTTGGTGCTATTAAATAATTCACCTGATGTACAGTTTTTGAGAAAATCGAGGTCAAACTCGAAACTTCGATCGCCTTTTCTTCAGCTATGAAAGCAGATTTTTTCACGAAACTCATTTTACTGGAGTAACTTTTGATGATCTACCAGAAAACGAACTTATTTTGAGATATAAAACTTTTCTTTTTCCGATAAACAGTTTAGTGCGATATTTAATTAAACCGATCGCTTTTTGTGATTGCATATGTTAGCGAGCTGAAACTTATTATTTGTCAATAAGAATTGTTGCTTCGTATCATAGATTAAATACTTTTTTCAATTCTTCAATAGTTCTCTTGATTTTGGCCATTGGCCTTAAAACTTTGAGCCTCGATATTTCGAAAATGGTTCCAACTAAAGTCATCATTCTTTCACTAAACTTTAGATTACATTATGGGATATAAAAGTATCTGACTGAATACCGAATGCAATTTGAGATAATTAATTAAATAAGATTTGTGTTTAGTAATTATTCAACTTTATAAATCTTTCTCAGGTCTGACAACGTGTGCAATAAAACACTATAGCTTATTTTTTAAGACCTTAAATGCTTAAATGTCTCAATGTGTAATATCCCATAATGCAAACTAATGTTTGGTCGAAGATTGGTGATTGTAAACACTACCGTTCTCGAAATATCGAGGTTCAAAGTTTTTAGGTAAAAGGCCAAAATCATGAGATCTGTTCTCAAATTGTTACAACTAATCAATCCATAATGTGAGTCAACAATTTTTATGCACAAATAATAAGTTTCAGCTCATTATCTTTTATGGTCACAGACAGTGTTCGGTTTAGCTGAAAGTCGAACTAATCTGTTTTACAGAAAATTAAAAGTGCTATTATTCAAAATAAGTGCATTTACTCATTAGCCATCAAAATTATCATCAGGAGAAGTAAGTTTCAAGTAAAAATCTGGTCACACAACTTTACAAAAGGCGATCGAAGTTCCAACTTTGACCTCGATTTTCTTGAAAACTGTCTATCAGATGAAATATATAATAGTACCTATGGACTCAGTTTTCATTTCCCTACAAACCCACCAAGTTTCAACGCTTTACGCAAATGTTCGAGCCTTTAGCATTATTCTTTGCATTTGACTTGAACGTTTAACCAGAAAATTGCTTTATTTACTAAACTATGAGTTAAGATGAGTTTGTTTTGTTTAATAAGCTGTTTTTCATGCATTTAAAACCCAAGAATCAAGACCCAAAGGCGTTTATGGAAAGTTATTGAGCTAAATTGAGTTATTAATTAGTAGAGAAGCAAATTAGTGAATGAATGATGACTGTAAGTAATGCCATTCTCGAAATATCGAAGCTCAAAGTTTTTGAGTAAATGGCCAAAATAAAAGAAACTGTTCATAAACTGAAAAAAATACTTAACCCAAGATTTGTACCAACAATTTTTATGTGCAAATAATAAGTTTCAACTCGAAAAATTTTTGCATGGTACTAATAGACTCAGATTTCATGTCCTTAGAGACTAACAAAGTATAAATTTGAAAGAAATTGATTTTCATCCGTTTTTGTTCATTTCATTTGTGCATAAATTTGATAATTGTGTCTTTTTCAATTTGATAATCCAGCTTTTCTGTATTTTTATTGGACTCTGGTTGTGTATTCCCTTTAGCCTTAATCATCCTGCAGTGAAAAGTTTTTCCCCTGAAATCCATGATTGGTTTGGTGACCTTCCAGCCAGACAATTTGGTCGATATCTTGATTATGCTCTTCTCTTAATACTGGGCAGTGTTCCTTGGCAAGTTTACTTCCAACGAGTTCTTTCCTCGAGGTCCGCTTTCAAGGCAAAAATGCTTTCATATGTAGCAGCTTTTGGTTGCATTGTTATGGCCATTCCTTCAATGATAATTGGTGCAGTTGCAAGAGTTACAGGTAAATTACTAGTCACACTAATAAGTGGATGACTTTATTTAGACAATTTTTTCAATAGTTTTCATAGTCTGGGGAAAATTTTGGGTTGATCCTAATCTGCAAAACAAACAATGTTTCATGGTCCAAGTTAATGCTTTTTCTTTTGCTAATTGCACCTTCTTGAAGACAAAAAGTAAGACAATCGTCTTGAACTTAATTACAATCAATAAATGAGCATGTAAATATTATAAGTCAAACTTTGCTAAGCTTTGCTAAGGTAAAAATTAGCTATTACTTCCATGTTTGCATGGAAAAACCAAGAATTAAACAAAATTTTCTTTTCATATTTTTTTGTCATTTCATCATTTGATATCATTCATGTTAGGATCTTGTTTTTGACTCAATTAAATTCACTTAAATTGATAAAAAGCATGTTTTAGCGAGTAATTCATCTCAGAGTTGATGAAGCTCGCGCAAAAAAGGTTTTAAGTTGGACTTTAATCATTGTTTGTATTGCAGGTTAAGACTATACCTTTTAGAAACCCTTGCTTTTTGGAGTTTGTCCTATTAGCACAGAGGTGTTGAAAGTAACATTTCTTGCTTACTGGAGACTTTTGTCTCTCATTTAGGAAACTGGTTCAGGTAGAGTGAAATCATTGTAAAATTGTCCGAGAAAAATTATGCTTTTAGCTGTTATCGAACTGTTGCTATTATTATTTATATCGTTATATTGTATATTTTATTGTATATTATTGTCATCTTTTTGATAATTTTTTATTTTTTCGTCAATTATCTGATGTGTTTATTTCGTTTTTTTTATCTTGTCCATTTAATAGTATGGGAAGAGACAGATTTTAAGCGTCCTTTGGACGATTCCCATACTTCATTAGTTTTACCAATGGTATTGCAATATTTAACTCCTCCGTTAGTACAATTTGTTGGCCTTGGAGCTGTTAGTGCAGCAGTTATGTCTTCTTCCGATTTATCTCTTCTCAGTGCATCATTAATGTTTGCCCGAAATGTTTATAAACTTATGATCAGATCAAATTTAAGTAAATTTTTATTCATTTTCCTACACTAACCACCTTAAATTAATTTTGTAATCATTTTTTCATTTTTCCGATAGGCATCTGAACACGAAGTAGTTTGGGTTATGAGAGTTTCAATAATTGTTGTTGGTGCCATCGCCACAACTATGGCATTCTATGTCAAATCAATTTATGGTCTTTGGTACCTTTCATCAGATATTGTTTACGTTGTTCTATTTCCTCGATTAGTTTGCGTTGTTTATTTTAAACGTCACTGCTACACTTATGGGTCCTTAGCAGCGTATGTTCTTGGGTTCCTGTTCCTGCTAGCAAGATTTAACTACCCAAGTTTCCAAACTTTAAATAATATTTTTAAGGCCTCAAACCAACCAAAGACTATTGCCATGTTACGTAAATTAAGAGCTAACCATAAGAGAAACAAAATATTTCATAGAAGGATAAAAATTTCAACTAAAACCAATGCAATGGATTATCAATTAAACTTAATGGTTGTGACCTGATGCCATTCAAAAATGGGAACCAAATTCCCGAATTACCTGGCTCCCAGATAATTTCAAGTCATTTCAAGTAAACATATTAATCAATGGATACCAGAAATTTTGGTGATAATATTTCGATCAACAAAGCTAAACGAAATACTCAAAGGTTGTGAAAAAAATAAGAGAAATCTTCTGTTTTCAATGTTGAAACTATTAATAATATTACTGTTAGAATCGATTGTTTGAAATTAAGAGTCAAATGGCGAAAATGTAGTTTTAACTAATCTTCATAAAGGTTTAATTTTGGTCAAAACAATAGAATACTTTAGGCATAATAGGATGCTGCCTAGGCGAAATGATCAAATAGAGTTTCAAATGAGTAAAATGCTTAGATCTATGAATATAAAAGGTTTATGAGATTTTGAAATAAGTTATTTTTCTGAATTCTATCTATACAAGTGAAAGGGCAAAATAAGTTCAGAATTGGTTGTTGATTTCCATAGGAAGGGGAAAATGCCGTGAACAGTTGATGCTGCTTAGTTTAGCCGGATAAGAATAATTGTAAAAATTATTACAAATGGTGATAATAATAGTAAAATTGTGAAAACAACAATCAACTGATTGCTGTATTAAAATCCATTGTATTATATTTTGTCTCTTTGTCTTTTGTTAAAGTATTACCTTTTAATTTTTTGTTCCCAATTTATGTTAAATTTTAATGTTGAATTGATTTGTGAATCGGACACATTTTTGTTTTTAAATTATTATTTATTGTTTACTCTGAGTGAGTTGATTAACATAAAAAATCAATTATATCAGTATTGACATAAACCCTCATCAAATCAATAAGGTTTTAATAATTAAGGTTGTGACTAAATCATTCTTATGTTAAACAACAGTGAAAAATAAATTTAATGTAATAAAATGATCTCTCATTGAAAAAACATGCTAATTTGATTTTATAATGATGCTTAAAGGTCAAGTATTATTACAATTAATAAATGAAAGTTGAATTGTTTGAAAATCATTGAATTAAATGAGGCGCGCTTTTCCCATCCATTTTCATTGGCTTGTCCTCTGTATCGGTGCACATTGAATACAATGAGCTAATAAAAACAACTTAAATGAAGTGTATTTATTTATTGTCATATTTAGATATTTAACTGTGCGTGGCTAAGTGTGGCCCTTTATTGATTATGATTATGATTATGGTTCGTCTGTTGACTAGCAATCAACCCTCCAGCTATATTAACACAGTGGTAAAAAGGACAAGAAACGATGACGATGGTCGACAGTGAAAGGAGAGGTAAACAGAGACAGAAGGGGCGAGCGAGCCAACCATTATTTATTGAAGGGTAAAGGCGACTTATCTTTATGGACTTGAAACGATTACCTTAATAACCTTTTACCTTTTACCTTCTACCTTTTTATTTTAGTTTGAATAAATAAAATGGAGTTTTACAATGGGTAAAGGGTCAAGCAAGAGATGTCAAGCCAGAAAAGGACAAAAACAGGAAAATTTAAATCTAACTGGACTAAAAAAAGGCCGCATGAGTGAAACTGAGCATTCCGTCTAAGCTTGCAAACTAAATTTTAAATTGTCAGTCACTCATGATAATATAGTAATAATTAACTTATAATCTTAGTTTCACTCTTCTGTCTTTTCTTTATTTTGCCCTTTCAACGTTTTGACTCTGTAAAAAGGGTTACCAATAGACGCCAACAGGTTAAAGTTAACATGGATCTGTTAAGAGCAATTTACGGTAAAATGTCTAAAAGTTGATTGTGATAACATAGATTCAGTAACAGCAACTTGTGACTGTACGAAAATTTGACCTGAACAAAGTACTATTAACATTGTTTTAACTCGCTTCTCTTAATAGTGTCACTTTTTGTTTATGGTTTGAACAATGCTGGAAAACAAAAATTTATCCCCAATCGAGTTAATGTTTGTTACCTGTAAATTAACTAGATGAACCTTTTATTTTCAACAGCAAAAATGACTTCAAAGATGACTGGCGAGATAACATGCTACTCAGACCTTTGTCAACCCAATTCCAATCTCGACTCTTGTAATAAAAATACAAAGTAATCAACTAAAATTTGTTAAACTTGAGTTACATGTGTTTACATATTGACATTAGTTAAATGTAACCCCGGTTTGAATATTGATTGGCGATTAAATTAATCAGAATACAGTTGAAATGAAATAAAGTTAAATGAAAAAAGCAAAATTTGAATGACAAGAAAAAAAGCGATGTAAATCAGGAAAGCAAAGAAGAAGAAGAAGAGAAAGAAAAACGAAGCCAAAGGATTGAATAATTGTGTTGTTTTGAGTCAGGAAATGAATGTAATAAAAGGTAAATTTGTTGTAATTTGTGTAATTTGTGTAAATTGTGTAAATTTGGGATAAATTAACCAACTAAAGTAAATTAGTAATGTAAGGTAAAAGTAAATTGTTAACAGATGAAAGCCTAAAGGAAATTGATAACGAGTTGAAGTGAAAAATAAATGGAAACGCTAAGATACTCACCATTACCATTAATATTATCATTCATCATCTTCATCTCCATATTGATCATCATTTCATTTATATAATGATGAACAAGTGATGATGTGATGATTAACTGTAAAAAGTTTAACTTTAGATCAACTGTGAGCATAGGGAAAGTGCAATATTTTATGCAAATCCAATTGATTACCATTATTATTTAACTTCTCCCACAATTACCATCTTCAACATCATCATCATCCACATCTTCATCTTCCCTTGAAACATCCCTGTTCAATACAGCCGCATTTTCAATAGCATTTCATCTTCAATTTACTTTTAAGCCTACAATTTACAGTCAATTGAAAGCGGATTGTGGTTTTAATGTTAACGGTTAAGGGAATGATAAGTTTGCTTTCACTGTAGCATTAGATGATTATCACACGTTATTAAATTAACATTTTGTTTATCACTTTGTTATTGGGTTGAACTGGTGTTGAAGCAAGTAAACCTGAAAAAAGGTTGCTAATATAATATATAGATTGATAGATAAATATAAATAAGATGTTGATCAAATTGTTGTTGGATGGTTCATCTTGCTGCATTATTATAGTGAAAAGTGGTTTAGTTAATTTACTTTTGATAATCCAGTGAAGTAGTTGATAACAATGTATTCCTTCATTCCCTGTCCGTGTATCATGATTGACCAATGTGGGAGGTTCAAATTGATTTAAACCCATTAACAGTCTACAGTTAGTTCATTATATTAACCACTTTTACTGTTGGTTGAAGGGTCAACAAAGTGGTTTTGTTCACCTTTAAATCGGAAATGATCGGAAATGGTTTTTACTGGCCATTCCATGAGCATTTTCACCTAATGAATCAATTTGATGGTTTGATTGACCGGTAATCTGTCAATCTGTGTAATACTGTAATCAGTAATGAGTTATTATAATTCATTGAGTCTCAGTTAACCCAAGTATAGGCTGAGTAGGTTGAGTTCAAATGGCATTACAGTTAAGCGAAATTGGGAAATGGGAGGAACTCGACTCTTCTTATTGGTTACAATTGCTCTTCATCTTCTTCTTTCTTCACTTTTCTTCATCTTCTTTCTTGTTTATCATCTTATTTATCTTCTTCTCTCTCATTCTGTTCTCGCCATCCTTTTTAGCCCAATTTTCCGCATATTTTTGTTTCTCAGTTTTGTTTTGTTTTTGATTGACAGACATCGACTTGATCTTCATCTTCAGATCATCTTTGCCATCGTCACCATCATCATCATCCAGTCACCTTTGACCCTTTTCTTTTATTCAGTTTACTTTGATTCACTTTGGACTAAATTGACTGTCAATGGTCAAAAGGATAAACTTGTTATTATGCTTATTACCAATTTGGATTTAGTGACCACAGATTTGAGGAAGAGCAATAACAGTAATCATAAAAGTTCATCAATGTCCACTGAGTCCAGATCACCGGGAGGAACACCTCTTGTTAATAGCAACTCTAGCAACACCAACAACACCAACAACTCTAGTAAATCAGATTCGTTAGCGAATAGACCATCAACTGATTTTTCAATTGATGCAATTATGGGCCGATCTAACAATTATTCAATTCAACAACAGCTCAAGATTATGGATTATCATCACTATCATGGTAAAGGTAAGAATTCAAAAATTTATAGTTATAAAAGCAATTAATTTATGCAGCCACTGAAATTGATTTGCAAACATTTGCCATATCTTAAGCGCATATTGAGATAGATCAAAATAAAGTAAAACTGAAAACAAGTCAACTAAAGGTGACTTCTATCAAATCTCAATTCATTGAATCGAGATAAAAAGGTGCGATGTCTCACCACGACATAGATTCCATCAACGACATATTCAGATTTTAATCTGAACCTTTTTATCTCGATTCGATGAATTGAGATTTGATGGAAATCACCTTAAATTTTATAAAATGTAACCGCGAAAGCACTTCTCAGCTCAACTCATTAATCGAGTCAATTTTCTTATCAAATATTCAATTGAAAATTCATCAATACCAGTTAACTTTTCAAAAAAAGATTTCAACTCAATTTCCGTGACTGTTAGCCATAATCTAATGATTGGTCAAAGATGATTGTAGTTGCTATTATTCTTGAAATATTGATGTTCAAAGTTTCTAGACCAATGGCCAAAATCAAGAGTCGATAAATTGAAAAAAAGTTCAATCTTTGATTTGTTACAACAACAGTTAATGTTGTAATGTTTAGTTGTTTTGTTTTAGCTCTTTTGAAGTGTTAGTAAGCTTTAGCTCTAATGGGTTTAGTTGTTGTGGGCCTAAACCACAGCGACAAAAGTATTAAAGTTTTGATGTTAATCTTGGAGACTTTACAGTCCATTATGTAGGCCACTTTATAAAAAACACACTTTAGCTAAAATTTAATCTCGATTGGATAACTTTTGCTTTAAATAATCTGTTCACTTTTTACAAGCGCAACAAGGGATTAGTCGGCTTTTGGCCTTGCATATGTCAAAGGTGAAGCTGGTAAAATGTTACATTGAAAGGCAAATAAAAAACGGAAAAGGCTATTGAAAATGCCTTTTTTCACATTCAAGTTATAATATTGAATTTAAGAGTAACTCAATTATATTTGTTCAATTGTTCAACACTGTTATTTTTTATCATTCCAATTGTTACCAATTGTATCTACATTAAGAAGAAGCTCATTTTCACTCCCTGAATCCCTTAATTTTACTCCCACTTTCATCTAAATTGTAAAATCTCAGCTTTTTCCTGCTTCTTCTTTCGTATGTTAATCATAATAAGAAACATTGAATCTTTTTTATTATCACTTTGCAGTAGTTAATATATTAATACATTTGTTAATGCCTTAAAATGTGTGTAACAACGTGTGGTCCAGGCCATTATTTAGTTCATGTTTTTTTAGTTACATCCAAATGATACATCCAATTTGTAAAGCTTTAAGCAACTTTTAGCTTACCAGCATTTGCACAAATATTATTGTTAACACAACTCAATTTCAATTGTTATTCAATGAGAAAGTGATTGAAAGGAAAGTAGCAAAAAAATCGAATCTCATTTGTTGAACAATCAAAAAGTGAATATCAAGTGTTGTATAAATATTGAATATTTTTCATATTGTTTGATTCACTTTTTTGCTAACAATTTTGCATTTCCTAATAGACTCATCATTAGTATCGTTTACATTTATTAAGACATTATTATCATTTATTGGTAATAATATTGTTGTTAATGGAATCAAACTCGGTGAAATGTTATCTGTACTTTATTATGCTTATATTATGATTATATTTATTAATCTATTCAATGGTGCTACTTGAGCTTTATATTATTTCTGTGTGCTGTCGCTTGTTGAATAATAATAAACATCTTGAGACAAGTTGAACTACATCTTGTTAGGCCGAGAAAAAAGCCCATTTATCAAGGTTGGTCTACCTTACAATTGGTTATTCAATTGATTAAGATTGACTATGATCAATAACAAAAGGTAGACCATTCAGTTTCATTTTTGGTCAAAAAGTGAAGTGAATCGCTTGCTTATTCACTTGGATCGATTGCGAATCATTGACTCTATTAGTAATGGCCTTATTGTTGAAAACTATGCGATAATAATCATAATAATAACCATTTTTTTTCATTTGTAGATTTTATAAAGCGAGACGAAGAGCAAAGTTACGATGAAGAAGAGGAAATTGATGAGAAGCATAACAGCAAGGCTAAAAGGGCACGACGGAAAAGGACACAATTTAGTCAGGTATGTTAACTAAGGTGTTTAAATTATGGTAATGAAAATAATTTTACTAATTTTAATATCATTTTTTAAAGGACCAATTGGTTTATTTGGAGGGACTTTTTTGTGTTTGTCAATATCTCACTGTTGCTGAGAGGAGTAAGGTGGCTAAAGATTTATGCTTGTCTGAAACTCAGGTTAAAACGTGGTTCCAGAATCGACGGACCAAATCAAAAAGACAACGAAATACAATCCCGGAAAGCTCGATTCGTCAACATCAACATCAGCAGCACGAATATCAACCTTTTAGTGCCCTCATGGTCACTCCAAGGAATGGTTTCACATTTCCTTCCAGTCTCAATTGAATAAGTAAAAATCTGTTTGCTCATAAGATGGGTTTGCTGATTATCCTAAACACAACGTTTTCCAGTTGCCAGTTTTGAAATCCAATCAACATTTTAACTTATTTATTCAATTTATCAGAATTTCTTGTAAAAAAACATCAACTCGACAAAGAATTATCTCATTATCTCACAAAAATATTTTTTAATAGATGATTACAACTAGCTCATAAAACCCAGAAATATAATATAACTACGGTAAAAATAACACCCACTGCGGCAACTTTGGCATATTTTGACCTCAAATTTAATTGGTGCGCATCCTTTTTATATTTTGCAGACATCAACGACAGGTTACTTGCTTTATTGTCCAAATCTATAAACAAAAGAAAATTGAATGTTACAAGTTTAGCTTGAAGATGAGGCTTTATCTGAGATTTATAGCCAGAAGACACCAAATCATCACTCCAGTTGAAAACCTCACCATATGAGAAACACTGTTACCCTTAGAATCATCTCTAACAGCGAATTTAACGAAGTTAAAGGCACTAAGGAGTTTAGAAACTTTAAGGCTCGAGTTTAAAACAAAAGTTCAAACCAAATAACTAACCTGATATAGCTACACCTCTATGCAAGACATCTTCAATATTCTGAACCATTATTTTCTGAACATCCTGCAATTCATTGTTTAATTGAGAAAGATTTCTTCTTGCTCGGGCATCCATGAATGATCTTTTAGCTTTCTGAATGTAAGTGTCAAATTCAATAAAACAGTAAGGACGCGTAGCACTTGAAATTTTGGGTCCATATTGATTAATAAATTCATTTTGAAGATCCTCCAAATAACTAAAAGCGAGTCTTTTAGAGAAAGACTTTTCACATAAAACTAGGTAGCAGACTCCATTTTCAATTGAATAACTGGAATGAGGAAAGAATATGAAAAGAATTAGAAAATGGTTCTATAACAGGAATATTCAATTTATTTAACTGAGTCGCTGGAGTTACTCACTGAAATAGGTAATTGCCGGTTTCAAGGGACATTTGCTTTGGTGACTCAAAGTTTAATTTGCGGAATAACATTTTAGCCTGGTTTTGATAATCGACCACATTCCTTCCCATCTGTAAAAATTAAAAAATAAACGTAAATTAATTGAATGAGCCATACAAACAAATATTATGTCAAGTAATCTTACAAACATGTGATGCAACCAGATAAACAAAGAATACTAACCTGACGATCATCTTGGACTGATGCTGCCAGTGGTAGACCATCAGATACACGGGCTATCATTGTCATGAGCACCATTTTGATCAAACGTAATTAAAAGAAAACAAACAATCAAGCGAGTTGACGTGTAAGATTGTCTTACTGTATGTTGTCAGCTCAACAAGCGTCAAGATAGGATCTAAGATTCAGATATTTTTATCAGATACTTATATCGATACCAATTTGATGAAGTGTTGTGGAAAAATTGATTTAAAAAAAGTTGTTTTGTTGTTAGTTGCAGTAAATTAACATTTGGTTCAATTTATCGACGAGTTTAATTGATTGATTATTAAATGAACTGAGTTTATTGAATTTTACACCCTTTCAATAGACAAATCAGTTTTACATTTCGAGAAACAGAAGGCAGATGGAGCTCTATTGTGGTCGCAAGGTGATCGGTAAATCCACAGACTTATAAGTTCTTAATTGCATTTCACAGGTAAGAAATCTTAAGCGTCAGTAATCATTTAAAGTCTGGGTCTGGACTAAACTCGATTTTCTGGTGCAGACTGTCAGTACTAGGACAAGTGAAGCTGTCAAACAATTGAACATTTTTATCTTGAAAAATGTTTCGTTGGGAATATTTTTACAAACAAAATTGATAGAATCAGAAAATGTCAACAATTCAGTTGATTGTCAGTGAAGGATTTTGGGAATAATGATTGTATTATCGTATCGTATCGCGAAGATTTCACATTTACTCAAGACTATCTTCAGATGAGTTCTGATATTTTGCTTTTTCTGATGCTTTTGCTTGAATGGCCAAGATGGACGAATTAATTTACATCGCCAATGAATAGTGGCTTTTTTATGTCTATCAAGCTGGACATGAAGTCACATCATCTCTTGTTTGTTCTGAGAGACTGCAAGATTCGGATTTTGTAAAAATTTTGCAATTAAATTGATCATCTAACTTTCCTCAAGCTTTAATATTATGAACAATATGATGCATTATTGTACGTTGATCTTTTCGTAAAGAATAGTTATTGTGAATAATTAAGGGAAACCTTTACTGATTTAGAAATAATTGAAAATCATATTGAAACTACTTATTTGCTATTTAAAAACCGAATATGTGAGTCTTCAATTTCCATAATCCTTTAATAAGTTGGAGGAATACTCATATTTTTAAACTTATTTGTTTTTAATTTGATCATTCTTTGATTCTTTCGAGGTAATAGCCATTAAGGAACACAGTATCTTTAATCGTTTGAATGATTTTGTTTAAACTTATGATTAAGTGAGTAGATAAAGTATTACTCAAAAATTCGAATTTATTTGCTCGTCATGAACGAACTTGATTTGAAAAATAAGTATTAAGAAGCAATAACAATAGAAAAACATTTGATATCAATAACTTAAATAGAGTGATGTTTACAATAAATGTCAATTTAAACGTTGATTTCGAAATGTGAGTTAAGATCATCAATAATCATCGATTGGCAATCGCAAGTTGCAAAAGTTGTCTGTAGGAAAAAGAATAAAATGAAATTAGCAAATACTCTAATAATTTAAATTAATAAGTTGGTTTATAATTACGTTCTGAGTTTAGCAGCTTTGCTTTTCATTTCTTTTTCGTAATCTTTGAGATCAGAAATCGCATTATAAATTTCATGACGAAAACCTTGAGGAATGGACCATCTTAGATACATAGCTTCCCATAAGACCTGAAATACAGAAAATTAGTTATTGTGATGTGATGATATCATTCTGAAAATAGTGGGAAAGAATTGCTTACAATGCTTTGTGGAGCAACAGAAGGCCATATAACCGCCGAGTTTGGTTCATAAGCAGGATTAAGATATTCACAAATCTTGTCAGGACGGTTGATGTAGGACCAAAGTGAAACAGTTTTCTTTGATATTTCCAAAGATTTTCTCTGTTTGACACAATTCTCCAAAAACGTCCCAAATGGCGATGCATAAGCATGTTCAAATAACATTATCAAAAATTTTTCATTGAATTCAAATGAGCAAGGAAATTGATGATAAATTTGGTAAACACAATCTAGAAAAACCAGAAATATGGGACTCTGCTCACGAGTTCGTGACGATGGAATTGTGTAAGCTCCATGTTTACATCTAGTAGCGAATGGATGTCCACTTTGAAGCCATTCACGCTCGATAAGAGCTTCGAATCCATGAACTGTCCGACAATCTTGGTCCAAAATGACTTGAGCTAATGAGCATACTTGCAAAGTTGAATCCATCCCTTCAGAGCCATGTACCAGAACAGACGCTTCTTAAAATACGAAGATAATACAATGAACATACATTCATTAACATAAATGATATCATTTGAAATTATTGATAAATTGTAGTTGCCAACCTTCCTGGTCAATGCACTGAGCCACCAGACAAGCACACATTAGAACATCTTTAATATGACTCAACCATCCACAAGATTCCAGACGAGAAAGAAACTTATCCATTGAACTCGAAGTTTCATTGCACACTGAAAATGAAAATTTAAAATCATTTAGGTTCAAAGCAAATGCAAAACACTTCAAAATAAAATTTAACTGCACTAACATTCTATTAATTTGCTTAAAGAGTCCAAAAGAGACGAGTGACGATCAATAGGTTTATGAACTCTCCTCCACAATGGATAATGTACTTCAGGCTCAAAACCTCCCCCTGAATAGAAAAGAAAAAAGTTGGTAAATTCTTGTGTAGAAATTTTTTGTTGAAATGACAGTACAGTTTTCCCCAGAGTTTTTTGCTTTTTTGTTACACTGCCATCTAGGTGAACTACAAGGGGAAACCACGAATTTTACAGTTTAAACCATTGAACTCTTTAATGGGATCGCCTCTGAGCCTCTTTGAGCTCTCTGTAAAGCCCCTGCCGATCGGGAAAGAACACAAGTGTCTTGAAGCTGGTAATCGGATCTAATAGAGACTTATGTAAAGATAATCATTTAAACTTGAGGAGATATGAACATGCGTAATGAATAGTCCCCATCAAGATAGTAAAGAAAAATAATCTCTT